AACAGGGGGGAAAAAAAAAAAAAAAAAAAAAAAAAAAACTAAAAATTTCGACTTGTGCGAGATTTCGCCGGGTACCGACGGCGACGTATTGTAATACACGCGCGTGAAAAACGACGGCTTTGGTCCTGGAAATGGAGCCGACGGAGTGTTAGGGTGGGATGACCGTATTTGGAAAATAAAAAAAAAAAAATAATAAAAACACGACGGCCGTTTATTCCCCCCCCCTCTCTCTCTCCACCCGCCGCCGACGGAAAACCCCTCGTCCGTACGCGTTCGCATAATACATGCACGCGGCTGTAGAGAGCTGTGTAAAAGTCCAATATTGTTTTCTCGTTACTTCGCCCCTTCGCCCGAGTAATTTAACGTAAATAACGAACGTGTGTAAAATGTTTAGGGATGTTTTCGTTGGACAACACAACGTTGTATTAGAAAAACCGTTATAGTTTTCCAGACAATTGGAAAAATTTACCTTTTGACAATTAAAGGTTAACACAGCATTGAACAATACGTTTTGTGTTTTTCTCTCTGTAACAAGAATCAGAAGATTCGGCCGTTTTAAAATAAATTCATAGAATCGCGGAACGGTCGAAAAGTTTTAAAGTGCCGTTTCGCGCAATAAGCGCAGTATGACTTATTATCACACATGTATAGAGCATGTCTCGTTCTTATCGCCGATTTTATTACCGGGCGTCGGGACACGACGTTCGTTCCGCGAAAACCGTTATCAGTCACGTACGGCTTCGGTTTTCGAATTTCAAAAATACCAGCAACCGTTTTGAATTCGTTTACAGATTTTTTCTCATAAAATCCACGCGTTTAACAAGGGTATCGCGGGATTACGGCGGGACAGTCTTCTGAAAATAAACGTACAGATTCGGCTGCTGTTAGTCGGTTGGTCACCGCCGGTCTAGAGCACAGGCCAACCCCGAACGCTTTCTACGGACGAAAGTTCAACCATCGTTCATTTTCCAACATTAAAACGCTTAAAAACGATACCGCCGAAACGAAAACATGTTTTCAAGCGTTACACAAAATACCCCGAAATTCATAAATTTCAATTCTATTATTTATGCCGCGTTTAAAATAAATTATAATAACTTGAATTTGTTCACGGATGGATATTAATTCGCAGCACTAATTATGATATGAAAACGCGAGAATCGATCCGATATCCTGTACCCGCACTAATAAAAAAAAAAAAATACAATAGTAACAATAACATTTGCACATTATTATTTTTTTTTATAGATAACTCTGTTCCTAAACGCAGTGAACCAATACCAGCCGGACGTAAACGTTGTCGGTTTCTACGAGATAAATAGAGGATTATTCGGCTCGGTAAATCGATACGCGTGAATGCAAATCGACAGTCACAAATATTGAACATTCCGAACTGATAATACGCGTTTTTCTTTTTTTTAGATTTTATCTTTACTCGTGACATACCTCATAGTCCTTATACAACTAAATTCATCGTTCAACACACCAAGCATCGAATATAGTTTTAATACAACAAGAGAATAACCACAACAACAAATAATTATAATTATTGTAATTTTTATTTTTAAAATTTAAACATTACAATTTCTTTATTAATATTATAAGGTATTGAACTTAAAAAATAAATATTGTGAATAAATAATTAGAATAATTTCATATAGGTGAAAAAATTATTACATTTACTAGGTATATAGGTTTTTTTATTGTTGGATATAAGTACTTAAGATGCTTTTAATGTAAGTTGACGTATCCGTGATATTTATTCCTGAAACAAAAAACCGAATATTGTAATTAATTTTAATAATTAAGTTATTTCATATTTTAAATAAAGCACTGTAAGTGTTCAAAAATGTTTGATGCCGAGGTACTTTAAATTATAAAAACAATTATACGATTATTCATTTTGAGTATAGAAAAAATAAAAAATAAAAAATACAACTATTACCATGGCTGTAAATACAAATAAATACTGGCTATATTTTAATGTTTTATCGTAACAACTTTATTTTTAACAAAAATATAACCAGTGATAATGCGTTAATACACATTCTATACTTGTGTTTGTAAGCTAGAGCAGACATTTATGCAGATATATAGGCACTAAAAATACCAAAATGTTAAACATGTTTTTTAAAAATTGAATATGCTTTACAAATGTATGAAGAAATCATTAAAATATGCTCTAAAAGTATACAAAATCCTAAAATATGTCATAAGAATCCCAAAAACACCAAGTCACAAAATACATTTTGGTATAAATGGCTAATTTTTTTTTTTTTTTTTTTACCAACTAATAAAAATATGCAATTTAATGTAAATATCTGTCCAGTGTATCAGTGTACATCCAACAAGAGGCGTGTTATTTGAAAAGAAGCAATACCGAATAGGCAATATATAATTTCTAGCATGAGTGTTGTTTTTAGTTATATAAAACATCAAATTAAATATTAAGTAAAAGTTCTGTTTTTCTTATTTATTTATAATATGTATTTAAATAAAACATGTATATCTTACGTGCAACATCACAAAATTCATCAAATGATGTACAAGGTAAAAAGTCTTCACTAAAGGTTGCCATCATCTTTTCAGATACTTTGAGTAGTGTTTCATCATTGTAACGAATATAATCAGCTAAACAACTTGACCAATTTTTATTTTCCGACACCTCAATAGTCTGAAATCATACACACACACACACACATATATATACATATACATAAAAATAACAACTTAGTGTTAGAAAGTTATGTAACAATAATAAAAAAAAAAACCATTCATTACCTTGAAATAGTATTCATACATAGTGTTGATTAATGAAAAGAACATTAGAGCCGGTTTATAAGAACTGTAATCATAAGGAGTCATCGGCACAGAGCGTACATTAGGTGCTGCAGAAGAATTTGTACGATATAAGTGAGCCATTAATATGATTTTATTTAAGTGCATTAAACGATTTGTTGATATCCATTTTGAATATGGTGTTAACATAATTGACATTACGAGCCAATAGAATGGACTTTCTGTGTCATAAAAACTTTCAATCAATCGATCAGAAGGCTTTGGTTCCAAGTATGAGAGTAAATTACGTTCTTCTGCACTAGTTCGCCTTGTCCTAAATTAAAACATCAATATAATGAATATTAAATTTTGTTGTTGAAATTATTCATTTCTGTCAGTCCGTTGACAAGATATTCTACTTATAAATTTGGGTCAAAGGAGAGTAGAAGTCCATTATTAAAACGCTGCGCTACCACACAAATGATGCTTCACTACTCTCCTTCGACCCGAATTTAAAAGTTGAATATCTCTCGTCAATGGATTGATGGAAATTAAAAATTTCGACACCAAAATTTATATCAACTAATACTCTATCTATCGAAGTCATTTTCAATATAGGTTGCCATTTGAAAATCAAAAATAGGTAGTCGTTTCATCTCCAAAAATAAGAGTAACAAAAAAAAATAAATTTCAAAAATAGTCAATACATTTTGAAACAATGAGAGTTTAAACATAAAAAAATCACCCGGTATATATATATAAGTTGGGTTCTATTTGGGTTTGTAACATCACTATAAATAAAATAATTATTATTTAAATTTGACAAAGTATAAATATTACTTTCTTAATTAGTATGATCAATAAGTATTAAATTATGTTATAACTATTTATTTAATGTAACATTTTTTAAATTTATTTGAATTTAATCAGGTTTAGGTTTGATAAAAATTATAAAAGGCTGCTACATGAATAGTTGAAATATTTATTTTATATAATAAATGCAGTACTATAAAATTAACTATTACATACGTGTTAATCACATATAATGCCATATGCATGAGGTATGGTACTAAATTCATATTAGACTGAGGTCCTCCACCTCCAGTATCCTCGTGGAAGCTTTTTTCTTGAGCAAATCTCAACAATAGTAATTTTAGATCATGCACAGTTTGTGTGTAACTTATATCCCTTAGACCTGTAGCTTCTTGTAAATATGAATTATGTCTAGCTAAGCAATTTGCATAAGCTGATTCAGCAACCGAAGGGCCCCACATAGGTAATAAACCATTACACTTTGTATTGGCATTTTGTAAAGCTGCAGATTCCCATTCATCACGAACTCGAGCGAGTCTATAAAATACATTTTTGTTAATAAAGTGTATATGATATATATATATATATGTATATTATCATATAAGTAATTTAAGCAATTAATATAACTATTTCAAAAGTTGATTATTTTATGGCATTTCAAAAACCAGCTATAACTGTACGGTAATTAAAATTAAATAATCTTAATAAAAATATTACCTATATTTTTTTAATAATATAATCATCAAATTTAAGTTATAAAATTAAAAATGATAATTCACCACCATCTTGTGTTAAAACTATCAAAACAAAATTAATTACATAACACTAGAATCATTATAAAATATTGTCTGTACACACTATTTTTAAATGTTTTATGATCATTTTATTTATTGCAATTACATGTTGATATTTGTAATGAATAAAGATATTTTTTTAAAAACTTTAATTCTAAGTCAAATTTAATTAATTAAACTTTCTTTAATATGATATAATGAATTAATTGTTTCTTACCTAACTGCAGCCATATGACAGTCAAAATGAACAACATTAAAATGTGTAACAGTACTGTATCCAATGGTTTTTCGAGCTTTCACTTCATGATCTTCAACAACACATCTCTTAGTAAATGTATAAATACCTAATACTTTGGTAGGTTGGAACTTATATCCTTCACGACAAATAACACACACTAGTCCAGTTTCTTCTCCTAAATCTTCAACTTGTTGCAATAATGAAGTCTCAGCAGTTACTTGACCCTTGTCATTTGTACGCATCCCTAATTGGCCAAGTTGTTTTTGTCGCATAGCCATTGCTAACCGTTTTTTCTCTGCTTTGGTTTGTTCACGAACTTCTTCTATTTTTGCTGCCATTGTAGGATTTGTTTTTAAAGCTTCTAATAAATTTTCTGCGAGAGATCCAACATGTTCATCTGATGATACTTGTTCTAAACAATGTACAGTCTGGATACATTCATCAGTAACAGCAGTCTAAAATTAATAAAGAAAAAATATTATTTAAAATCAATCTGACATACTAAAAACAAAATACTTAAAATGTTTATATACAAATAACATATAACCCTGAATTTGCATTAATTGATTTAAATAATCAATAATAATTATAAATAAATAAACAAGTGTAATAGAGATTAATATATACCTGAGTTGGTTCATGACCCTTTGCTAATCCTGTCCAAAATCGTAAAATGTACTTCAATGAAGGTTTTGAAATGAATTCTTTCCACTCATCTTTATCGTTGTTTTTGTTTAAAGTTGATTTTACAGTGGGTGCATGAGTCTACAGAGCATAGAAGTAAATTAAATTAATTTAATTTCAAAATACAAAATTAAAATTAGACTTACTAATATATATTGGATAACATTATTAATAACTCCAAGAGAAAGTATATAATCTTTCAGTGTGTTGCCTAATGAATTATTTTCAATTCCATGAGTCAGATCACAAAATAAATTCATCTAAATACATTAAAATAATACAAATTAATTAATTAATATTTGATTTATAAAAATATGTGGTTAATTAAATAGGCACCATTTGCTCTTCTTGAGTAGAACGGACGTCATCAAATTTCTCAAAATCAGAAATAACTGAAGCAAAATGATCCATAAGAATAATCATTTTGGCTTTATTGTTATACGTAAGAGCAGCTAAAACACGAGTAAGATGCTGTACAACTGTATAACGAGCATTTGAAGCACAATGTAAAAGGTATTGAATATGACCATCCGGGCCAAAAGTCTCTGATAATTGAGCAAATTCTTCTGGACTTTGAGAAGTGGCTTTTGATAATATTGTTTCTAAAATCTAATATATTTGTTTAATTACAAAAAGATCATTTAAAAAATAAAATTACTTTTTTTCACAGAAAAATCCTAATTGGATACTTACATCAAGAGTTTGTTCAGTTAGTTCGGTATTTGATAAGCCATCAGCATCATTACTTAAGCACAACTCAAGTATACCAAGAAGAATGGGTATGGATCCTAGCTTAGGGTCAGTTAATACTTCTTGATTATGTTGTACTTTAACACAAAGACCAAGTAGTTTAAGGAGTACTTGGAGAAGTGGACGTGACTTTGAGAGATCTTCTATTGTGGATAGCCTATTTAATATAACTTCCAATCCACGACACTCTGCCATAACATTAGCCATTTTATAAACTTCTTCATTATTAACTTCTTGGTCACATTTGGCATCTAATGTCTCAATAAATTCTTCAGTAGCATCACCTAATAATCCTCTCATGCGATAAACAATATGCATTGCAGCTTCATTGTCACCGCCTTCTGGCAACCAAATCTTTTTGTACACCTAAAACATATTTATAGATGTACATAATTCTATAATATTCTCAAGACCAATGTAAGTTTATAATAAATACAATGCTTACCTCTTTAACAGGCAAATCCAAGCTTATAATCTTATTGTTGACCAATAGTTCCATACCATTATCATCCTCAAGTAAAGCAACCAGTTCACAATCTTGACAAATTTTATTTTTAACATCTCTCATTAAAGGTCCAAGACCAGATTCAATACTACTGTATGGATTACCTAACATGCGCCCCTAAGAAATAATAAATTGATTAATTTTATATTTTGTATTTTAAATGGGGAGAGAGCTAGTTTAAATTTTTTCGTATTGTTAACTTTTGTCTGGAAAACAGTTATTAATGCAGTAAATAAACTCAGCTTGATAAATCCAGCTTCTATAACCAATTTCCTTGTCAGTTTATTGTTAGTTGCAATTCTGTAGCATATGTGCCATCACTGACGATGACTCGCATATGTCAATAAGTTAAAACATTGGAAACCGTCACGAAATATAAAATTTAATTTTCTTACATTTTAGACCAAGTGTTTTAAATGTTTTTAAATTAGACATACCTACATACCAATGATAAATTTGTATATTATAAGTATGTATGGATTTATTTAAAACTGCCTAGGTTTCTTACGAAGCAGATTTTAAAACTTGGTATGCCTAAAATAAATATAAATGTAATTTGGGAATTATTAAAGAATTTTCAGAAATAATATCATAATTTTTGGAGTCTTCAAAAGAGAAAATTGACTTCCTAAGAAACCTAAAAAAATGTATCAACAAATGCATACATACTTTAAAAATTAAAATCTAACATTGAGAAGTCTAATTTAGTATCAATTATTGATCTAAAATGCATTAAAACTAGGTGTGCTCTGAGCCTCCTTAATGCACATAATCATTAATTTAAATTAATAAATATATATTAGTTTAAATGCAGAAATCAACAATAACAAAAAGTGCTACGCGCAGTCCAAATAATATTTAAGAGAAAATTTATATTTTTATTTTTCTAAAATACTTTGAGTTATACAATTTATTATCCCTGTGCCGATTCAATTATAATATATAAAACTAAAATTATTTCAAAATAACCATTGTTTATATTAGTACTTACTTGCAAAAAGTCTTCTTGTTGAGAGTCTTTATCCAAATTCATATAAAATTCACCCACATCATTTTCTTCAGGGTAAATAGTTGAGCACAATCTTTCAAATACAAATACTGGAGTACGTACATCTTGTGAATCACACTTTTCAACAGTTTCTACACATATTGCCATAAATGCTTTAGATTCTGCTTCTGTACCACATGTCATTTCTTCAAGAAGCTCCAAAAGTTGAGATTGGGTTTCATCAATTAGACGTGTTCTTTGAACAACCAAACGACGAAGGGAAAGATATCCATTTAAAATAGCACCCACAAGTCTTCCTTTGAATTGTTGTTTAATACTATCGAATTCCAAAAATGATGCCAACAATCCAGTTAAACTTTTTAAGACAAATCCTTGTGCTAAATCTGAAGTCAATGTAGTTTCTTCTAAATAATGTAAATGTTTAATTTCTTTGGTAATTATGTCTGATATCATTAAAAGTACACCACGTAATGCTAAATACTGTTTCCAGGGAGTTTGCTGAATAAGATTTTGATATAAAGCTAAAAATTCAGCACAGTTTTCACCTGCATTTCCGAGTTCTGTTAAAAATCCAGTTAATAGGTCTAAAATCTATAAATATTAAATTACAAATTAGTAAAAACATATTACAACTTAAAATAATAAAGAACTTCACCTCTTTTTTCCTTTCTGGTACTTGAGCAATACCCTCAAATATAGCACAAGTAACCTGTCTTAATAGTCTTGTACTTGAACAGAATAAGAAATGTTTTAGCCAAGAAGATTCTGTTAAGATGAATGGCCTAGCAATGTCTCTTAATGAATATAATCGCCATTTCTTAAAATATTTAGAAGCTAAATAATATTGTCTTATTTCAATCTAGAAAAAAAAAATAGTTAAATTATAAATAGTACACATTTATAAACCATATTATCCAGTCTATTTTTCTCTAAATATAACTCAACTGAATACATTTGTTACTGACTTTATTAAAAAAAGAGATAATGAATTTAAAATAGAAGTATTTTTTTTTTTTATAATTGTTTTACTCTTTAATTTCTATAGATATTAATTAAAAAGTAATACATATGATTTTGGTTTTTTTGATGGAACATCTGGTGTTCTTTTTTGAAGTCTTTGACGCCATGCGCTAAATATATGTTCAGGGCTTTGTTTACTCCATTTTCTAAAATCAACCATTAAATGATCTGATATTTGAACAGTTGACAAGCTTTCTGTAGATTTGTCCTAAAGGTAATTTATTCATTAAATAAGTTTATTATTATTTAAAGTATGTGATGTAAAATAATTTTTTTTTTTTTGTAGATATTGAAATTAAATCTTGTTATCACAATTTACCTTATTTGCTTTAGCTGTTGAAGCTGGCGGTTTTATAATATTGCGCATCATTTTTAAACACGGTAATGTAATGTAAGTAACAATAGCTGACGACTGGAATTCTTTACATGTCATGAAGAATAATTGCATTACACATTTAGCCTTTTGTTCCCAACATGAATCTTCTTTATACAGCATTGTTGCCAATAAGGAAATTTCTGGTCTAACAGCAAATGCTAAATCAGCATTTGCTATTGGCCCTCTAATTGTAAGTGATATTCTTTGACTCAACAATCCACATAAATCTTCTGTAGCTTTTGGATTATCTTGTATCAAAATACAAAGTAAATTTCTTACTTCTTCCTGAGTCTATAATTTAAAAAAAATATAATTATAAAAATTAATTATTAAAAATATAAATTTTGAATTATTACTTGAACTGATCCTCGTCTAATATTATTCTCAACAAGTTCTTGAATCAAGCCTTGTTGCAAAAGTATTTTACGTAATGCCATGTTTGTAGCAAGAGCACGTAACATAACAAAACAATGTTCTAGAGCAGCTGTTATACAACCATAACAAGTAGTATTAGGTAAAGAACAAGTTGATGACATATTTTGAGATATTGATAATGATGTTATAGAATCAGAAATTGAAACGGAACTAAAACTGCCATTAAAACGACTTGTTGATTTAACTTGTCCTACTTGATTTTGATCATATGCTATTAACTCTTTACGACTTGCCAACACTTTCTAAAATAATGTAAAAAACAAATTTAAAAATGATACATTAAGTTTAAAATTATAAATTTTTTATAGAGTTTATCTAGAGAAATATAAAGTCTTTATTTTTAAATATTATATTTAGAATTGTTTTTTTAAAACTATAAGCACAGTGAGATATGTATTGGCTTTACTATGTGTTTTTTTATCTGTGAATGGATGACTAATGACTAATGTGCTGGAAAAAAAAATATATTAGAAAATAAATCTAATTTCATTGAAAAATAAAGTTGTAGAAAATATATAAATTATTAAAATAGTTAGAAAAAAACAATAATCTATTTGAATACTGACAGTTCAGAATTCTAAAAACAATTCAGAACACTAAAATATCACATTATAATCCTTAAATGGGATTAAATTGAATATGATTAATAAAATAAAATAAAATAAAATAAAATGGAATTTCTTCTGCCAAGGATTCTCTAATATTCTTAAACAAATTATTTTCTACTTCTTTTATTTTTCAAACACATATTTAACTGCACATCACTCAAATAATTATACGACAGATATAAATTAAATTACCCTATAAATTTGTTCAAATGTTTGGTAAAATATTTTAAAAATTATATAATTAATTAATTAACTATATAAATTATTTTTTTGTTTTAATTAATAAAACGAAAAAATTTTGAATTTAGAAAAAAAGATTTATCTATCATTGCATTTAATATTTAAGATAAATTGGCCTATTATAAGAACATTATTATCTTAAATTATTTTAGTCTATTATTTACAAAATATATTTTACAGATTTTAAAAATTAATTTTTATTTTGATGTTCTAATTTAAACTTTATGCAAGAGTAACTAGATAAGAAAATGACTAACTGATTAGACATCCACTATGTTTAGAGCAAAATATGAATAATTTAAATATTTAAAATTAGACTAAAATAAATAAATGCCCATTTATTGAGTGTAAAAATTAAGTTTTGTACTAAACACACCACCGCAGTAATTAACAATGAGTCAACTAATAACAAAGTATCCATGAGTTGGCCGTTTTTATTTTTTAGGTATCTATAATTTAAACCTTAATATTTTTTAATAAAATTTAATATTGATTATAAACGCTAATATTTACTAAGGATTAGTTGTGATAACTTATGCATTTTAAAACACATAAATATACCATAATTAATGAATTATTAATTGTGTAATTTTGTTCTTTATAAAATTTAATATTAATTATTTACTTGTACAATACGACTGAGATCTTCAAAAGTATTACGGCATTCAGAGCCATACTTTTGAGCTAGTAATTGAATAGATCTATTGACTTGATGTACAGGTCCTGATGAAATGTTATTATTCATAGCTCCATTAACAACAGCAGCAAATCCAGACACAGGAGCAACATTTGGACTTTGACTTTCTTCTGCATTTGTGTTATTTGATTTCTCTAAACGGTTTTCCATGACTTTCACTAACATGGTCTAAAAATAATAAAATATTTATTTTAAAGTTATTTCTTTAATATAAATTTAAATATAATATATTATAATAGTTAACCTCTAAAACAGGTTTTGATGACACTAGCTGTTTATATAATCGATCAGCTTTTTCCAAATTTGAATTAATAGAACTTATTGTTTTATTTCTGTCATCATCATTTTCAATAGGATCAACAGCACAACAAGGTTTAGCAGTTAAAACATAATCAAATTTAGCATATTTACAAAAACCGCAAGAATGGCAAAGAAATGGTTCTTTTTCATCATAATTAATAGCCCTAAAAAAATATACATCAAAAGATCAATATAAATATTTTACTGTAAATTATAATGAACTTACCGGCATTTATGACACTGAAATACATTCTCACCACAATTAGAACAAACACCTGGATTTGAAGGAACTGTTGCACTACATCTAGGACACTGTAAAGTTTCTGATGAGGCATGCAAGTTCTCATAAAAGCTACCATACTCTATTAATAAATTGCATGCAATTATCGGTACAGCAAATTCGACTTTCACTTCAGTTTGTCCAGATGTTAATGAAATTTCTTTTGCTTTGTGCCACATTGCTGGTTTATTTTTAAGCTCTACCACAGCTTGTACATAACGGTTATTGTAAAATATATTCATTGTGCGCACCATTTTAGTACGTTTTAAATCAGTTATACGTAATACAATTTTATTAATTGTATGACTTCCCATGAGCTTAACAATTTGAGTAGTAGTAGTGAATTTTGAATCTACTTTTATGGAAGTTAACTTAATATTGCTGAACGGTATTTCAGGATTATTACAAACCATGCAAGGTTCACTTTCTAAATAAAAGCCTTCTAAATCAACATATTGAGATACTTGTGTATACAAATTAGCATTAGGGTGGCAAGCCAATTTATAATTTTGAGTTCTTAATAATTCAATTGCCTGTTCAACATATTTAGTAGATGTAGCTGCTTTTTGATTATACTTAAAACTGAAATATCCTAATAAATCGACAAATTGTGATGCTTTTCTTCCATATGTTGGCAATTGTGGCCATAGAGTCCACAATAATTCTAATAATTTTTCTTGATCTTCGTGTTCTGAATTTCTGTAAATTGATAATACTAATGCATGCGCTTGCCAACGAATATGAGTAGAATTTGTTTCAAGTAAAAATGTTTTAACAAAACGTGTCAAAATATCTCTATTTAATAGTTTGTTCATTTCTTTAACTAATATCATGCATTGAGCTTCTTCGAGCATAGTGTTCTCAATATCTTCTGCAACTTTAGATACTTTAGATTTTGATTCCTTTCCTAAAGGAGTACCAGATTGATTTTTGGCACCACATATAGCATACTGAAGTAAATGTAAAATTGTAGATGATACACCCTCATCTAAAAGACAAGCTGCACGCATCAAATACAATAAAACAGTGTTATCTTTACGGCAATATAGTTGCCAGTTCATCATACGACTAGATGCAATATCTACACAAACTTTTACATCTTCCACTAATTCAACAAGTTTATCATATGTTAAACTAAGAGATTGTGGTGTATTACGATCTCCAATATCACATGTGATTTGGAAATTCTAAAAAAAATAATTATATATATATAAAGAAAATACATTTTAACTAGTTTTATATCATACCTTCATACTAGTTGACAAGGCATGCATATCTCTAATTTGGCGATATTTGTCCTTGTTTCCACAAACAAATAATAATAGTTTCCTAACTTGACGCTTAATAAATGGACTGATTGTTTTCAAACTCATAAATTCACACAATACAGTCAACCATTCCTAAAAAACAAATATATATTTAAAAATATTAGTTTATTGTATGAGGTTTATAAAAAAAAAAATATAGTTTAAATTTAATACATACTGGTTCAAAGGACAACTGTGACCAACTTTTCTGTATTTGATATGGTAAACGTAATAGCATTTCTGTTAGAATGATAGGGTAGTTATAGAAAATGTCTTTTGACTGACTAACTGAATAGGGTTTTAGGAAAAATGGACTCATATCTGGAACTTGTGATGGTCCGCTTGGTTCTAACAAAACACTAACCACAGTGGCACCGTTATCATCATTATCACTAAAACTATAACACAAAAATACATGTATATTAAAAAAAAATAACAAAAATAATGTATTATTATATGTATTATTCATTGTTACCTAGCCCAATATTCATGTAAAGCTTTTAATGCTTTAAGACAACAAGATATAAACTGAGCATTTTTTAACATGGACGCTGCCATTTGAGATATATGTGTTGTATGATCTGATGATTTAGAACTAGATTTGGGTCTTGATAATAAAACTCCTAAAATAAAATAAAAATCATACAAACTTTATTAAAAGAATATTTAAGTCTACTTACCAATAAAACGCATAACAATTATGACTATCTCTCGATCTGCATTTCTTATATGTAAATTAGCACCATCTGATGTTTCATGACGTAAATTAGTAATAAACATTTGCATAAGTTCTGTAAATTGTGCTTTGTCTCTTAAATCATTTAAATCCATATCAGCGACAATAGAAGAGATAACCTAAATAAAAAAAACCAATCTAATCGTATTAATACAATTATTCACCAATATACTAAACTTTAATAATTCAAATATTAATTATATTATTATAATTTATGTTTAAGAAAATACAAAAAAAATTCAACAATATTGGGTTCTCTGGCAATTTCCCAAATTAAATGACTAAATGACCATTTCTTAGAAAAACTATTTCACGAAAATCTTAAAAATGTTTTTTCAAATATAACCATTTTTTGCACCGATTTATTATTGTATCTTGAGTACCATTAACTACCAAAACATTTATTGTTTTTTTTGATAAAACACACAACTAAATGGGTACATAATTAATGTAATAATACTAAAAAACAGATATCAGTAAAGCGTGGATGTTAATGACCAAACTTTCTTTAAAATATGCATTTAAAAATTTCAAAATATGCAATTATATTCCTTATAATATATTTTAGTTTATTTATTTTCAACAGAATAATGAATCATATATACCTTTTTTTCAACAAATATATGAAAAAAGTGTTAATATTAATTTAAAATAAATTGTATACTCTTTTAATAGTGCATGCATTAAATATACACATTTTTAAAAAAATTACCAAGTTTTACAAATCAAAAAATAAAATAATTTAAAAATCTAAATGTTACATAGGTTAAATACTTTAAATTTTAGGATTACACTGTATAACAACTATTTTACTTATATTTTCAAATTTGAAAAATTTCGACGAACTGACAGAACGTTTTTGTTAACTACTCACTATAGGTTTATAAATAACCAGATGTGTCAGCAACTTTACGTTATGATATAAAGTGTTTGGTTAATAGTTTCCGTACAAATTATTAATATTATATTTAAAATTGTTTAAAGTATGCTACTAAATCTAAAAATAATCAATATATGTATTTATATGCTCAAAAATGTCAAATATGCAAATATAATGCAAAATAAGATTGCATATTTGAAATCTAGATTTCATGAATCAAAATTATATCACATTCAGGTATAATTCTGATTTTGATAAAAAAAATATGCGAAGTCTTTGACATTTGAGCTCTAGCAGCAGACATGTATTGTATTTGAGAATAATAATATTCATGAAAAAAGGTCTTAGAGAAAATTAGTTTAGGATTTGAGTTTTTTTTTCTGAAAAACAGATGGCATCTAATTTTGGTTCAAAATCACCATGTGACATATTATTAGCTTTAAAGACAATCATAATTGTAAATCAAAAATTATTAAATTTCAATTACTTAATTCGTATAGTTAATAATTTTTTATAATTTTTAAAATTTTTTTTTACAAGTGGTATAATAAAAAAGGTTTATAAAATAAAAATTTAAAAAATTATCCAATAAAATGGATACCTGACTATATTGACAGCTGAAGATCAAAACTTAAATAATTTGAATATTACTAATCTCTACTTAATTGTTTATTTATATTAATATTTAATGAAATATATTAATTTTCATTAACTAATAATATAAATAGTTAATTTTGTACCTAAAATATGTTAATAAGACAATCTTCTCGTATTTATTAAAAGCTTAATCGTGTAATCTCTTTAACATTCTAACATACAAAAATAACATACTTGGAAAAATGGTATAGATCTAGTGCCTCCAATTTTATGTAAATGCGGAATATGATGAATAAATCTATCCATTAAGGATGCTCTCAAAGTGTGTAGATGATTATTATGATCATTTATTTCTGAATCTTGATCATACACTATATCTTCATCTGCTCCTCTTTCAACTTGACTCTGTAAATATTATTACAAATAAAGTCATTGAAATAAATATAAAATTAAATAACTATGTTTAATAATTTTTTCAAATTAATTATTTCATTATAATATTTAATTTTATATTTTATACTTTCTTTATATGACATAATGTTTATATATATTTTATTTTTTCTTATAATTATATTGTAATTAATTTATAAATATGTTACCCCTTTTGATGAAATATCTACCTTCAAAACTAGCAGTTACGAAATTAAATTTTAACACTAAGTCAATATCTTTATATATTATTTAACATTATTTTTAAATTTAATAATTAATTATTTACTGTTTCTGTGAGTGATGTTCTTAAGTTGCTATTTCCTGGAACAGCATTTGTATCTTCATCATCAGAACCAGCGGCCGAAGCAGTTGTGTCACTTAAATGACCTTGTTGTGTAGATGATTGCATTTCAGAATTTTGACCGTTTTCATTAGTCTGAGAAGAAATTTCTTGCAAATTCTAAGCAGACAAATTTAAAATTATATTTTAGAATTATACTTTTAAATGGTACTATACCTGTAATTCAGCAGGAGCATTTAAGCCTTGTAATTCTACAAAACCTTGTCTAATATTTTGTAGTTCTGCATTATCATTATCCTATAATCAAACATTATTAATAAGTTTTATAATTATTTAGTAATATAGTAAATTGTATAAGTATTTGATTATTTAGTAATTACTTGAAGGCTGAGTGCTATAGCTAATTCTACCATTGCATCATCATCAGCATCAGGTGGGAGAATAAGACCGGGAAATTGAACATTTCCAATTAATACTTCCATGTTATTTTGAGGATCTTGATTTTCAACTATAAAAATTCAATATTAATTACCTTTTAGATTCTGACTATAACAAAGATACTATAAATTTCAATATGGTATTTTTTTTCTCGAAAAACACTTATACGATTGGGCAAATACTTTAATTTTTCACACAATAACTCAAATATGCAAATTGTTGTCAGATACTTTTATTTGGAACACTTATCGATATTTTCAACAGTTCACCCCAAAAATTCTTTTTGTGTTGCGAGGTAGCAAGGTTTTACTATGATATGTTCTTTTTTTTGTCTGTAAACAACTTTTTGAAAAGAAATATTGCGATAATAAAGTAGTAACTTTTCTGAAAGGAAATATTGTCCAGTTAGTGCATTAGAGAAGTCATTTTTTATTTTCAGAAAATAACTGAGAAAAACCCCAAACATTTTTTTAGGTAAAATAAATATTTACAGCACTCCAATTTCATTGTTTTTAATATTTATAACTTATGTTTTCTATTAGAGTAGAAATATTGCTCCTATAGAAAATAACAAGCGATCTTATTTGTTGAATTTTCAATCTAGTTGGTGACCAAGGAACATTTTTAGATTTTTGTTTGTAGTTTTTTAAATAACTGAGCAAACCAAAAAATATGTAAAAAGCACAGGTAGAAAAATTTACAAAAATAATTATTTTATTATTTTATATTTTGTTTTTTTAATGTAATTCAGTTTAAAATATTCATGATACATATACTTGAAATTTAGGCAGAAAACTTAAATTTGCTTTTTTTGGGCGTTAAAAAAATTGTTTGCCAATTTGTTTTAATTTAATTTGGTAGGTATTTTTATCTGTGGATAAAATTGATAGAACAAAAATAAATTGCTTAAAAATTTAACAAGTAATTTATAATAAGTTATACTTGTTGATCAACAAGAAAAGTTGAGTTTAAATTAGTATTTTTTTTTTCTAAGTTTTGAAACAAAATTTTGATAAAAATCATAAATATTCCAAAACATTTTAAAACTGAACTTCCTTCTGAAATGTTTTTCTTTAGCAATAGTTTATTGTTGGTTACAGATATAAATTAAATAACTTTATGTATTCCACTTTCTCAATTTACACCTAAACAGTGACAACAACTGTCAGTTTCCTCGGCTGATTCCCATCAGTTTTTGAATAAAAAAAACTTACAATTTACCTTTGTTACAGAACAGAAAAACACTAATATTACTCTAATCATAATTGTTTTCTTTTATTAGTAATTTCTTTTTTTGTGTATAACTTTTTTACCAACAATTTTGATCCAATTTACAATGATAGCAATTTTTCTAAATGGAAATCTGACTAGGAGGTATTTTGAGGAAGTCAGTTTTTGATTTTTCTCAAAAAATGGGAAAATTTGACAAAGCAACACTATCAACTGAACTCCAAACAGAATCATTTTTCATTAGCAATGGTTTATTGCTATTTACAGATATACATTAAATTACATATAACAGTGGCTGCACCATTATTCTAAGACCGCTTTTTTTCTTTCTTTTTTTTAAATCTCTTTTATCATTTCAAAATATAAAGTAAAGTACTTATATATTAATATCTATTAAAAATAAATAAATATTACCTCTTGGGTCTAATAAAATAATTGGTTCATCAACTTCATATAAGATATTTTCTTCTGGGGCTTCTTGAGGTACTTGTTCTTCATTTTCAGGTTCTTTGGAGTTTGATTCTTTAACTAAATTAAAATTAAAATTATTAAAAAAAAATTATAAAGGCTACCATTAATTGAATACCTTCTACTGAATCTTTGTTTGAGTTATCTACACGGACTAAATTTTTTTTATTTTTTCTTAAGACATGACGCGGTTTTAAAGCTTTTATAAGTGCTACTTTTGCAGTATAGCTAACAGCTATATCTTCACACTGTAAGAATTCTAAATAGTACTTAGATACCATGATCATTTGTGTGTTTTCAAAGCCAGAATATTCATAATATAATAATGAATGAAGGATTTCAATAAGTGCAAAAACAACTGCTTCTGTATGTTTTAAACCTATATTTTGAATAATTTATTAGATATATCTTGCATAATGAAAAAATATGTTTAGTTACTCACCAGGTATGTATATTGTACAAAATGATGTATTTTTAGGTCTCTGATTGTACAATATCCAAAATACAGTTATTAGTTTTCTAATAAGGGATAGAGACAAATTCGGCATTGGATCAAATCCATAAGTAGTATAATTTTCTGAAAATAAAGTTGTTAGTTTAACATCATATATATATATACAATGATTCATTTAATGTACAACACTCATAATTACACAAAGTATTGACTTATTTTAAAAACATTATGTTTAAATCAATTTTCTTGTTGAAATTGTTGATTTCCGTAAATCATTAACAAAATATTCCACTTAAAGAGGTTTAGGTAGAGGTAAAAAAATGGAATACTATTCAAAAGTTACGCCACACAAATGATGCTTCACTAACGACTATTCCCCTACCTAAACCAGAAAAAGTGGAATATTTGAAAATCAAAAATAGTTTAGACATCTCACCTCCAAAAATAAAGATGAAAAAAATGAAAAATGTAGAGCTACTTGTTTCTAAAATTAAAAAAAAAAATATATTTAAAATCAATACTTTCCGAAATAATAAGTTTTACATTAAATAAATCACCCTGTATATCAAAAATCATCATAGGTCGTGCATTTGTCAAGAATAAACGCACAGTATAAAATGCATTCTGTCTAATTTAATTTATAACTATTTTATAAATTTTTTTAATTACCTCCATCTTTTAATTTTAAGTTAAATAAATTGTCTGGTCTGCTAACTGCAATACCCCGAGTAATTAAAACCAGCCTATAGAATGCTTCAGCATCCAGATTTTTAGGGTCCGTGTTTAAAAAACTATGCAATGTTTGAAGGGTATAAATTAATATAGATTGATCCTATTTATAAACAATTATATCATTATAGTATTGTTTAAAGTTTCAATATATAAATTCTATTTTATACTTTTAAAGCATTGAAATCTGGCTGTAAGGAAATTACTAATGCTTTAGCACTGATTTGGATACATGCTTGAGTACTATGATTAAGCAGTTTTAAAGCCATATTGACTGTTTTGGTTTTATTATCTGAATACTGTTCTGTCTCTTCATTTAAACAGAATGTTGAAAGAATAAAGCTTTTTTCTAATATCCTTAGTAATCCAATGACAAATCTAAAAATTTAAAATTTAAATGATTATTTGTTAAACCTCAATATTCCATATATTAGAACATAAAATTTGAATTTTACAATTCAATACAATTGTATTTCATTTTAAAGAACTCCACACCCACATCTACTGTTTTGGTCAAACTAATAAAAGGTAACAGAGTAAGAGTTAGAAAAAACATAAATAACAAAATTTAAAATACAAATTGTTTTCAAAAGCTGCCATAGATTTTTTCTAAAAAGATTGTCATACAATAAATTTACTACTATCAAAAAAAAGGAAAAACTAACACTAGTTTTATGGTAAGACAATAGTTTAGAAAAAGTTTATGTACAGCTCAAAAATAATCTTTTTAAAGCTTGTTATTTGTAGGTATTTAAACTCTAATTTTAACCCAAATGTCATAATTTACTTTCTAAATAACATAATTTTACTATGATGTTATTATTTAAATGAGACAGTAGATGAGAGCTTATTGTTCTCTTATTAAAGTGTAACAAAATGATTAAATAAATTATATTTTCTTAGAATAATAAAGTTTATTTATACTAATATCACTTAAAATAAAAAGGTGACAATCTTAGGAAATAATTTTAAAAATATTAAATTTATAATTATTAAAAATTAATAAATATCCTACAAAATATTGAACATTTTTAGTTAAAAAAATTACCTTGTAACGAGAACTATATTAAATAGAATATAGTCATACTAACATAAGATTCATAAATATTATAAATATCATAAGTACAAAAAACAAAAAAAATACTGTATAATATAAGATACATAGTAGAGTTGTTTTGGGTACCAAATACTCAGCTTTTTTTTAGTATTCGGTACCTGGCGAGCCCTATAAAACATTTTTTAGAGGAGTCTGGGTAATACATAGTACATACCAAAGTAAATTAAGTGGATTAATCCACCATGGTACATACATACATAATAATGCTCATCAAATATTATTAATATTTATCAATGATATCATTTTTTAGCACTTGAAGATAAGATAGCAATACACTTGTCACATTGAATTCATTTTATTTATGTACTAGACTGGCCATGTAAGCTATTTAATATTCCTTTTATTTTAATACCTGGCCAAGCACCCTGTACCGAAATGAAAAATTCTAAAATTACCCAGTATCCAGTCAAATGTAATACCCATAACAACTTTAATGCATAGTAGTACACATAATTATAAAACAAACTTTATCTATTCCAATTTTTGTATTTTTATTCTTAATGTAACATAAAAATACAAACAAATGTCATCAATTTCTTCATCTTATTGTATTATATGCAATAGATGTTTGGTATGCAAAATAATTTGAATAATATTTTGTTTAAGACAATTTTATGATTACAATTTTAAAGTGTATCTTTATCTTTTCTCGTCCTCCACTCATCCACTTAAGCATTCTTATCTCTGGTACACTCAATCTGTTCTATTTTTCTGTAATCACCCAATAATCCGAAGTATGCAACTATACAAAATATAGTCAGTCTTCATCACACTTTTGTAGAACTATTAATCTTATTGAAATTCCCGTGTCACATAAAACACAAAACGCCTGACACTTCTCTCCATATTATTCAACTACACATAATGTCGCCATATTTTTGTACAAAAGATCCTAAGTACTTAAAACTCTCAACCTCGCCTATAACCTAAAATATAGAACAAGAAATAGTTCTTGTTCCTCCAAATTCATATTCTGTTTTTTTTGTACTAGTGCTACTCTCCATTCCTCATGCCTATTGTTAACTTATTTTAGATTTTCTTCTATGAAAGCTAAATTATCTGCATACATTGTACACCATGGTCCATTCTCTCACCTTTTGTCCCCAAATGGGACAATCTGCCAATATCTTGTTTAAAATTTCTCAAAAAATTTTGAAATTGACATACGACAGATAGAAACATTGTGAGTACTAATTTGATTATTCGTGTATACTATACTATGATTAGCCAATAGGGCTCGGATTTTAAAGCAAATGCATTTTTTTGATAAATGAGATATAAAACTAATTTTTATGCATACATTTGTTTCATGCCATTCTGATTCCAAATAAACCAATTTATTTTTGCTTTTTTTGATTTTTTTATTGCTTTTTTTCAGTTATTCCAGCTATGGTATTTTTATGTTTATTATGCAACAGTAATAAAAAAAAAAAAATTAATTAATAAGAAATGTAAAAACCTGGAATACAGACTAAATCTTTATATTGAATTATTATTGTTTTAGTTATCGGCTTGATTTTAACAATCAAGCATATTAAACATATAGATTATCGATCTATAGACAGCCTACAGTTCGATAACTTATCGACCTACATATATCCTGTAGTCAGTACTCCTAATAAAATTAATATCTATCATTTCAAAATTTAAGTTTTAGTGTTTTAATAAAAATATCAAAAGATATAATAAATGCATATTTAAAAAAATTAGTGTTAGAATTTGATAAAGTTTTTTCAAAGGATCCAATTTATTTAGCAAACTTTATGTAATAAAAATGTCATGTAAAAAAAAAAATATAATGCACAGAGAGAAAAACATGTACAAGCAGTTAAAAAGACATAAAAATGAAAAGTTTGCATTACTTCAACTTTTTTTACAATAATTTAGTAATCAGTCAGATTTTAATGCCAATTTATGTTGAACATTGGTAGCTGCAAATATTCCAAAAAAAAAACTATTTCTAACAATTCAACATTACACGTAAAGGATATTTCAATACATACTATAAAAACACATTGGCAAAAATTAATGATACAATAACTGATCAGAAAATATATCTATCTATTGATGAAACTATGGACTATGGATGTTGAAAATGTAACAGTAGGCACATTACAACTATAAAATCCAAGTAATATGTCCGTTATTTACCCAGAATACTTGGATAAAGTTAATCATAGTACAATATTTTATCTATTAGATAAAGCTATGCATATTTTGTTTTCTAGAAACATTCGTTTTCTATGTATAAAAACATTTTGCCAGACAATGACTATTGTCATTGTTTCACTACTGCAAATTTTGTAAAATACATGGTAGTTAATTCTTTTTTTAATTTAAATTAGTTTTTCAATTCTTTTTTATTCTTTTAGTTTTCTAATAACTAATTTATGTTAATTTTTGGTCATGCTTTTTTTTTTTTTGCTTTTTATAAAAATTAATATGCTTCATTTTTGTTTTTTTAAAACAATTTTGTGCTTTTTTTTGTTATTTATTATGCTTTAAAATCCGAGTCCTATTAATCAATATTTGTATATACTTGTCAAGTACACGAGTTATGAGAATCTGGCATTATAACTATTATTCAACTGAATATACAGAATGATTAATTCTTGAATAACAAAAGACACTAAGACATTAATTATGTCTAAAAAATATCAAATTTCCTTGAATTTGTTTTATTAGAAAATTTAAGAAAAAGCATTACCTAAACTATTACATTTCCTCTTTTTTTTGGGTTGAAATGATTACATACTTTTTATTTTTAAAAGCAACCTAAATTAATAAATTATAAAATAATAAAGTAAAAACAAAATTATTAAAATGGTTAATACTTTTAAAAAAATAATTCTATTAACAGATGAAATATTAAATACATTTTAATGTTGAAATTATTGATTTCTGTTAACTTGTTAAAAAGATATCATCTATCCATTTCATGTTTGGATAATGGAGGAGCAGTGGAACATATTTGTCTAGTAGCATGGCACACTAAATTTGAATAGTGCTCTATTTTTCTCTAACTAAACTTAAAAGTGGATCTTCAACGACTTAATGGAAATCAAAAATATTCACATCAAAATGTATGAAATTAATATTCTATCTGTTTATGAAATTTTGAATATAAGTTACTATTTTAAAATAAAAGTAAACAATTGTTTCACCATCAAAAATAAGGATGAAAAAAAATGAAAATGAAAGAATTTATCACTTTTTATAGTTTAGCTTAATTAAGCAATAAATAATATAAACACAAGATATTATACTGATCAGTGTTAATAAAATAAATCAAAAATTGTAATTAAATTATTGAGATAATAATAAAATATGTTACTTGTCTAAATGGTCAACAGTTAAACCAGTTACAGGTAACTCTTTTTCTTGAGAATTGTACTGGTTAGCAGTAACTACGGTACTGGTTGATGTTGAACCATAAATTGTGCCATTACTTATCTCATCTACATCATCAGGCCATCCAAATGATTCTTTAGTTTTGCCATATCTGTACAATAAAAATAGAAATAAAATTAGAATAACAGATTATAAATTATTATTTACAATTCCATTAACTGACATTTTTATTGAATCAATCATTGTAATGCCTTCAGGATCTCTTGATGGGCCAAATATAATAGTTAACTTTTTATCACTTTGAAGGCTCTCTTCTCTGGTTAAAGGAAAATCGAACCATCGACTTCGGGTAATCGGTGCTATTTGCAAAGAACGCCCAAGTACTTCTACATATCCAGGAGTGCGTCCAGAATCTTGATTACCCACATTAATTCTAATTCCAGCCATTACCATTGTAGCATCATTATTAATGACTTCAATACCAAAACGCGGTTTTGTAGATATTATATACATTCCTAAAAAAAAAAATGTGAAATGTGTTCACTAACAAGAAGTTAATGGGATGTATTAAAAACATATATGCAGTCTCAGTTTTACAAACTCACAACAGCAAATTTTCATTCAGTTCTGCGAATTTCAAGCTGTTAATTTTAATATTAGATTGAATTGTTCTATTATCAAACTTAAAGGTAAGAACATTTGTATTTTTAAGTGACATATGAACATGTAAAATATTACAATTTGAAAATACTTAACTCGCTTGAAAATTAAATAGAAAAAAAAACCTACCTACATTCAAACAAATATAATATTCTTTCTAAATTTGATAATAAGTGTCAATTTGTGGTGGTCGAATGTTTTAGAATGTTTGACCGCTCCAGCGTTATGGACATTCCCAATCACACTTTAGAATGTTTGACAGCCCTAACGACAAGAACCTTTAGAGATATGGCGCTGAGAAGATATATAAGACTGAAGCAGTTTCACCTTTGACACAATCAGTTTTCGGATTTCATCACACACTGTCCGTTTTTCACACGCAAAATTATTTACTTGTACGAACTTGCCCTCATTTATATATCTTATACTTTTATTAAATTTTTTTCTTTAATGCAATTATTTATCATTCTGTGTAATGAACGTTATTAATTTTTAATTAAGTTGGTAATTTATTAATACCATTACCACAAATTCATTCTAAATTGACCATACTAAACGCAAAATTACTATCATATATAATTAAAAAATGGAGACAACACATGCAGTATTTTGTCTTCTTAAATTGAAAGGGATACAACCATAAAAGTAATAAACCATAATTTTATTTATGTTTAAACTCACCATTACTATTTAATCTATTTTTTATTTGTTGAGAGTTGTAAATTTGCAATAGATCATTACCGCCAAATTCAACATCATTCATTGCTACACAATATTCAAAGAAATCAATAGGAAACGATGAACTATTTCCTATAAATTAAATTTGATTTAAATTATAAAATATCATACTAAATTAACAAAATACAAATTAGTAAACGTGTTAAATACCTGTTGATCTTCCACATTTATTAATTTTCTTTTTTTTTGATTTACAAAATGTGGGACGACGTGAAGGCTGAAAAGATGGTGATAACCAAAAATCTAAAACAATTAAATCCAAACCATGTTACAAATTTATTTTAAGTAGTGCAGTATTTAATTATAAATTCTTAAGAATGATGTTGCACTTCCAGTATTAGAAAACTTAAATGAAATTTAAAAAAAAAAATGTTAATTTAAGAAATCGAAAATATTTAAATAAATTAACTTCTAGTTATAATCACAAATATTCATGTTATAGTATAATTATAAAATGTATTAGAATCTATGTCAACATAAAACAAAAAAGTACATTTCACAGAATTTGCAGAGATAAAACAACTATAATAAAATAAATAACTGACAATATTTCTGAGAGAACAATTATATGAATTTTACATTATATGTTATGTATGTATATATCATATATCCATATATCATGAATGTAAACAGACATATTTTAACCTTTTTTTTAAATCTGTACCTAATTTTTTGACTAATATTTTTAAAAGGCTGTTCTAGGATAATGGAGATAGGTGCAGCCATTTATATAGGTAATTTTATGTGTACCTGTAAGCAACAATAAACCATTGCTAACGAAAAAACAAGTCTGAGTGGAGTTCAGTTGATAGTAATGCTTTGTCAACAATATATGTCATATTATGATAAAAAACTTAAATAAACATTAAATATTTTCTTTTATAATATTTATTGAATGCTGTACAGATTTACCTGTGTTTTCTAAGTTTTTTCTGGTTTTCCCATGTTTTTCATATTTACTGGGAAACTTTTGGGAAAATCAAAATATTAAGTACCTTTCCAGTTCAATTTGCTTTCAGAAAAAGTGCTATAATTGTAAATCGGATCAAAATTGCTAGTAGAAAGGAAAAAAGAAGAGCATTATATTTTACAGTAAAACATCCATATAACAGTCACCGAAGAGATCAGAAATAATGACCTCTATTTAGTGGTGACCATCCTTTAGAGGTTTCCTATAGAGGCATACCACTTGACAAGACCAAACAAAATTACCGTTACACAGAGGTAACAGTCTTTTAGAGGTGACCGTTAACAGAAGTTTTACTGTACTTATATATTTTGTACATTTTCCAGTTTTTTTTTTTTACATTTCATGAGAAAACTCCAGAGAAAATTGAAATATGACATCTCTAAAGTACCTCCCCACACCCATTTGCTTTCAGAAAAGGCGCTACACTTAAAAATCAAATAAAATAAACATCTTTGTAAAACCATAGGCTTTTTCACCCCACACAGAATCTAATATGCATGTAATATCACCTTAATATCCTATATTTTTATTTAAATTAATATTTTCACTCTCAAAATCATTTAAAAATGTACTTTTGTCTGTTTTGTGTAAACATATCAAAATGCCAAAAACCATTGGTAATGTGCTCTTATTAATTGAATCAAAATGTATGAATTATAAAATTAAAATAATTAAATATACCCAACATTATAAAAAAAAAAATACACAAAATTGATAGAATATTAAAAAATATTTTAGTTTAAAAACCGTAAATATGATTAGTTATAATAAAGTTTATTCAACATATTCAGGGTGCATCAATCTAAAAAAATAATTTAAAATAATGACCTGTTTGCTCTTTAGCAGCTAAAAACATACGCAAACTACCATCTTCACATAGAATTACTAATGTTGTTCTATAGTCTCCATTTGATAAAGGATGGCGTACAGCAACCATATCTGTTATCTTTGTTTTGGTTTGTGCCAATTTAATTTCTTGAAGACTGATAACTTTTGGTGTTATCATAAATACTACTGGAGTATTACCTAAAATCAAATTTCATTTTTTAAATAAATTTATAAATTGAATTAATATTTTTAATAGTTTGATTTTTCTAGGAATTTTATTCTGAGATTCATTATCAACTCAGATAAATTGTAAAATTTTGTTTAGCATTAAATTATTATCATAATTATTTTTTCCAAATTGCAAATTCCTTTGGGATAAAAATTTAATTAATAATTTCACTAAAATCTAAACTAATGTTTAGATTATGTAACGAAAATAAGAAACAAATTTAAAAAAAAATAAAATAAATATATAATATATATTTTTAAGTTAATATAAAATAAATGTTATAAAAAATCTAACTATGAGTATCATTGGTTGTTTTACTTATATGTATTACTAAAATTAATTTTAAAATAATATAGTAAAAACAAAATTATTAAAATGGTTAATACTCATAATACTCCAAGTTACATTAATTAATTAATTAATTTTTTTATTATAAATACAATTTTTATTTATATATTTATTTACTTTAATTAAATTTAAAGTGATATAAGATGTGTGTTAGGTTAGGTTGAGGACTTTTTGTTTTTGTTTTTTTTTTTTTAATAATAAATGATGGGGTGAAATAATCATAGTTTAGTTTCTCAATTCAAATAAAAATAAAAAAAAAGCCTAGGTTAATCACTGTTAAGGTCAGTCATTTTTGAAATTTCATAGTCCCTCTCCATTTATTTTTCTAATTCTTGTACAGATGTTAATAGTATTTCAAAATGTATTCATATTTATGATTATAGAATATGAAATTGAATGTTTACCATCATTCATCAGTAGTTAAATAAGAATTTTGTGAGAGTAAACAAGTTTAGATTCCTCCTTAAAAACTAAACCAATGTGTTAACACATTGACAGACACTTTAAATATAATTTTTATTGTTATATTAGTAGTGTTATACCTACATGAAAAATATATGTAAATTGTCAATGTGGACTGTTGTAATATAACATTTAACATATTACTGTTATAGCAGTAATGTCCATCAGTGTTTTAAAAAATTTGTTAGGTATACTGTTGTAAAAATATGGCAAACTGGTTTAGTGAATAGTTATCTATCCTGGATTATGTCCACCACAAACTTTTTAATTTCACCTAATTCAATATTTGTTAATTTCTCATAACATTTTAAGTTATCATCAATTCACATTTTATTGCAGAATCAATCATTTTCAAGTGACCAAGTTAAATATTTTACTAGCAAAATATTATGGTTTTTATTATATTTTATAATAACAATACAATATTACGGTAATAATGAAATAGTTAATAAAGAAATTATGTAGCGAGTGTGGACGAACTGATGTATTCACAAATTTCTAACTAAATTGGTTAGGAATATTTTGCACAATGATGATAAATCAAAACTAAATTAACTGATCAGTATTACAAACTGGTTCACTCAGCAAATTTTTTGAAAATTGTATTAACTTACTCGATTGCAATATTGCACATACTAAACCAGGATGTCCAGGAACTTCAGACCACTGCCACATAGGTTGGGTAGGAGCAGATGAACTTGTCTGGTTAATGTTACTTTTATTTTTTGCAATAGGGCTTGAAGTTTGTGAATTGATAGCAAAAACTGGATGTAATGTAATGACACCTCCTTGATATCTTTCTTCATTCAAAGGTGCAATAAATGTTCGACCAGGCATTACATAACTAAACATCAATAATGATAATGTGTGGGAATAATAAACTGACACACCACCTCCACAAACTTGACCATTTACATCCTAAAATATATGCAGAGTATTTTTAAATTAATCAGAAAATAAATAATACATACTACATAATACTATTCATATAGTGTATCCCAAAAATCATGTAAATAGGTTTATTTGAAGTCTCACAATTTAAAATGGTAAATAATTATGGGACACTGTAAGAATAATTTAAGAATAATATTCTGACATAAACTAACACTGATATCTCGATGAACAATATCAATAGTATTGGTTACATAAAATGGACCATGTACCGCAGAGCTACTTGTATCCATATCTTGTGTATATATATAACCTCCAGAAGAAATTAATATCATAGTTGACCGTTCCTATAGGTAATAGACATTTTAACATATTACTAGATACACATTAAATAGTTTTACATTATAATATACCTCAGTACACATAAATGTCACATCTCGTATTTTGCCGGTAGGTACAAGAAAATAATATTGAGGACTTAAAACATCCTTAGATAAATCATAAATTTTAACAAACTCAGCAGACACTAGTGCTAAACTAGTTTGTGAACCAGGAAGCCAAATTGACCGAATTATGAAATTTCCTACTTCTAAAGATGGATGAAGAACAATATGCTCATTAACAGTTCCACTCGTATTAAATGTCAAAATATGACAATCCTGAAAAAATAAGTAAAGCAATTAATCACAGAAATAAAAAGCAGTCATTATATATCTAATATTATTTTAAAAACAATATAAAATTGTACAATATTCAATACCTTTAGTCCACAAACAGAGAGGAAGTCTTCATTAACAGAATTTGCAGTAACTGATAATACAGTGAATGGAATGGAAACAGAAGATAACCGTGCTAAAGTTAATTTACGTTTAGATATATCTGATTGTTTTAATAATGAGCTCATTTGCAAGACTGTTATTTTTCCTTTATCATGAGATACAGCAACTAAAAATAATAATGTATACTGTATAAGTGTATTAGTTATAATTAAAAAAAAAATAATATAAATTATTTATTAATAAAATATTGAAATACATACAGACTAAATATTGATTTGTTGATAAAATGTTGTTAATTATTAATTTTAAAATAAATTAAAAAGATATTTTAACTACCTAAATGTTGTCTTTTACCATGCAGAGATGATAAACAACACATGGCAACTCTACGTATCATATGAGCAGATAGAAGTTGTCTAATAGTTTGGCCCTGATCTCCACTAAAATTCATTTTAACGTTTTCAAAAGCACCTTCTTGAGATCCCATTGTTGGCAACTAAATAAATAAATATCATATATAAGTATCGTAATAAGCAATAATTTATTAAGTGAACCTATAAATTACCATAAGATTATCTGATATTTCAATAGTTTTTTCGAATTCTTGTAAGTCATTTAATGCATGTATAGCTCTTGTGTTACAAGCAATTGCAGAATTTTTTTCACCCGATAAAATAACTGGATTCATTAAATGATTAAAAAGTTCTAATGTTGGCTCGATGATTTGAGTTTGATCCATTATTATTGGTATTAATACCTCCTTATATGTGACTAAAAATTTAAAAAGTTTGTTAATTGGCATAATTAAAAAAAAAAAATGATTATGTCAATATAAAATATTATAAACAAATTACCAGGAAGTGAATTTAGTACACCAGATTCAAAATCTAAACTTCTTGTGTTCATATTTCTTGGATCTTGATTATGATCATTAGTCAAAGATGAATTGTAATTATCTGATTTTTCTTGTTCAGGATTTGAATTTCCGCCCTCAGTAGAAGCAGTTTTATCTCGACTATTTGCATCAAGCACTGAATTAGGATTTCTTTTGACCAATGCCTATTAAATAAAATAATATATGTATATAAAACTTTTGAGATTAATTCTTGAACATTTAAGTAGCATTTATATATTTTTTACCTGACAAAAATTATTTTCTTTTGCACCACAATCACAGAAAAAGTTTCCAAATTTAGCATAAGTAACATCATGACCTTTATGGCACACCTTAGCACATATGCTACAAACTCCAACTCCTTCAATCATTTTACATGTATGACAATGATACCAATGTTGATTCATAAACTCTTTTTGAGTAACAGTAAATGTGCACAACTTGTAATAAAGACTATCTTCGTCCTAAACAGTTAATATAAATTCATTTTTTTTTTTTTTTTTTAATATTTTAATTTTATATAATAATATAAATACTTACAGAATCTTCATTTAAAGCTTCAATATCTCTATCATTACATGGTAAATATCCGTCCAATTGCATACCATCAAAATAATGTAATGATATAGAATCTAATGACATTGAGTTTTCTGAATCTCTAGGCTTCATAGCAGATATAACATCTGTTATATAGTTCACCAAGCAACTAGAAGCAATCACGACTGGTGGATATGGATCATTTTTTTGAAGGCATAATAAATTAGTTTTAAACCAATTTTTAATAGTATCAAGTAACTTCACACTAGCTTTAAACAACTTCACATGACCAGTAGGACCTCCATGATCAGCTAAACGCACCATTTGGGCAAAAATTTTTAAAAATCCATCTCCATTTTCAAAAACTAATGAATAAGTCACAATGGGTATTAGCATATCCAAATAAAATAATGAAGCCTTTGTTTTTAATTCCACATCTCTATCATTTCTAAAAAAATATATATACGTAACAAAAAATTACACATTTTTACTAAAAATTGTTTCTAATTTTATATTTTCAGTACAATAAATATTACAAAAGAGATGGTGTTTTCTTCCACTTTATGAGAAAGTCCATATTAATCAACAAATTTATTTATTAACTTTTTAGATTTATAAATACTCAATACTTTTAAAATTATAAACAATTTAAGGAGATTTTGTGTCTCATGTATAGTATTGTTAAGTTAATTGTTAAGGTAAAGTTAATTAACTTAATTAATACATTACCTTGTAATTAAAATAAAATAAGTATTCAGTGAAAATTTTAGGTCACTATATTAATTTTCAACATAACCTAACAAAAAGAAACCTAAAATGCATACATTTTCCTATTTTATAGAAGGCATTTCCTAATTATTAAGACAACTGCAAGGAAAATTTAAAACAATGATACCCCAATGCACAATCATACAAAATTTGCTACTAGAACTAAAAAAATCACTGAAGTAGATTTTTAGTAGAAAAATTTTCAATTGATAGAAAAGAAATATCATAGTACAGTGAAACCAGTTGTAACAGACACATCTCTTAAAGGACAAAATACTAAGGTCCTGTCAAAAATATAAACATTTCAATGTATTTCAACCTGACTATACCTGACGCAGACAGTAATATTGTTCCCTAATACCTTGATAACAGACAACAATCATAGTTTAAACTCAATTGCGTACATAAATACATACCACACAACATCACCAATTGTATACAAATTTATGACAGGTTACTTTCATATACCAATAATAAAGATAAAATTAATTGCAAGAACAGAAATAACCAGAAATACGCATAAAACATTTCAGTGACTATTCTGTGTTTATTCAATATTGCTTCATAGTGTTATACATTTTGTTGTATTCATTTTAATTTTTAATTCAATTATATAGTTTAAAATATATAAAATAATTTCATTAAATACATATGTAGTTACGTATGTGAATTTTACCAAAGAAATATTAAATCCTGTCTATAACACACTTGAAATTGTACCATAACTGTAATTTATATAAAGATTTTACTGTACAACCAATAAATTCATTACTATGCTCAGAATCTAAAAGTATTAGTTTAAACTTCATGTAAATGTATGTGATTATTATCTTTGAATTATAATTACCTTAAATTATATATATATATATATATATATATATATATATGTGTGTGTGTGTGTTAGCAATAAGTATGGAAATACATAATTCTATAAAATAACTAATAATTTTATAGATATACAGACACTTTCAGTTAATGTGTTGAATGAATAAAAAATATATACTTCAACTAGTTATTCTACGTACTAAGTAGATATTTTATAAATTAACAATAACAATTTAGTTGATGTATGTAAAATTATTTTTACATACACGTATAAAATATTAATATTCACTTTGAAAAAGTTTATTCTGATTTATACATAAACTTATTAGAATTATTAAATAATTAAAATATTAAGACAAAAAAAAAAAAATTTGTAAAATTAAGTACTACATTAATATAAAATGTGTACTTATGTGTTACATACATTACTGCTAACTTATATATATATATTAAAACGGTTATTTATACGAAATAGAAAATATTGTTAGGTATGTAACTTATAGTAGTAAATATATTTAACAATATTATACTTACGCATCTAACGTAATGACATAATCTATCATATTTTTTATCAACTCGAAATTGTCTTCAGGATTAAATACACTTGAAATATTGTTATTAAAATGTTTAATTGTATTAGAGTGTTTATCATTCAAAAAAACATTTAATTCTTTGGTTAAAATACTAGTCGCATCAATTAAATCTTTGTCTTTGTTCCAACCGACAATAATTCGTTGCAACCATAGATCCAATCTATTTTTTGGAACAGTTGATAGTTGAATAATAAGACGACACATTAATTTTAGTTCTTGATTATTACTCGTTTTAACTATGAGATAAAAATAAATATATGAAATTATATCAAAAATATACATTTTATTTTTTACTTACGCTCTAAGAATAATCTGTTGATCAATCTAACCAATGTTTTAACGAAAACACCCGATGAAATAAATTTTCTCAATGAAATTTCTTCTTTAAGTGAACGTACACAGAAAGTTTGTAAAATAGCCTTCTGAGCACTTGGAAAATCAAAAATTAACTGTTCAATCCAAAAAAGACTGTGTATCAAAGCTTTTTCAACTAAATAATCTCTATAAAATTACAAACATTCAATATAGTTAATAGTTAAATTTAAGAAAAAAAAAATATATATTTACGTATTGGTTGTATCATCACGTTTGTACTGTATTGCCAATTTTCTTATATTTTTAGTAATAAGTAAAGCGATCATAAAATCAGGTTCTTCCTCTGGAGTTTTTAATTTTTCTAATGTAGGTACAATATGTTCCAAAAGATATTCTGAAGAACAATCAACTGTCATAGAACACAATAGATTTGCAAAATCTGAACATAATGTTAAGTCCGAACACAATCTATATTTATAAAAATTTAAAAAAAAATAATGATATAAAACTAATCAAAAGCCAATTATTTTTTGATTTTTATCAAATTATTCTGTATATCATATTGTTTAGTTATTAAAACTAACTCACTAAATTAATTTATATTAAAATAATATTAATTTACTATTATTATATAATATATGTACAATATATATATATACAATGTATATTTTATAGATATTAAACTTACTGTATATTTTCTGTGATAAACACAACAAGTGTATTAAGTAGTCGCTTTAAAGATGGAGTATTAAAATATACTAACTGACTGGATACAAAAGATGAATGATGTTTTACAATTTGTTGCATTAAATTTTCAGGCAAAATATCCGAACTAGATGTCTGTAGTAAAAATTATTAATATTATTTAATCATTGTTTAATAGGTAGTATTACGTACAAGAATACAAGATAAGTAAGAGTGTTGAAGAGATATATATATATATTTTTTTAAATTCAATAACAAAATAAGGATATTTAAGTTTAAATATCAATTACACAAGTCTCAAAATGGTTTGATCATTAAAATTATAGTCATACATATTTCTGGTCCAAATAATTCAGTCAGACCATATAAGTTTTATTTTATGTAGTCAGAAATTATAATTATATGATTATCTAACACTTATTCAAATTAGTTTAGTATCTATTGCTAATAATAGGATAGAGATAAATAACACCTTTATACCATTGACAAACAGTCCTTCACCTGCCTAAAGAAAGCAATGCAAATGACTAAGATATAACACTGAATTATGACCAATGCCTAATACTTAGCTACTTTGTGTATATTTAACTATTCAAATCCATAATACCAACCTTTAGTTGAGGACCAATAGAAACTGAATTCCATTTTGTAATAATAGATATAACTGAAGATGGAATTATATCAAACAATAAATATGGCAAATTATAAGTGACCGGAGAAAATTCTAATATTGAACAATTATTTGCCATTGACAAAATTATTTTCAAATTTGTTACATCTCCCAACGAATATTTTTGAGATTGGTTTGAATTAGAAATTTGATGAAGAATGTTAAACCTGGTAAATAAAACAAGTATGGCCATTATAAACACAGTTTACTGTGAAGTGTTATACAATTATGTAATATAATTTAAAAGATGCATTTTATATAAGTATTCAAATAAAAATTGAATAGAAAAATATAGAAATTAAATACATACTTGATGTCGTTAAATGTCAACATAGCCAACTCAATGCAGTATGGCATAAGTGTTTGAATAACTTCAGTATAGGAAGATCTAAAAAAATACTCACATATAAATATATATAATAAATAAGATAATACAATTGAACAATTAAATAATATTACTTGGCAATATCTTCAGATACTTTTCCTGGTCGACTTTGAATAAATATTTTTGAAACAACACCATCAAACAATATCATATCCAATAACATAGGAAAACGAATCTTTTTTGTAGCATCTATGTAAAAAAAAAATTGATGAAATATAAAGTTAACAATATTTAAATATTAAATGTTATATTATTTTTATTTTTTGTATCTTAAACCATATATAAAACGTGAATAACATGAATAATTTATTTAAAAATATTGAACTTAGAAAGATTAACTACTTGTAATTAACTTTCGATTAATAATACAATTTTACACGATCAATAACATAATCAAAGTGTTGTGTGTTAAATTAGGTTTTACATTAAGTGTCTAAAATTTTAAATCCCAAACATAAGCAATGAAATAGATTAACAACGGTTTTTTTTTCTGTCTAAAGAACAAATTTCATACCAAACGTTTTACTCCAATCAAAAAACAATAAAAGAACATATATTTGTAGAAAATAATTTGGTTTGAACATTAAATTTTTTTATATTTTCCTGATAATTGGGAAAATGGGAAAATGTATACAATAAAGATTTCTGTACTTTCAAATGTTTTTCTATTTGTGTGTAATTATCACTAGATACATATATGTCAGCCCTTTCTAAATCCTGTAACATTTTCAAATATTATGGTCATTTTTAAAATTTTAGTTTTGCTAATAATCCTTAAACATTTTTTTTTTTTTGGCTCTTTAAAACTATTCGAAAATATGATACAGGATTTATTTTAAGTTTAAAGTTATTTTTATAGCAATATAAAAATATCAATAATCTATAGACCCGATTTTATTTTTATCAATTAAAATTAAAATTTTAATCACAAAATTGCATATAATAATTTATGATTTATATAAATACATTATTGTCAGCCCATCAAAAATGTTTGAATATTAAACACAAATTTAACCATAAATTGTAATTGGTGATTAAAAAAAATGTGAAAATCTACAATATCTATAACATAAAATCCACATTATAAGTACTACTATTGGGTATTTCCATAAATAAAGCCATTAATGTTCAAAATATATTAACTAATCACATAAATTTATTATAAAATACCACTTACAGATTAAATATTCTTAAATAAATGTTTAAAAAAATTATAATGTAGTAAGTTCTTTTTTTAAACTGTTTAAGTTTAAATTTGTATGGAAATCTTGGGATTTCAAAACATGTTTTTTTTGTTAACAATGATTTTAATGGTATGTACAGACGTACAATTAAATTATTTTATTTTACCTTCTTAACATCCCACCTAAAATAGTGACTCACTAATTAGCAGCATGAAATTTTTTTTACTTAATAATTTTCTTTTCAGATTTTAAAATAAAAATCTTTTCTGAAAAGAAATTTCATCTAGTTGGTGTGTAACTCTAACAGAGTTGTTATTTGATTTACTGTGTATTTTTCTATAACTGTGGAAAACTGGGTAAGTTTATTGCATTGAAAGTGATTGTAAAAACCAGATATTTTCATAGAATACTTATATTAGTTTTTTTGGAAGTGGTAAAATTTTAACAATTAAAACTATTTGAGCTATAATTATGAATTTTTAGTTATTAGTTTTAATTAGATTTAAAATGTGGTTAAAATTATTCAGTCAAACAGAAATGCTTGAAATTTAACTAAGGGTTTCTTACAAATTTAACAAAATAAAGTAGATTTTAATATACTAATTTTTTTTTTTAACATTTTAATATCAAAATTTAACGAAATCTTAAAAATTAAAAACATTTTAAAACATATATAACCACTCAAAATTGTTTGGACTATTGGTTTATTATGGCGTATAAACTAAATAACTTTTTTTTTCTGTAAATGTTATTTTTGAATTATAGAATTGTTATACAACAAAATTTAATAGGAAAAATAGTAAGATTAGTAAGTTGTTACTTAGATATATGTATTGCATACCTGTTTGACGAAGGTGTTTAATAAAATGTGATTTTGCTATTTCATAGTCATATTTTATCGAAGAAGCTGAAGTAGCTACTTTTGACAACAATTCTTTTGAACTTTGATGATCTGTATCTTTGTCAGAAGTTTCCAATACACAGAGCTGCTTGTAAATTCCTTCCTGTTTATTTAATTTTTTATAAATATAAATAAGAAAACAACGTTTAAATCAAATTTATATTAAATATTTATTAATTAAATTAATAACAATAAACTACCCTGACTTTTATTTTAAAACATTACCTTTAAAAAGTGATAATGAATTTTAGAATTTGTTCTAAGACCCCACACTAAGAAATACAACAAATTTGATGTATCAAAATCATTAAATTTATCTTCCATCATGTCTTGGAGTTTTTGAACAGGAATAGGTAATGATAATAATAATCTAACGAAAAAAACAAATATTTTAAAAAATGTTTACTAATTCAAAATAATATTATTTAAATAAGTAAATAATTAATTACTTCCATGTAAGTGTAAAGCAATATTCAATACTACATAGTGTTAATGGATTTAAATAGTTCTCAGTTTTACTATTGTCTTCATTTATTCCTTCACACATATTTAGAACTTTTGATATTTCCAATAGCGATTGTATTAATTGAGGATATCTCAACTTTTCGGGATGATTAAGTATAAAATTAAGAGCCTATTAACACAAAAAAATTCATATTTTAATACAATATAAAAAAAAAGGTATTAAATTACATGAACAATAATATTATAAGTTTTGATTAATTTTTTTAAAATTATTACGGAAATGGATATGTTTTTAAATAAATAATAAAAATTTAAAACTTAAATAATTAATTATATAATATGGATTTATATGTAAAGATGTAACCTAGAAATTTACAGGGTAAATGTAAATTTTGCTGATGTTTTTATGTTTGGCATAAGTATGGTATTTTGAGTATATAAATAAAAGTAGTATATTATATTACTTGTACATGTTATACCTCCATATTATAATAATAATTAATATGAACTTGTTTCATATGAAAAAACAGTTTTTATACTTTTAATTTTCATTTTAAGAAAAATATTTTAAATTTTTAATATTGACATATTGTTTAAACAATAATATTTTATGTATGAATATACTAAAAAAGAAAAAAAAATTTAACATTTTCCACCCCTATCTGTTATTATAATGTGGAAATAATAACTGAAACTAACCAATCCATCCAATTTAGGGGCATCATTTACTGCTTGTTTATCATCTAATAATTTATAAAAACAAGGTACAACAGCTAATGAATATCCATTACTATCTAAACTTTTCTGGAAATTTTCTTCTATAGAATTATATATCATATATGTATTTTCATCATTCAATTGTAATTCTTCATCACTGGGTACCTTTATGTTACTTTTAATACGCATTAAGTTCCATTCAACCTAAAATTATACAAAAATGTCATTTCCAGTCTTAGCTTAAATAAAATATAATTACCTGAAATAGTAAATATTCAGGTACATCATACAATCTTCGAACCAAGTAATCAAATAAAAGAAGTAGTCTACTTAGAGCTAAAATATGATTGTTGTAAACAGGGTTTAATACCAAATGAAATTTTGCTCCTATTAAAGCATTACAAATAGCTACTAGAATTAGCTTTTTGTGAGTTAAAGACATTAAGTTAAACAAAAATATTAATAGCTGTACATGCTCAACATTCAAATCTGAAATTTAAAAACATACATATAATTTTATAATTTTGTTACTAACAAGTATACAATATAAAATTACCTTCAAAATGTTCATTACTACTTGTTGGATTTTCAATAATATTGTTCAATGCATTTATCATATTTTGCCATATATACATAGATAATTCATCTCTTTCCGACATTGTTTTTTTCAATAAAACCTACAATAAAATGTAAACATGTAGTACCCCTAAATAGACATTTTTTTTAATATATATATATATTTATATTACTATATTTGTTTTACATATTAATGTATAAACTATATATTAATATAATATATTACATACTTGAGCTAGTATTGCCAAAGTCCTAGGATAGATTTGTAATGACCATTTACTGCCTGAAGCATCTAATGGAATTTTTATCTTCATTAACTCAAGAAATGCATCTTGTTGGATTCCCGAAAGATAATTGCGTGCAATCAAATTATGAACAAATATTCCAATAGATGAAGACACATTTTGATGAGAGCTAATAATACAAGCTAGAAAAAGTAAATCAAGCATAGACATTAAAATAAAACTAAAATAATAAATCATTATTTTAAAATAATAAAAAAAAAATATACATAAATCATTGTTAACAGGTGCCCAATCTACTTCAACAATCAATTTAGATAATACAATAAGATGATCAGTTTGAATGGTTTTAGACATGTAAAAGGAAACATAGCTACATTCAGTATTTAAAAAATACATATCCAATATATTGAATATTCTTATCATCAGTGCCAAATACTATAAACAAATTATACCAGTTAATATTTAAATTATTTAATTCCGATAAAAATTAAGTTTCATCCTTACTCCTTCTGGGTCATCAGTTTCAGGAACCACACTGCAGTTTGAAGGATCTAATAAACTCTTATCTAAATCAACATAATCTGATGTTTGAGTTTTAGAAGATACATTTTCAGTATGTTGATCACCAAGCGTTAGTACTTCTTCAAACCAGGCACCAAATAAAGACTCATTATCTTCATCTAATTCCCAAAATGATCAAAATTAAAAAATATAGAACATGAACTGTTAAATATTTTAATATCTACTAACTAGATTTTAGGATACGGATTTATATGTAATAAAAATACAAAAATATGTAAGTATAATAATTTAAAAAATATGTGGGAAAAAATGTCTTTCTGTATAAGTACAATAAATTAATAGAAAAAAATACATTAAATATAATTATAACAAATATAAATGAAAAATAAAAAATGATATGACCGGAAAACTTTAATTTTGGGTAGTTTTCTAGTCAAATGATGTGTTGCATTGAATAATTATATTTTTTTTTTTTAATGATAAAAGTTGAATGTAGCCCAATAGGTCTCAAACTATTTTTAAAACAGCTAAACGACCATTTCACATTAACTGATGTAATTGGAGCATATTTGAAACATACAAAATCTGAAGGTGATAATTCCAAAGTTTTAGAAGGGTGTCTGCCAATCATTATGTCATTGATTATTTTAAAATCAATAAAGCTTGAATATTTTTCTACCAGAAAACTTGCTCTGATTTTTACATGTAGCAATTTTTCTGAAAGGAAATCGGTGTAGGGAGGTACCTTAAAGAGATAATTTTTTAATTTTTTCAAGAGTTTTCTCAGAAAATACGAAAAACCGAAAAGAAAAGAACCGGAAAAAATGCACTTTATACCGATGAATGGCTGTTTTCGTTCATTGTAACATAGCTTAAATATATAAACGATGAAACAATAAAATATGTTAAATAAAATCATTTTAATAAGAATGATTTAAATCATAAACATTTCATATCAAATTTTAAATATCTTATTATATTATAAAATATGCATTTACATACAAATCCATCCCTACTATCTAATAATATTTATCTTTGAAATTACCTCCATCTTCAGGAGCTCCACTTTCAGGTGATTCAGAAACAATACCTATTGATTCTAAGCTGGTTCTATTTATTTTATTCTTCGTTTGAGAAATCAGACACATTACCTATTTAATAAACACAAAATTTAACTGCAATAACTGAGATTTGGAATATGCTCATCTATAAAAATGTGAATAAAATTGTTTGCTATTTTATACTAAAAACTACTAAACTTTTCCTAACAAATTGTACAATTGGATATTTATATATTTTATTAAATGAAGTAGGTATATATTATATCATTATAATAAATTTAATTCAAATTAAATTAAATATATTGGATTGACAGTTTTTTAAAGAAAACTTGCTTAACTTAGTACTTTTACAGGTCATTATTAATTTTTCTTAGCATACAAATAAAACGCAACCAAACAATGTGAAAAATCCTTGCAAACAAAATTCTAAGATCCTAAATTTGAAGTACTATAATTATGTGAACAATCTGTTATTTTTATGCAATTGTTATGACTTTTTGATTTATTTTGAATATTTAAAAAATCAATAAAGATTCAGCCGAAACTATCCATACCTAACTTAAAACAGCTTAACCATGGTACAAAATGATTATTTACTTGTAGATGCTATATAGTAGGTACTAAGATAAATATAGACTATTTTTTATACATATATATATAAAAAAATTAATAGAATTATCCATTTAATAATTATTTTATTTAATTTATTTTTAAAAGTTAACACCAAACAGCTTTTACAATGGGAATGACATAAAAAATGAAAAAAATATGTTTGACAATAAAAAACAACAAGATAGGTAGAACAGTAAACATAAAAGAATAACTGTATAGTAAAAATTGTTGGCAAATACACACATAAAGATGTAAAAGGAATGCTGTGCCGTCTGTGAGCGACAACTAAAATACAGTTAACAGTCTCCCACTGTTGAACAACCCCACTCCCTGATAGGTTAAGCTTCACTTCCATTAAAAACTAACCCACCCCGCCAGAAAAAAAAAAAATTAATTGGTATACAATATGGTATTTAGATATTTTTGGTATGAAAATCACAACAGAACACTTTTAGTCTGCTGAAGGTGAACTACCCCACTTTCTATCCTATTTGTTTTCATTCAATACTTACACAATCAAAACCAAAAATATAGGTAATAAAAAAAATAAAAAATTGAGCACAGGTAAGTTAGTGGCAGGACAGATAGTTAGTAATATAAACTAGGTGTTATCAAATCAATTATACCTAATCTGTTAATTATAATATATTCACAAGAGGACATTCATAATGTTTTCCATAAATTATATTATAATAATGTTGTTTACAAATAAAACTGAAATAATTACTTTTCTGTGACTAATTGCAGCTAATTGATAAAAAAATTTGATCAAAGGTACAGTATGGAAAATTCTTAATAGTCTATCACATGATCTTGATTTAGCACAAATATCTAAAGGTGCTGGCATTATTTCCGATTCAAAATCAATAAGTTTCATAAGTTGATCTGAAGCAAATTCTTTTTTAGCATTTTCCAAAATATCAACTAACATATTAAGCATTTCATTTGCTAATGCCACTGATAAAACATTAAATGAACTATAAACAAAAATGTACATTAATATTTTAGGTATCATTAAAAAAAAATAATGATAATTAGTTACTTCATTAATAATGATTTTAAAATTAAAATTGTTCTCAATACATTTAATTTCAAATTTAACCCTTACTTTTTGGTAGATGATTTTAATATTTCTTTTCCTTTAGTTTTAATAATCTTATCATCTCTAATAGAGTTATGTTCATAATTTTTTAATGTAATATCTTGAAGACCATTAATCAGAACCCAAATAACAATCATGTAATAATTTTGATGAGCCTATAATATTATATACATAAAACTAGTATCATAAACTTAATAGTTTTAATAATTTATGAATATTTCAAAAACTATGGTATAGATAAAAAAGGAATATGCAACTTACAGAGTATGAAAATTTTTTTAATGTATCAGAGACTATTTGCATAATATTAACAGTTTTTTCAATTATTTGTACTGCTTGATTCCACATAACATCATCTTCAGTATTTATACCATCTATTTATAAAACAAGGTATATTTACAAAAAGAAATTATGAAACACAACTATTATTATTAATTTTAAATCAAACATACCTGTACTTGCTGAAGTATTATAATGAAAGCCTTGTACGAATAAAGAAAGTCTTAGACATGCAATCATAACACTTGTCAGTTGTTTTAGACTGATAATAGTTAATGGTTCAAATATGGGTAATGCCAGTGCATTTTCAACAAAAGTAATATCCAAAAGCACATATCTATACCTTAAAAATAAATTTAAAATAATTTTATTAATACATTTTTACATAAAATATATTTTGTAAAATAATGAATTGTTACATATTTAACATAATTTTAACATTTTAACTAATTAAAGCTTGTGTTAATTGTGGCACAATTAAGCCTAACATTTCATTAGAAAGGAAAACTAAATGTAAGTTATTAGAAGAGTAATGATCATAGGGCTAAAAACTCAAAAAATTTCCACATTACCATCTGATTTTATACAAATGTGTTAAAAAATATCTGCATCTTAAATCATAATATTTAAAAATTCTTGTTTTATGTTAATAATTTGTTTGTTTGTAAGCATATTTTGAAATCAAAACTTATTAAAAAAAAAAATATTGATTATAAAATTATAGGCCTTTACATATTTTATTTTTTTGGAAATTGATACAAGTCTACTTTACACCTTTTGTTTTTTAATTTTTAAAAACAGGTGTTCTTTGACGTTAATTTCTAAACTGTTTGAATTTTTTGTGGACGTCATTATTAAAGAAGTTATGGAAATTTGAAGTTCGTCGTTAATACAGTTTTAGTTTAAATATTTATTTATTTCACTGTCATTTATTTAGAATTGACCGTGGCGCATTGGGTAACACGTTAACTGTAGGAACTGCGGTATCGAGTTCTATAACGTTCAATACTCAGTAAATGTTTAACTTATTTTTGTAAAAAAACAAGTCTAATTTTCATATGCAATTTAAACGTTACCTACCTGAGCAAAGTGACCCCACCAAGTTTCTAGGGGCATCCAAAATGCTTTTCACTCAAAAAAGTGCAAAAATTTAACTGCGCATTGGGTGGTACCAAACCCGATACCAGTTTCTATGGCTAACGCGTTACTCAATACGCCACAGTCAATACTATAAGAAGATAAAATAAATAGCTATTTAAGCTAAAACTGTACTAACGACAAAACTTCAAACTTCTATAACTTCTTTAATTATTTCTGCAAAAATTGAAACAGTTCCGAAATCAGAATCAAAAAACACAATTTTTCAGAACAAAAAAATTGAAAAATAAAAGGTGTCTGATAAAGTAAACTCGTTTCTGGAAATTTATAATAACTGCTAAATTGGGTAAAATTCCCGTGTATTCTTATCTCGATCTTCTATACTCTAGTCTATGACATAGATTAAACCATAGCCATGGAATATATTGTGTGCTATTTACTGGAGATACTGCTATGCAACTATGGCATTGCCAAACAACCATACAAGAATAATACCTTTTTTATGAAACCTTTTAATTTAAAGTGAATATTACATTTCTTCACACAGTACCTCTACCATAGTATACAGTGGACAAAATAAGTGGCCAGAATCAAGAAATACATCCATTATTATACTATTATTATAGTGTCATATATTTCATATTTCAATGGACTATTTAATGTATCTATAGTCAATTGTATTATGTTACAGTTAGTATTATATTATGAAACAATTCATTTAATGAACTAAACATTTCAATTAATATATTTGGGAAAAATTACATTCAACTATCTAGTTAACAAAAATAACCCCTCCACACACACACACACACACACATCTGAATATGTAAAAAATATAAACAATAAAATGCTGATAGTCACATACTAATTTGTATAGTAATCAAAATCAAAATTAAGCTTAAAATTTGCTCCCTGACATACTCATTTAAAAAACAAAATCACATTTGGATAAGTAGTTTCAGAGGAACTGTAATAATAAATTAATGAAAACCCTTATAGTACAATTTATTTAGACATAAATAAATAAAAAATAACATAAATATTTAATAATAAACAATTAACTTAATCTTCAACAGGATTAAATAATATCCTGATGTTGATATTGTAATTCCTAGTTATTTAATATGAATGAATGTGACATATTATGATCATTAATATAGAAATTTAAAATTTTACCAAAATGTAAAAAAAAAAATTTTATAATTTACTTACGAAAATTTAGCACCAATTGGTTCAAAAGAATGTTGAATTTTCTTTTCTTCAATGGTATTAAGTTGAATATCCGTAATATATCTTTTAAGGATTGGAAGTTTGGTGCAAGTTTTTAAAATTACATCATTTGCTCCCATCTTTTGTAAGCTAGATACATTTTTCTCAATTAACAATTTCTAAAAATTAAAAAATAAAATACAATAAATAATGGTTGTAATATTTTATTAAAATATAAAATAATAAAATGCAAACATATTTGATAAATGAAGTAAAATACCTTGATATCTTTATCATCTTTTTTAGATAAGTCAGTTAGATTGATTTTACTTCTATCTAATGGTTTAATCATTTGTTCAACAATTGATGAGTAAACTAGTGATTTTTTACTTTCTTTTTCTTTAACTTTATCTTCTAAACATAATTATCATTGAGTATTTATATTTATAATTTAAAATTTAAAATTCTAACATACCAAAAATCGGTGCGTTAAATGGCCATTCTTTTATAAATAATGTAGCAGATACAAATTCTGAAACACTTAATGGTTTTGCAGAACATAATGCTGATATAGCCGCCAATGCTAAATTTAGATAAGAAGAATAACTATCCCAATTATCACTAGTTTTAACTTCTCCCATATATTTCAGTAAACATTTCAAGAGAACTTTACAGCCATTACTAACAGCAGATAATTCATCTTTCTTAACTATTCAAAATAAATAATGAATATCAGTTAGTTTAAATGTATAGATATTTTAAATATTAATGTTTATATTACATGAATTGCAATGATGACCAATATAATTAGCAGATAATGTGACAAAATAGAAACAAAATTTGTTCTCATTGATGTCCTCTTCATACAAATATTTTTCACTATAGCAAAAAATAATAATTTAATACTTGTTTAATATTCTAATTCAGCAAAACCTCTAAATATCAGACACTTGATCACTGAAATGTTCACAATTCAGAGGGATAAATTGCATTTTTATTTAATCAATTAATTAAATTTTATATTTACATTAATTAAATACATCTCAATGTTCAAACATTTCATAGGCACAGTAATATATCAACAACTGGACAGTTAACAATAAGATATACGTCATGTACAGTATAATAATGTACATTCATAGTCATAAAAGATAACCTAATAGTGTCGACTTTTATTTAGGTACTCCAAAATTATTCTTAATTTACGATAAAAATGATATATATCAATGTTAAAAAGTGTTTGTTATGTAGAGGTTTTCCGTGTACATAGTGAAAATGCCCCAGTTCCCAAAAATAAACGTCTGCTATTTGGAGGTGTCTGTTAAGGAAGGTTTCACTATATATTATAATAAATTAAATGTGTTGCTAACATAAGGTATACAAACCTTTGATCAATAAATTTAAGCAATGTACACAAATTGGCTTTTACATTGCAACCTGTATCGTAAAACACAAATTTTACAGATGTCCAATCCAAATCGCTCTCTAAAGCCATTTTCGGTATGTTATTGTATCCGAAATTATATACAAGTTGTCATATCAATCCAAGAGCTATAGATGATCTGTGAAACAGTATTCAAATATAAGAAATACAATGAAAGTTAATAAACAAACTCATTATACTATTAATATAAGTTACCTACTTCAATATTAGTATAATAAAACAAAATGATTGCTCACAATTACAAAAGGTAATATTTATATATATATATATAAAATAATGGCATTGATATACAAAAAAATTCAATAATTTAAAAATTAAAATGAACAGAATTAATCAGTATAAAATGTAAATGGGCAAGTACAAGCTATTTTAAAACAATAATGATAAATTTTACCAATTAATAATATATATATACATATATATGTACCTATATTAAATATGTATGTAATAATATCAAACTAGTAAACAGCTATTAAAATGACTCGGCAAGTTAATAATATCTACCAACAATATAACAACATTGTTTAAAATGAAAAAAAAAAAATAATAATACAATTACGCATTTACTTCAGATTAATAAATACTCACAGACGATTATTGTGTTTTCAACTGATTGACACAACGAGGTTCACATGATAAATCGCATAAATCAAAATACTATGTTTAAAATGTATAATAAATATCCGTAATGACAGCAAAAATAGGAGTAAATTTCGCAAAATCAACTATCAAGACCAACTGATTTGTGATTTTACAATATTTTACATTTTTACACTTCGGTCTACCACTCCACCAGTCCACCACAACGGTGATACTCAAAGATATTAATTATAAAACATGGTTGATAATCAACTAGACTATACCATGGTCATGGTTCACAAAAACTCGTCATAGTTTATAACTTATAAAATACTCTTTTCTGATTGGCTCTTTTATCAATAGATAATACGGTTATGGATTATGAAACGAGGGTGTCTACAATTTCACGAACCATACGGTTATATAGAAAAGGTATTTCCTACATCATAGATAATATATAAATACTTAGATAGCAAACTCGTAATTATTATTGAAATCAGACGCCATTTTACAGGTTGGGCAAAAATGACAGTGAATTATTGATATTCAAGGGTTGTTATTCTTCTTATTACATTATGAACATTAGAGATAGTAAACATCAAATCGATAACACTTATATCGATGTCGATTATATCCTATTTTGCAATTATTTTTGCCCCGCCTGTAAATGGTTGACGACGTCAAATTGTTGTCAAGCTAGTATAGAGTTTGCTATCTAGTTAATTTATATACCTATGCCCTATATTTAAACCCAACCGTCAGTCATTGACCCTCAAAAGGAATCTATTAACGATAATTTGTTTCACTAGATCGCATCGGTGGTAGCTTACACACTGAGCAATTCGTAAAAACTGTTTTCCAGTTTCCTTGACGAGACTGTCTTGCGGTTTTTTCTTTTCTAATTATTTTTTTTTTTTTTGGTACCCATAATATAATTTATACATTAGTTTAATATACAATGTATATTAGGTACATAAAATAGACTGGATTTTAAATTATGTTGAAACCATAGCTATAATATACGTGCTGTATAAACGTCACTAATTAAAAAAATATATATATATATATATATTCCAAAGACGATATTGGGTACTCCCAATTTAAAAAGGCCTCAATTTATTATAAATTTTATGACACTGCGAAGAGTTTGAAAAACTCGTTTGTTCGTATGTATTTGTTAATAATCAAATTGCGTGTCAAGAAAAATAAAATATTTAACATAGTAGCGTGTCAATGATAAAGAGTAAAGACAGAAACACGAATTAAAATACATCTTAATTCGTGGACAGACACAGAAATGCAGAACCGCCGCGGTTAGAACGCTACGTGTGTACGGGCCTATTGGGAATACAGAGTTTATTCTTAATTAACAGTTGCGGTCGACCACTTGAAAATCAAACACGGGAGGATGACTGCCTATCGACCGCTGTCGTATGAATGATAACATTTAATCATGTATGTTTAATTTTCGGGCGATCGACCGCGACTGCTGGTGATTGAACCGCTCCGTGTGTAGCAGCTTTATCGATATATATATATTTTCGATAATAATTAGTGATAAGTGATAACTGATAACCGTTTGTCATATTTTCTGTGCACGGTCCAGAGTAATATTATTCTATCGATTTACATATACGGAGCGATCTATTTATCACACGACACATTTGTAATAGTTTTAATGTTGAAATTGTTGATTTCCGTCAGTCCATTGACGAGATGATTCCCATAAATATGCCACTGCCATGTAGATTCTCTTTGATCCACCTATTGGAATAGTTTGTCTGCTAATGTGCTTCTAATTATAATTCAATCGTCCTTATATTCCAAGTTTTGTTTAGCTTTATAATCGTATACTACTTAGATCCTGTCGTTCTTGGGTTTTCATCACCCATCCATTCTTTTCACTTGGCTCTACCATCTCATCCAGTATGATTTTATGTATTTCACAATATTTTCGTTTTCTATAATTTGCTCTGTTTCATTGTTGCTTTGTATACGCTATTTTCGTTCTTCGTTGACTGTCCAATACATTTTTCTAATTACTTTTCTTTCAAATATCTTTAATATTTTGGCATCTGCTTTTGTCAAAATCCAAGATTCAGCTCCACAGCAGACTACAGACTACGAGTCTGATAAGGATTTTATATAGCTTCATCTTAAAAGCGTTGAACAGCAGCTTTAATTTAAGGAGTATGATACCTATTGGAAGAAGTATGCACAAATCCCGCCATAATTATACTTCTAATTTTATTTTCTCCGATATTTTGTTACTGTAAATTTTTTACATCCTCAAAGTAATAAGTGCCAGTTTTAATGTTTTGTATATTGCGACGTGCTTCCATTGCAATTAGTTTCAGGTATTTAGTATTCCCTTCATTCATTTTTAAACTCAACCATTATATTCAGTACAATGGAAGGCTTCTTTCATAATAGCATAATATTAATTTTTCTCAAATATGGGACATGTTGGCGTACCGAAAGGCGACATTTATTTTCGGGATATCTGTTAAATCAAAACCCGGTGACAGGCTCGGTTTTCCGGGACGTATGACAACGTTGGCAACCTTAGTCTTTATCTCAAGTATATTCTTGAAAACATTGACATAAATACACAATATAATATATTATGTCAGTGCCTGAAAATTAAGTAAAATAAAAATTGTTATATCTATAACCGTGGTCGTGAATTTTAAAATTGCATATACCGTGGTCATGGTTGTAGATAACGCATGGTTTGGATATACCATGGCTATAGATAATATTATCTATAGCCGTGGGTTATACTGATATTACGAGTTAGAATTTAGGTTATGTTCGTACTTTGTAATAAATGTTTTATATTTTTAATATTTATCGTATATCTCTTTTTTCATGAATATTCCATGCTTAACTTTTATAATTACATATTATTAAGTTTCAATAAACGAAATGACATCCTCTGAAACATTAGAGGTAGCATTTGTAACGGACGGTACATCAGGAGCCACAGTATGGGACACAGCAAATGGTACTATGCTGAAAACGTACAGACACACAGCTTCTTTGGGCCAAAACTGTGTTAGTTTATTAGGAAATGATTACCTTATTGCCGCCGACAAAGGGCCTCTTATCCATACTTGGCCGATCAACAGTCAAGAAAAAACACATCAAGTTCGTATGCTATGTGGAGGTAAAATCAATTCATTGGCTGCAAGTCCAGACGGCTTGTATATTGCAGTTGCAATTGGTGAGAAACTGCAGGTTTGGATGGTAAGTAATAAAGAAGGCCATACTCGTAATTGAGTAATTAGCGAACTTTATTTCTATATAATAAATATACACTTCCCTGTTAGTCCATTGTGTTAAGTTTCCACGACTAATTAAACGCCAAATTCAAAAATCAAATTGACTAGTAAATGTAGGTACTTATGATTATATTAATGTGCATTTATTTATTTAGTGTTGTTCTGGAAAGCTATTGACTACTGTAAATAGACATTTTCAACCAATCACCATTATTAAGTGGTCTTCAGATGGATCTTATTTAGTCACTGGTGATTATTTAAATTTTATTCATGAATTTTAAAATTATTATATAATGTTTACAATTTCTAGGTGGTGAAGATGGTATTGTTTGTGTATGGTCTTTGGTAAAATTAATAAATATGTCTAAAGCTTTTATGATACAAACATTTTTTTCTGGTGATCAAACAGATCAATCTGCACCTAATTACACATTTTCTGATCATTCTGTAAGAATAACAGGAATATATATTGGTAATTGTACAAGGTGCATACGCATTTTTACTACTTCAGTTGACAAAACTTGCAAAGTAAATTAATACAAATTATATTATTTTCATTGATGTTTTAATTTTTACACCTACCAATTTTATTTAGATTTATGATCTTTCAACCGGTATCATGTTATTGTCAATTGCATTTGATGTTATTCCATCCAGCCTCACTGTTGATTCTGTAGAAACTGCCGTTTATATTGGTACTTCTACTGGTCCTATACGCTCGTTAGATTTGACATCTCCACCACGCACAAGGGAATGTTATATAACCGAAAAAGAAACTGGTGTCAAATTTATTGGTCATTCAAAAGCTGTAACTGCTTTAAGTGTGTCATTATTTGGTGATACATTAGTATCTGGATCAACTGATTGTACTCTAAGAACATGGCACATAGCAAGTCGTCAATGTTTACGTACCATTCAATTAAAAGAACCTGTTATAAATATGTTTTTAACATTAACACCACGTCAGTTAACTAATAGTGAATTAGATTCAAGTATTATATTAAGGAGTTTTAAAAAAACAGAAGAACAAAATGATGATTATTTTATTGAAGTGTTTTGTAATAATGATTTGTTTGATGAAGAAAATGATACTTTTGGTCATGTAGAAGATACTAGTATACGTGAAGAATTGGAAAAAATTAAAACTATTAATACAAGAATTTATGAATTTGCACTTAATTCTATTTTAAAAGATAATGAACCAAATTTAAAAGAGGTAAACAAATATTTTAGTGAATTTGAAAGAATGTGTTTAAATTATTTACGTGTATTAATATATTTTATATTTTCAGGATATTGATATTAGTTCCTTTTCATTGATTGATTTGGAATCTTATGGAGAAAAAAATGGCTTCAACAGCAATAACAGTGGTGATGAAGAATCCTCAATTGTAGATTTAAATGAATGTTCTAATATTCCAAAACGGAAAAAGAAAAATAGAAAAAGAAGTAAAAAAAGTAAAAAGAATCCTAATGTTGAAAATATAAGTTACATTTATATGTAACATGTATTATTTATCTAAATAAATATATTTTTTTATAAGTAATATAACTTGTTTAATAAAATCTTAAATTTATTTTTATTAATTATTTATAAAATTTAACTATAATTTTAGGTTCTTAAATGTTATACAATAATACTAAAATAACAGGTTATTTTTATATTTGCAACATGTTTTACATTTCAAGTACCTACTTGTACATCATGTTTAATACAAACAAAAACCTTGCACTGACTAATACTTAATGTAACAAGAAAAAAAAAGTATTGCAACAACAAATTTCTAAAATGTTAGTTAAAATTGTATGTGGAAGTATTTTTTTTATGTCTACACATTTTATTTATCATAGTCATTGTAATCAGTATATTGGACTAAAAAATACATAATTCTAGTAGTCTGGAACATGGATATTTATAGAATGGTTATGCAACAAATAATTTTAATGTGTACAGTGAATATTCTTAAAAAACTTATTTAAATTTATTGATTAACAATAATTATATATATAATGACAAATAGCACGATTTTATAAAATTGTATCTATAGTCTTAACAGTTTTTAATATTGCTTACTTAAAAGCGCTGCAGTGAAAGAAGTTAAAATACAATAGAAGACGAGAATTATGATTGCTACTTTGAAATCACCTGTGGAAAATTACTGCTATTGCTGTTTCATGCCTACACTAATAGACGAGTAATTCTCATTGAGTATAGGCTGTTCTAACATAGATAAAAATAATAGATCTGTCTTAGCTCCATGCTGTAATCATCTTATGGTAAACCATGGTCAAAAGCACAATTTACTTTGGAATGTAAGTAAACTAATTTAGTCATGGTATCTTTAATATGAGGCATTTCTTAACATTATCTCATACTTTCATAATTCTTAGGAGTCAAGAATCTAGCTGAATGACAGGAGTCATTGGTAGAAACTTTTTGGCGGCCCTATCATAGATCATAGGTCTTTGTTAAGAATATTTATCTAAACTATAAACTAAAATACCTTTGTGATAGTAGATGATCTAAACCTATGGTTTTATTGTTGGTTCGCTAATGTAACTGTATAATATGAGAAAGCAATACTCGTCAAAATTTTGAAGACATTCTTTTTGGGATTACCCAAGATTGTTATTAAATTAATATGTTTTTATTGTAAGTATTTGTTTCCATATTGCGACAGCTTGACATTGCACAAACTACAATTCACCATTTTTATAGGAAATAAAAAAGTAAAATTCTTTTAAAACAGTAAAAATTGATTATCATATTATTTTAATTATTAGTAATTATAGCATTAACATTGTTCTGATTGGATCTAACACCAGTCTCAGAGTAACTGTAGCCCATACATCACACATTAAGCAAATGCCCTAATTTCAAAGGGTATACTCAAGAATCTAGTAAACGTTGTAGAATGGATCTATAATTATTATGTGTTATCTGTACTTTAATATCTGATCTACAGTCTTTCCTTAAAGTAGGTACCTAATAATATTATGTTTCTATTGTCATTAATTTATTGTTAAGCTTGTATAATTAATAAATACATTTGTTTATAATTAAATTATAATAATAAAAAAATGTAATATCAGAAACATAATATAGTTTATATTATTTTCTTAAATTTCTTTTCAGTTATTTGAAATTTTGCCAAAAGTTAAAGTCTAACATATTTATATGTTGGATCTGTAAAACTATATGCCATTAGGTTGAATGAATTATTAAACACAAAACAAATACCCATATTATTCATAGAAATATAAAATTAAATTTATTACCATTACTTGGGCATTAAATAATTTTAAGTATATTTTTGTTTATATATTAAATTTAAATGTACACAATATGTATTTTTCTAATACATTTTTTAACACAAAATAGATGAAGTTATGTTTGTAAAAATCAAAAAAAAAATTATTCATTGTCTGATTTGACAAATGAATGTACATAAAATTTAATAAATAATATCTATCAATATACAAATAATAAGTCCATCACTAATAAATAATTATACAAGTATAAAATTGATTTTAAAAATATTATCACAGAAAGAGTGTTTTTACAAACACAATAAGAAAAAATGTATTTTTTTTTACCTATTTTAAATGGCTTAATTGTTAACTTTGATTTTTATAGATAACAAAATATTTAAATCAAACAGTTTTACAATAAAAGAATGATATGACAGTTACTGTCAAAGAATATCAATCACCCCAGGGCGATACTTGTCTAAATTCCATCCACGAAAATACTTTCTGAGACATTCATTAAAATGGCGTTCCATAAAGTCCATCATCAGTTTACATTTAATATCATTAGACTGCTGATAGGAACAATAGTATAAGTGAAAATAATGTGAGCTGTAAAATTTATTTTACTTACCTGAGATATATGACGGAATGTACTAAATACTAATCGAAAATCCCTAACTACTGCTTGTACATTTTCATACTTTTTATTGATCATTTTACATCTGATTGGCTCAAATAATTGTATCCTAACCACATTTTGATAAGTTGTGTCCTTCAAAAAAATTTGGAAAATTATATTATTACTACTCATATCCATTACATGAATGATTATAATTTGTATTACTAAAAACTTACGTATAATTCTGGCTCCCTACTAAACTCATCTTTAGGTATATCTTGCATTTCTCTAATCATCTTTTGAAATTTGTATCGAACCTTTTTATCTACTTCTCTAGCTAAAAAATTCCACATTCGATCAGTGTCATCTGGCAATGGAGCTCCAGTATCCCTGTCAGATATTTTTTCAAATGTTGAATGTATATTGTTAATTAACCCTTCCTCACTCTCTTGTGATGAATGTGTACTATCAGTAGATCTAGTTGTCAAAATATTATGGCTAATAGCATTATTCACTAATTTCTTGGCATCTTTTTGTGCCTCTAGCCATTTTTTCTCATCGTCTTCCTTTACTTCGATAAGTTTAGCTTCAGGTTTTGGTTGTGGACTAGCTACAAACTGAGTAGGTGTAAATTGTGCATTATGAATAGGGTATGGTGGTTTCTGGTAATTATTTTGCCATGGATTGGGTGGTTGCTGAAGATATTGGTAATACTGCGGTTGATTTACTCGTACTTGATTTGGATATTGTTGGTAAGGAGGTTGATATGGTGGACGGTACTGCATTGAACAGTATGGTGCTCGATTCAACTGTGGTGTTTGATATGATCCTTGATAGTTGTAACTATTCATATAATTTGGATTAGAATAATTGTAGTTTACATATTGCTGTGCATTGTAGTCTGGTGATGGAGGTTGATAAGCAGGTTGCTGTATGGGAGGAACAAGAGGTGTAATTGGATTTTGAATGACATGGGTTTCAAATTTGTCATTTGGCACAATTTTTCTTAGTTGTGTGATTGTTGACAGTGCTTTATTCAATATTCTATCATTATTTTTTCCTTTTACTTTTAATGATGCATTCGGATCTTTAGCACGACAGTGTACAGTAATATCATTTATCAGCTGCTCAATCATTTTATATGAATGTTTCCACCAATGTTGGTCCACATTAGCATTTATACCAAACATGTCTATCATAATAATACTAAAATTTATAAACGCAGTAACCAAATCATGCAAATTTCCTTTGTCAACCCGACTGGCATCTGCAGATGCTAACAATTGTTTTATAATATTATTTAAATCTACAGTTTGTACCCACATTGGCAAGTCTCGATTTACATCAAGAGCATCATCAATAGTCTTACAACCTGTCCATAATAATCTTTTAGTTTCTTCAAAACAAGCTGACACAGAATTGTTTTCAAAATCTAATAATACTGTAGATGGAGATCGACTCATTGTTGGCTGAGATGATGCAGATGATATACTAAAAATACAAAAATACTTAATTGTAAATAGTTATTATTAAAATACAAAATAATTATTTTAAATTAATTACATATAAGTAATGTCGTATAATACCTGCTATAGTTTTTGTAATTTTTTTTATTAGATGTTACGTTAACAGTTCTGTTTATTGCTGCTGGGCGACACAAACGACTTTTTGTTGGTTTTTTATGTTTTTTACTATTTGTTGCACGCTGCATCAGTTTTATATAACCATTTAATGAACGATAATCTGTTGTAGTTTTAGTTGATACTACATCTTGATCAGAAATCATTAAACGATTGTATATGTTCATCATTAACTCCAATCGAGCTTTCATGTCAGATGAAACTACACTCAAATTGTACTTAGTCATGACTATTTCAAAATTAATATACCTATAAAAAAAAAAAAACAATAAATTACAATTAAGAAGTATTTACTAAAATTAGGAATATAAGAAAATTTTGTATTTTCATGAATTTAGGTAGATAAGTTAAAGACGTATAATTTATGTATGAAAGAATTGATTAATAGATTAATGACGAAGTAATATTTTAAAGATTTAAAAATAAATACAATTTTTACTGTGTGTTAATATTTTTTCGTACCATTTAATAAATGTTTTTTTATTATGTAGGTACCTAATAATAATAATATAGAATAATATAAAATAGGTTGGTATAGGAATTTAAAAACGTTGGCAATTATTATTTTTTAATTACCTGTATTTAAAATTAATATTTCTGCATAAATATTTTAAATAGTTTTACTAAATGTACATATCAGTACTTTAAGATGTTTTTACTTCCTATTAATATACAATACAATTTATTAATATGTAGGTTAACTTAACCTACTGTATCTACCTAATTTATTCAATCTGCAAATTTAATTTGAAATATAGATGAGTAGTGAGTACCTTGTACTTAACTGAATATTTTAAAATCATAATAATAAAAAGTATAGACAGCTTTATTAATTTATAATAAATTATTACCAAGCAATATAAATATAAGCTGAAAGTTAGTTTTCGATTTATATAATATAAAATCAATTACTGTATAGATGGGTATAATTTTACAATAAAAATAAAAAAAAAGGTGCTAGTTGTTTAATTATTTATTGTTAAGTTGGTAGATACCTATCTCTCTCATTATGAATTTAGACAATGCAAGTTAACAAATTTCGGTAAATTCTAATTAGTTAATTATAATATTCAGTATAAAAAATATATTTTTTGTCGCGAAAACAATTTTATTGTGGACGTCTCTATTCTGTGGGCACGCGTCCTTCGTACAAAATAATAATAATAATAATAAAAAAAAAGTAACGGTTGTCCTACACGAGAAAAACAAACATTCAAAAAACCCGGTTACGACACAATTCTAAAAATATGACGTTTGGGAATTATAAAAATAATGTACAATCGAGCTGTCCGGTACCGACAATGTATGCCTAAATCAGCATCGTATCGCAGCCGATATTCTGTTTAAAACGATCCTTGAAATGCTCTAAGCAGTTGGTCGCCGAAAATGCGCGGCATAGGCACGCGTTTGTATTTTAATTTTACCATCATGATCTATAATAATATAGTTGCTTACCGATTCGGAAGCCAATAACACAACACCTTGAACCGGCAAAACTTTCTAGTTGTTAGTTTTCGATATTAACTACGGTGCGCCGTTCGAACGAAAAATAATCCATTCGAGCCACGGAACTGATAGCTACGAAAGACGAAAACTATAAAAAAAAATAGTCCGAGACGGATGTCTAGAATGGACAGTTGTACGCCAATCGTCTGGAATCAACAAGCATGTCAAAGAAACTGTATAAAACACAAAGTATCGGCAATTAAGCTCAGCTGATTAGTAGCGTTTTATTTTTTTTTTTTTGTTTTTCTAAAATAATGCGCGGACAGAAATTATAGTTGACATTTTAAAAACAAATAAAAAAAAAAAAAATCCCACGATTATACACTACAGGCAGATTAGGCACAGTGCATAGTGTGCATATAGGTAACGCGGTATTGTGTGTACCGAGATAGATCAGTTAGGTAGTTTTATCCATGGAAAAGAGTGCGTAACTATAATTTTCGGAGAGGCATTCATGCATTGCGATATAAACGTTAGATTTTGTTGTCGCAGGCCATAAACCCATAACCAGTGGCGCCGAACCTAATACAAGGGGCGGGTGTACCCTCTGGCATTGGCAGTTTACAATTATCTGATATTAGGAGCTGCGGTAGACATAGTATTAAAAACAACGCGAACTGGTCTACAGGTATTCCTAGACTGCCGTCAGGGACGGATCCAGGAGGGGCCCACGCGCCCAGCCCACCCCCTCCCCCAGCCATATTATTTCTCCGGTTTTTTTTTTTCAGAATTCTATAGATCCTGATATTACTATATTCCAATCACTGATACGTATGATAAAATAATATATTACATTGTATTGTATTTGTGTTGTAAAACAATTGTTGCCACCCCCCCCCCCCCCCCACCAAGATCTTCGCACTGGATCCGTGCCTGTGAGTTGTGCCTACCGTAGTGCGTACTGGGCAATTGCATTAGTAAAAGCGAAACATATCACTATTTAACTATTTAAATAATAGTTTTACGACAAATAACCAATAAAGTACCCAATAAATTTCTAAATCTACTACAGCGGCTACAGCTAATTTCTACGGTGTTTTACGCAGGCTATACAGAGTGAAAACATACACATGGTAATATTGTTAGGTATTATTGAACAATTTTTGGTTATGGCGTCAGAGATTATTTGTTTTTGTAGTACGTGTAATTATGTATACGTTTAGAAGATAAAAAGTTTTATAAAGTATCAAACGAAAAACAATGAACATAGGTATATTTATGTTTAATATTTCAATATTTTCAATATTGAACATATATATTCAATATAATTTATATTTCATTTATGTTGAAAAAGACGCTACATGCTTCGCAAGATGGGCGGGCCACTGTTGTAGGTGAGAAGTTGGGAGGTTAGGATGAAAAGGGGAATTTAATTTATATCTGTATCCAACGATTAATTACTGCTAACAAAATACGATTCTGAGCAGAGTTCGGTTATGCACGTTTTGAAAGGCCATACCTGGGTAATATTTACAATTCCCGTCAAAACTTGATTTTGAAACTTATAAAAAAAATTTGACTTGTGTCAAATGTCAATATCGGTTTCTAATGATCGTATAAACAATTTCGATTTTTTCAAAAACAAAGAACAACAATTTTAAAATTTTAAATATATTTATTAATTATGAAAATTTGAAAAATATTGTATTTAATATAATTTATCTTTCATTCCTTTCATTCATTGAAATTACCTATAAAGACCTTTTCATACTTTCTTGCTATTATTTGAGTGAACTAAATTTAGTCAGTCAAAAGTCACTAAAGTGTCAAAGTTTCCTAGTGTTGTAATATAAATTATAATATGATATCATTTTTTTTTTTCTGGGATTCCTGATAAGCATTTGCAATGTCATCCGTAAATTGGAACTTATTATCAAATTACGATTTTATTACCTACCTATTTAAAATGTGTACAACTAATGTTTTCTACCATAAATATTGCTCAAATAGAAAAATTACCCAAGGCCTTTTTTGTTGAATTTTTAATCTAGTTTATGAGTAAGCTATATGTTTTTTGATTTTCTCTGTAATTTTATTAATGATTAGGAAAAATCGAAAAAATACGTTAAATAAAAACTGATAGATTTACGGCTTTACGATTTTATTATTTTTAATTTTTACACATTCCGTTGTCTACCAGAAATATTTCCTCCCGCGGTACCATAAAGGATATTATGATGCTAAAGACGTTAATTTTTTAAAAGTAGCTATAGAATATTACTTATTTCCCAAATCAAGCACTGACCAACATGTTTATAGAGCATTTTTTTAACATCATGTTTCCGTCCTTAATTTCAAACTGATACACTAGGCACAAGAATCATAAAATATTAATAATCTAAGTACTCTAAGTTAAAGTCTTCTTGAAAAATGTAAAATCTTTAATGCGTTAATATAGGAGAACGGGGGAAGTCGTATTTTCTCATACATGTACGTTGGATATATTGTATATAGAACGGCGTTTTTAATAACTTATGTGGGCAATTCGACAGTACCTACTATAACGCGCTATTCTATACTATACTATAATCTATACGGTTTTAATGAACTGTTATGAAATATTTCCCTTGATACAGGACCGTCCTTAGGGGGGCGGGGGGGTGGGCGAGCAGGGCCCAGGCCCTGGGCCTCGCGTTTGTAAAAAAAAGTAGTAATTTTTTTAAATTTAAATTGTATTTTATTTTATGTAAATCGTATAAATTATATAAAAATAACGTGGTTGATTCAAAGTAAAAGGATTGAGGTATCGATAATACAATATTATCGTAATTGGTAATCGCAACACATCAGCCGCGGTGTATATGCGGGTTTTTCCCGACCGTCTTTTTCGTCGAATTGTTATTAGTCGATATTTATTAGTAATAGATAAGATAATAATAGAAATTTAAAACGTCATATTTATTTATAACTTTAAATGTCACCGTTGGAAAAAACATTGACAATAATAAACAGTATTTACTAAGCAAATAGTAGGTAGACCGAATTCGTTAGTAGTTTTTACTTTTCCGTGTGTGCGTTTGCTGTTGACGTCGCCACGTCGGTTGTATCTAATATTCCAATGCATTAATAGATATTAAAACGAGTGGTCGATTACGGGATGGATATCGACTCAAATTAAAAGTGGTAGCGAAAAACGAAAACGTAAATGTGCTGTTGGACATCAAAATGAACGTCAAAATAACTCTTTATTCAAATTTTTCAAAAAACATCATAATGATGACACTATAGCCGACAGTGGTGAAATTGAAAGCGAAAATGCGAATCTCCAATTGAGCGATAGTGCCGATGTTAATTCTGAAAATGTAGAAGTTCAATCACTTCAATCCAATAGTGATAGTGATGAATATGAAAGTGTGCAACTGGTATCAGACGGTTTACGACCGAAAGAAGACATCGAGAGCAGAAAAATACACGAAGAAGAAAACAACGTCGACGATCCAGGTAACTGGCCACAAAATATTAATGATAACTTACGGATTTATTTAGTTAAAAACCCGCCTTCAGAAATTAAAAACTATAAGTTTCCATCTAACGATGAAGGTCGTAAATTTAGTGTAATACATTATAATAGAATAATGGCCAACGGTGAAAATGTGATTAGAAATTGGCTTTTGTATTCTAAATCTTTTAATCGAGTATTTTGTCCCAATTGTCGTTTGTTCCCNTTTAAAAGAACGTGAATTATCTATTCCACATAATACGGCTCAAGAAAAATGGATACAATTACGTATGGGACTTGGTCTTCATAAAACTGTAGATAATAACGTACAGGATAATTTAAATATTGAAAAAGAACGTTGGCGTAGTATTCTTAAACGAATTATTGCGTGTATAGAGTTTTTGGCAGAACATAATGACGATTTTCGTGGTACAAGTTCTAAATTATATACAGCGAATAATGGTAAATTTTTAGGACTAATACAAATGATCGCAAAATTTGATATTATGGCCGATCATTTGAGACGCGTATGTAATGATGAAATACATATGATCATTATTTAGGACCTAGAATTCAAAACGAACTTATTAGTATTATCGCCACAAAAATACGCGATGAAATAATTAATCGCGTTAAGCAGAGTAAATACTTCACGATTTTATTAGATGGAACACCTGATAAAAGTCATAAGGAGCAGCTTGCATTTCTTTTACGTATTGTAGAAATTTCGAAAAATTTGAAATATGAAATAAATGAATATTTTATATGCTTTATTCACACTTCAAATAAATCTGGTTTAAATTTAACTGTGGAAATAAAAGAACGATTACAATTAAGGAACTTGGACTTGAAAAATTGCCGTGGCCAAGCATACGACAATGGGGCANATATGGTCGGCCGAAAACGGGGAGTACAATCCCGAATTATTTCAGAGAACTCGAGAGCTTTTTTTATACCATGCACTGCGCACAGCCTTAATTTACTTCTCGGGGACACGGCATCGTCTGTACCGGCTGCTATGACATTTTTTGGCGTAATTCAAAGAATTTATACAATTTTCAGTGCTTCTACTGAAAGATGGACTATTCTTTTAAAATACGTTTCAGACTTTACTTTAAAATCAATGTCAGATACCAGATGGGAATCTTGGGTCGAATCAATTAAACCTATTCGTTTTCAATTATGCCAAGTACACGATGCTTTAGTAGAAGTCAGTGAATTAACAAAGGATCCTAAAATAAAAAGTAAAAGTTCGTCTTTGGCAAATTATGAATTTTCTTATGATTTTATTTTGAGTGTTGTTATTTGGTATGAACCTACTATCTGCTATTAATAAAGTTAATAAGAGTCTTCAGAGCGAAAACATGGAACTGAGTAATGCTGTACAGTTATTAGGTGGTCTTAAACATTTTTTGAATAATTTTAGAGAAAAGGGGTTTGAGTTATCAAAGAAATTTTTTGTGTGATAAGAATTATGGATGTCATTATATTATTAGATTATGTTATATGGGTATGGATATATAATACCTAAAAGGTATTACAAGTATTTTCGCACTGGGCCTCGCAAATCCTAAGGACGGCCCTGCCTTGATAAAATAAATATTATCTTTTATTATTGTTGACCGATGTCGCCGATTATTTAACCTGTTTAACCTGTTCAACCCAAGTTCAAATGTCTGTTAAAGTTCATTTTGACTGCATACTGAGATGTCGAAGTTCTCACCTTATATCCGTCGTGTGCGTATTTGTAATAATATTGACGGAGTGTTTTAAAACTGGCCACAATATAAATATAATCAATATTAAATGTATACAAAACAATTATTTAATCGTAGGAAAAAAAGAATAAGCCGGGGACCAATAATTAAATATTTGCTCCGATGATATTATTAATTATGTACCTTATTTTTATCATTAGACATATTACTATATATGGTAGGTCGTAGGTAGGTAACATAAAATAAAATTAGTGATTATTTATAAGTGTCATTTATGTTTATGATATTTTACAGGGTTGCTTGAGTGCGTCCCGAAATGATCCTTTTTCAATATCCCAAATGCGATCCAATAAGAATTGCTCAGGGTGTACCACGAGGAGGTGAACTGACTTATTCAGTTATACCCCAATAATATTAGGTTATTTTATAATTTATTATTGATTGTACTCAATTAGGTTGGTTGAGTGTTGTAAAACAAATACAAAATATGTCATAGAAGAGTAGGTACTTATAGTATTTAAATTTTTGTCGCCCATGAAAACATAACAGTTTTTACGTTTTTTTCAAAAATTTTTAAAATTACAGCACTAATTCTGTATACTAGATTACGGGAAAAATTACGGCACCACACTCGCTTATTAGATCATAGTTACTACACGACTGTCACGATTACTAGCCGTACTCCATAATCTTATTGAGTTATTTTATAAAAGTTGAAACAAAATTTTGTTTTCCCACCAGTCCATTCATAAGTTATTAAGTTAAGTTTATCATTTTTTAAATAGATATGAATAGGTTACTACTAACAAAGACATTATATGTCGACCGAAAATAAATAATTTAACACAAAGATATGAAATAAGATCAAATGAAAAAATATATAACGTCTTTGGAGAACCTAATATAACTGGGGTAATTAGAGCCAAAAGACTAAGCTGGTTAGGTCACATATTAAGGTCTAACACGATTGCAAAAGAACACCCGAATAGGAAACCATGAGGAAAAAGGCCCTTGGGCATGCCTAAACAACGCTGGTATGATAAGGTCGCAAAGGATCTGACAACGCTAGGAATGGAAAACTATAGGGAGGTAGCACTGGATAAAGAGAGATGGAAGTCATTGTGTAATGCAGAAATTAAAGTTAACCTATTTTAACTACTGCCACACAAATGATACTTCACTATTCTCCTACAACTAAAATTTAAAAGTGGAATTTCTTGCCAATGGCTCGGCCTAAATTAAAAATGTCAACATTAAAATTTATTTTAACTAATACTTCGTCTATTCATTGAATTTTAAAATAGGTGTCCATTTAAAAATCAAATATAATGGTTTTACCCCCAAAAATAAGGGTGACATAATGTAACATAAACATAAAATTGTAGAGCAGCTTGTTTCTTCAATGTTCTAGAAAACAAATTTCGAAAAAAGTTAATACTTTTCGAGATAATGAGTGTATCCACTTAAATAAATCATGATAAATGAAGGATTAAAGACTCAATGGAACTAAAATGAAATAAATTGATAACATTGATAAATATTCATTATATATTATTGCATTTATGTTTTATGGAGTACATGGACACATGAGTAATTATTAAGGTATAATAGTTCAATTTAACAGTGTTGAATTAATTACCTACGCAAATCCTATAAAATATTTACTATCAATTGTTATATGTTCATATTTACGAACAGATATGGTTTTTTTTGTTAAATAGTTATTATTAAAAACCTGATTAAAATAGGTGGGTAGGTAGGTACTGTATACCTTGCGTACGAAGAACTGATATTTTACATCACATTCGTCAGTCACATATTCATTAAATTATTATCAATCGATCGAAACATATATTCGATTGTTACCTAACTATTCTATATATTACACAAAGTCGCACCATAACGTAACGCGAAAAACAATGGTCTAGCCGAACCTAATCAAATCGGCGATTGTAATACCGGTAATAAAACGTTAACCTAGGATCAGTGGCGTGGAACTTAGTGAACTTGGTCGGCCTAAAATAGGCGAAGGACTTCTAAAACATAGGAATTAAATGATTAAATTATAGTGATGGTCTAGTTATGATATAGATACACATAGAAAAATCATAATATTATGTAATATGTATTTTAATTATTATAAATTTATTTAGAACAATAATATTGTAGGTTTAAATTTATAAATTGTAATGTAACTGTAAGGTACCTATATTTATTAATTCATTTTTCGAATTTTCATTTGGGCGAACTTGTCAATGACCTAGGTACATTATAAGTCATACTTAAAATGGTAAAAAAAAAAATTGAATGTAGTATTTTTTTTTTTTGTAAGTTTTAAAATCAAATTTTAATAAAAATCGTATATAATATTATCTATGGCCTTTCAAAATATTTATAACTTAACTTTGCTCCGAATTGTTTTTCGATATAAATCATTTATCGTTGGTTACAGGTATAAATTAAATAACTTTATGTGTCTCACCTTCCCTACTACTCCACCTACAACAGTCGCCACATTCGTCTCCAGTATCAGCTTTTTAAAAAAAATATATTTATCTATATATATGCAATTATATTGAAAAAACTTGACGTTTAAGTTTTTGAATAACGTACAATTATTATTAAAAAAAGAGCTGATACTGGGAACGGGTGCAGCCACTGTTGTAGGTGGGAAGTTGGGAAGATAGGATATATAAGGTTATTTCATTTATATCTGTCAGTAACGATAAACCATTACTGACGAAAGACGATTCCGAACGCAGTTGGGTAATACATAATTTGATGTGGCGTAATTTTTTTTGCGATTTTAGTTTAAATTTGATTTTTAAACGCTTATTAAAAAAAAAAATCNATTATTTAAAATAACGAAATCGTGAAAAAATCGTATTTTTTTCCCGGTTAATCGTTTTTATTTTAAATACCGTTTCGAAAATTAAAAAATGACCTATGTATTTACCAAGTGGATAAAATTGATTTTCAGAAAAGGTACTACACTTATGTATCGGAGCAAGTTTTCTAGGATAAAAGTGGTCTACAGTATAAAACAAATATAATAAGGTACCATTGTAAAAATATTTAAAAAAAGAAAAATGTCGTCCGATGATTTTGGAAATTTTACCACATCTAATATAAGCATCGTTACCAAGTTTCAAGTCTCTAAATACAATTTTACTATCCAACAATAATGAACTTAATATGTATGTATACTTGTGTTTATGGATTTGTAAGATTATAAGTAGGTAAGTATCGGTAACATTAATGGGATTTAGTTTTTAAGATTTATTAGTAAATAACATCTAGCTCGTACAGCGACTGATACAACTGAACGAGCTACAAAGTATTGCCATCGACGTCTTACGATGAAGTACCTATGCATAAACAACAAAAAGTAGAATAATAGTTATTTTAATTTTTTTATAATTATATAGCCATAGAACAATAACTTATTATACAATTACGTAGGTATATATTTTACAGACTGCAGTAATCATTTTATGAGTTAAGACTATAATATTTATAAGTCAAGGAAAAAGATATTGTGTCGACGCCATTCAATTGTTATCCGTCATCATCGTCACAATCTGTCTTAGTGATATCTTTAAGTACCATAGCTATATCATAGAAATATAATATTATATTATGTCTATGAGCTATTTTGAACGTGTTATTGTTATTAGACCAATAATCCTAATTCATTAACATTCGTGTACCTATACCATATATATAGTAGGTATAATTATTGTAACCTAAATTAAATAAATAATAATTAGATACTTACCTAAAAACGCACTATAAATAAGTACTAATCTAGTTACATTTTTATAAAATTGCTTATTTGTATAATAATCTAAGTAGGTGATAATGATTTGTCTTAAATGAGTATTTAAGACAAATCATTGTACTAAATAAATTAAGAATTATTCTAGTCAGTTTTTTTTTTAATTTTATGGAAAAATTTTGGGAACCAAGACATTGAAGATATTTTTTTACTAAGCTGAGCGAGCCAAGCTTACCATAATATATGTGTTTGTTTTTTTGTGTTTTTTAGGTACCCGTTAATAACTTTTTTATCATAAAATATCTTAGCTCAAACAACAAATGGCAAAAGACATTTTTTTACCATATTTCGGATAAGCATTGAGGAATTAATTTCTTTAATTTTTCGAATAATTGAGAAAAACCGTAAATAATGTAGGAAAAACGAGAAAATGTACGGTCTCATTATTTTCGGTTTTATGTCATTTTGTCGCCGTAATTCAGTTAACAGTAATATAATAATCGTAGAAATATGAAATTTACACGGATTACTAATATTAGCCTTTTATCGACGTAGTAAAATGTCTTCAAAACATTTCGGCGGCTTTTAAGGTATTTAAAGATATTTTAAATTTTGAATCCCGGTATTTCACGCCGTAATTAAGTTGTAGTAAAATTTACGGCGGTGGTGTAGAGGGCGTAATTTTCGTGGGTTGTCTTGTTTATCCTTCTCCTTCCAAATAACTAACTTAAAACAGTGGCATACCTATCAGCAGTATTATTGACCCTTTTATTAAAGTAAAGTAACACCGCGGGCAAGAAATCTGCACCTTATAATAAGGAATGATGTGAATTCCTGGAGCATTTTTACTCAATTAAAAACGTGTTTTGTCTGAAAAAAAAAACCGAAAAAAGAATCTAGGAGATGAAAGTTACAAAAAGTGTTTCAAGTAAAGTACCATTTGGAAAAAAATTCGGATCTTTTCAGGCGTGGCTTGAAAAAACCGAAGCGCTCTTACTAATCCAAAAAGTGTTTTCAAAGAAGAAAATATACACCCCAGTAGTCTTGGCAGGTCAGAAAAACTAAGTGATAAAATGACATAATACGTTGTTATCGAAACATCATTGAATCAAAACAATAACAACGAGAATAATTTTTAATAAATCGTAATTTCGTTAGTAGCAAAAATGGACTCTAACGACGACAATAAGGGACCATCGGGAAAACGGTGCAAAACCAAAAATTTACCTAAAACCGTGCCGGGCTTCTGTATGCAAGCCTACCAAAAGAACACTGTGACGGAAGGCCCTAAGACAGCCGGGTCAGCAGAGAATGTGCAGCCGAAGACAGTAAAAGCCAGGACAAATTTCGCGGCTAAATGCGGACGTCCCGGGTTCCCATTGGCCGCGTCCTACGCGGGTCGCAACCGGCCGTTTAGGTGGCTGGTGCCACTCGAAATGATCGACTACGACGTCTACCTGCCCATAATGACCGATGGACTTCGCGAGCCTTCAAAGCCGTACGGCGCGTGCGCGGCGCAAGGCCTGTGGGACCTGTTGACCCGGGATACCACCAGCCATCGCGTGCTGAACGCGTTACCCAGAATGATATTCCCGCTCCGGCGGGCCCTGAACGCCGGCGCCTCCGATCACTGGCGCGTCGGCGTTCGCGCGCTGAAGACGTTACAAAAACTGACTTCAGCCGGCAAGGACGGCCGCGTGGGTTATGCCTTGGTCCCTTACTATCGGCTCCTGTTGCCACCACTCAACCGGTACAGCCAGGTCGCCGACGTAAACTCCAATGACGGCGTGAACCAGTGTATCAAATACAATATTGCAGACCTTTGCTATCAAACGCTGTTATTGCTTGAGTACACGGGCGGTCAGTGTGCGTACTCAAATATTAAATACTTAATACCCACATATGAGAACGTGGTCGTTTGCTGTAAAAAATCTGTCAGAATCGGAACCGTCACTGACACTGACGACGCCACTACAACCCTGCACCTATAATAATCTAGGCACGCGCACACATTGGTGGAAATTGGGGGGGGGGGCTTAAGGATTTAAAAAAAATATAACACATACTATTTTTTATATTATAAATCTGTTTTCTGGGTGGTACTTTAATATTACTTTTGGTATTTTCATCTGCTTTAGATCACGGATGTTGAGTCTATAATACCTACTATACCTATCTAGGTATATAGGTATATGTGTATTACTATAAGGACTATAGTTCTATCAAGAAAGGAGGTATGTGAATAATTTATACATCATTCGATCTCGTTTGCATTCGCATCTGACGTTATACACTTTTTAAATGTAAGTAGATTATTTACATATATGTATACTATATAAAATCGCCTACTTAGAAATGTGGATTAGGCCTGGCGGCTAGCTGGGGATACTACAAAAAAAAAAAAAAACGATCCGAGTGTAATACCTTATACTTATTATAATATTATGTGTACCTGAAACGTACTTATATTTTATGAGCTAAGGTGGTGAAGAAACTTACACAGGTACTCCGACTCGATATAGTTATCGCGTAAATTAATTTTCCTGTTATTACGAAAACTACAAGGGAAATCAAAAAATAATCTTCCGACGCAGCATCACTAAACAAAATTTGATTTTAGAAAAGAACTACACTTGATGATCAGCGAGCAAGATTTCTAGTAAAAAAGTTGTTTACAGACAGAAAAAAAATGTAACAGAAAAATACAGGTATATTTTAACTTTAATCTAGAAGAACGTTATGATTCAAATTTAAAAGTGTGTATATTTAAAAAAAGAAAATTCTAATTTTGAACTTATTTAGATTGAATATTTGTTTTACTATAATTGTAATCACATAATTGTTTTAGATTCTGAGTGGGGCGAGGAATGTATAACAATTATATTTATTTTATTTTATATTTTATGCGAACACTTTTTCGACCAGAAAGCTGATTCCAATTATCAACTATAGTATCTTTTCTGATAGTAAGTGTTCTCTGGGTGGTACTTTAGAGAGGTAATTTTATGATATTCTCATTAATATTCTCGATATCGAGAAAAACCTGGTTCTTTAGGTAAAAAAGGTTGAAAGATTAAAAATAAGGTTGTCATTGGCAGCTGTTTATTTCATTTATTTCTGATATTAAATTTTTAATATTTTAATATTTTTTAAACAATCATTGTTGTCATAGAAACGCAATTGTTGTAATCATTTTACCATAATATGACATATATATATTGTTGACAAAACAAAACTATCAACTTAACTCCGCTCAGAATCGTTCTTTCGTTAGCAATGGATTATCGTTGCTTACAGATATGTAAGATAAATTCCCATCTGTATCCTACCTTCACAACTTCCCACCTACAACAGTGGCTGCACCCACGTGCGAAGTATGTCCGTCCTTTTTTATTTTGTATTAATTATGTATTAGTGTAAATGTGATGAATGAATTATCTTATACAACATTGAGTACGTATACAACTATATTATGTTATTTGGTAAACCAATTTAATGATTTCATTGTGAAAATGATATAAAATTTGTAGGTACCTACTATTAAACATTTAATATTAATTACAAACCGATAAAACAAATATGACTTATTGAAAACTGTTCTTTTCTAGTACAAAACTATTAAAACGGCTCTTTTTAGGGTTACCAAATTTATAAATTCCTTACAAAATAAAAAAAAGACGTCCCAGGATAATGGCGACCTTTTTTTTAAATCTGTACCTAATTTTTTGACTAATATTTTTAAAAGGCTGTTCTAGGATAATGGAGATAGGTGCAGCCACTTATATAGGTAATTTTATGTGTACCTGTAAGCAACAATAAACCATTGCTAACGAAAAAACGATTCTGAACGGAGTTCAGTTGATAGTGATGCTTTTTAAACAATATAAATGTCATATTATGGTAAAATAATTAAAGAAGCGTTATAAATTATCTTTAAAAAAAATTGTTTTATGTACCGATTTTCCGGTTTTTCCTATGTTTTACCCGGCTTTCCCATGTTTTTCCTGATTTTCTACATTTACTGAGAAAACTATAGAGAAAATCGAAAAATGACCTCTCTAAAGTACCTCCCAATTCAAATTTCTTTTAGAAACAATGCTGTAATTATAAATTGAATCATAATTACTGGTAGAAAGTTGTCCACAGGAAAAAGAAATCGTAATATTTTACTAATATATTTTGTACATTTCCCCGTTTTTTTTTTTCGGTTTTTCAAATTTGATGAGAAAAATCTTGAAAAAATCGAAAAATGACCTACCTACATCGATTTCCTTTCAGAAAAGGTGCGACACTTAAAAATCCGAGCAATTCTTGTGGTAGAAAAGTTGTTAAATGTTAAAAAAATAAACATCTTTATAAAACCATAAGCATCTTCGCTCCACTCAGAATCTAAAGTAGTATATTTATTGGTATCTTTTAACCCATTTAATCACAAAAACACAGATTCATTAGTATAGTTACTTTAGGAATATTTTTATCCGTTAACTTCTTGAAAAGTCTGATTTCAGCAATCAAAGTTTCTGGTTAAATTTGTTTTAACTTTTTCAAAATGACAGCCATTAAACTATAGTTAAAATATTTGCAACAGAATTTATAAGGTCAATTGTATCTTGTTTAAATTTTGAATTTATTCCCTTAATAAGATCATATATAGTGTTGTATAGGCCAATGAAGAAAATGAGCTGAGGCAGCACATTGTAATTAATATTTAAGAACGCGAGCACCGCGATAATGGGTCAATACAGGTTTTCGATCGAAACACGCATGTGTGTATGCGTTTTGTATGTTTGTTTTTATTTATAATAAAGAAGTTTTGGATAAACAGTGCGAAATATCGTTTATTTTTGAGTAGCCACAATACGTAGCCTTATTCCGAGTCTGATCCGAATTGTATTGCTATCGAATATTTAATAATTTGTGCTGTAATCTGTGACCGATAATTCATTAACCGTATTTAAAAACACAATCAATGTGGTATCGTTGTGCGCAAACGAGTTGTCGATTAACAGGTAAACAATTTCGATTGTGTGCGAACGAGTTGCACCGCTTTAGTAAGATTAATCAGACTACATCAGGCACGTATTGAGAGACACGTTCGAAATAATCGCCCCCTCCCACCCATTGACCGTGTCATAGTTTATCGACGGCCCTTCGTAATGTAGGTAAATTGTATAAATTAACATTGTTTTTCAACAAACGCTTTTAATAGAGATTATAATTCGGTCGGAAATGATGTATATTATAAACGAGCCTAATAATATTTCAATTAAATACAATTTATTATTTATTTGCACGTTCGTTCCGACGATATTTGAATGAATTTAGCTCAAGGATAATTGAATAACGTAGTTATTAACACATGCATACAACATGCGAGACCTTATACACTAATTTTTACGTGCTATTATTATTATTTTAGATTCGGGGCTTAGTGAGGGACCTATTGGTTACACTATGATGTGTGTCGTGTGAGTATTTTTTTTATTTTTTTTTATTTTTTCTACATATGATTAACTTTTCTACCAGAAAACTTACCCCGAAGTATAGACTATAGCATCTTTTATGAAAGGTTATTTTCTCTAGTTGGTGCACTGAGGAGTTAATTTTTTGATTATTGAAAGGGTTTTTGAAATAATTGGGAAAAACCGAAAAAAAAACTACGGGTAAAACGGCAAATATTTACGGCGCGCCGCGGCGTTACTACTGTTTTCATTGATTTTATTTTGTTAACACGATTTGTTCCATTTGAAATATTACTCCAATCGAAAAATGACAAATTATCGATTTTGTTTCTTCTAAAACACAGCCACTGTCAAAGTAAATCATTTTTTGATATCTAAATTATTTTTATAATAATTGGGAAAAACCAAAAAAGACGAACTATTATACGATTTTTTCGTTATCAGTGGTTTATCGTTACAGGTATAAATTGAATAACTTCATGTATCCCACTTTCCCCACTACTCATCTACATCAGTGGCCGCACCCGTCACCAGTATCACCTATTTTTTTTTTAGATTCTGTACAAAACTATGTGATGATAAAATGTATATCATGATTAAAATATTAAATTTTGGAAAATTATCCGGGGAGTTATAATAATTAATAATAATAATATAACAAATATGCGAGAAATCGTATCAAATAGAACTGGAAGTTTTCTTTTTCTTGGATTTTTTGTTGAAATTGAGAATTCGTGCACAACTGCGCTCAAATCCAACGACGTGTTTTCGATGTAATAGTATGTTATTTTGATACGATACTATGTTTTTCAACGAAATTACTTTTGAAAATGACGTTTAAAACACGTAGGCGTGTCGAACTAAATATCATAGACAGATTGTTTTCCGGGTTTATTGTACAATCGGAATACTTATCGGAGACATACGACCTAACCCGAAATTCTTCAGTTAATGCATTTTTGTACATTTTTAAAGAAACATATATTGCTGTAGGTCGATAATTATTTCCATTAGTATTAAAAAGTAACAATACCTGTCCGATAAGATATGTATTGTGAACGGTACAGCGGTACAACGGTACAACGATAATCTGAGTTTGATAAATTAAATAAACTATTTTTTCGTTTTATTTATTATTATTAAAATTATTTTTAATTCAAATAATGTATTAAAGCAAGAAGTAAGATAATAATGTTGGCTGTCCAGTTAACTGCCAGTTTTCAGGGTTTGGAACGCAGTCCACTTAATTGCTGACTGCTAGGATATTGATAAGGTAATTTAATTTAAATAATATACTGAAGTAACAATAAATTATTACAATCAAAAATCGATTCTGAGTTTAAAAAAAATAACTACGTTTTGTATTAATATAAAAATAAAAAAAAACGGAAATAATAAAAACCGTTGTTGCTTAAACATTCCCGTTTTCCCGACGTATTTTCTCGTAGTTCCCGAAAACTAGGAAGGAAATCAAAAAATGGCCTGCTTTACACACCAACTAGACAAACTTTGCTACCAGAAACCACCTTGAAGTTAATGATCGGAGCAAGAATTCTGGTCGAAAATTGTACACAATACATAAGAAAAATCACATATCTCGATAAAAGTTATGAATCTGAAAATGACGAAATTTACTTGCAAATCTTTTGCGATTTTCAACAAAATTGATCGGTATCTGATAATCTGATACTACTCAACTCCTGATAGGTGTGTATTTTTTGTAGGATGAAAATTGGGAAGATTAAATATATAGTCCATAAAAGGTTGATATTACTAATGGGTATTAGAAAGGAGGTTGGAACGGAGAACAGATTGAGGAATTCAATTTATATATGTACCCAACGATAAACCATTGCTAACAAAAAACGATTTTCAGTAAAGTATTATTAGTTATTACTCGTGTTTTTTCCAATGTTTCTAAGGTAATTTATAAATTAACAAATATTTTACAAAATAATGGTACTCCATGTAATAAGCAAACTACAAAGAAAATCAAAAAATTACGTTTACAACGCACCAACAAGATCAAAAAATCTATAAAAGGTTACTAAATATTTTTTGATTTGAGCAATATTTCTGGTAGAAAAGTTGTTTACAGACACAAAAAAAACCACATCATAATAATACCAATAGTCAATACATAGGTACCTCGCTTCGGTCAGAATCTATAATACTCTTAGATGTTATATTTTTAAGCTAATGGAGGGGAGATATAATTCCTAACTTTTCTCCCCCGCCCATGCACACGTTACTGTCTTTACTATTAAAAATGTTTCATATTTATGCGGAAAACGAGTCGCTAAATAGGCGGGGGAAAAAATGTTACAATTATGAAACGACGATTTCGATTCGAAATATTTAGGAACCATTGGTTTCCATCATAATTCCGGAATTCTACATTCTGAAAATAAATTACTATTTTTATATTCCGGATTTTTGCGTTCTGTGTTATTGCGTTCCAGAGTTTTACGTTCCGGATTTTTAAATTCTGGGTTTATATCAATCCGGATACTTACTTTCCGGTAACTGATGGCCTCCCAAGTTCGCATAAGCGATCCTGACAAAATTATTTTCAAACTAGAAATCAATGATAAGAGATAACAGTCGAACTGCCAAATAAAATATGATAACACCAGAAACCTTGACCCGATTCGACCATAGATAACAAAAATATTTTAGTATCTATGGGTTTAATCATGTTATCATATTGTTAACTACTTTATGAAAAAACATTTCAAAATAATTGTAAAAATACTAAAAACAAATTACAATATTCACATTATATAATTATAAACACACGAAGGGGGGGGGGCGAATGCTCTTTTTGCCTCCCCTCCACAGGTACGTTACTTGCGTCCGGTTCTCGTATTACGGACTTGCATTTATCGGTTTAATCCGTAATAACCAATGCGCGTTCACCTATTACACATGTAATATGTATACATTTCACACATTCATATACATATTATTATTATTTTTTACACATTATATAGGTATTTTATGTATTATATTTGGATTTCCGCAGAGTTCATTGGTCAGAGCGCTCAACACGTGTTCGCCGTTGTATTTCTCCGACGCACATATTATAATATAATAATAGGCGGCTGCACCGTACATTATAATAAAAATATTGGCCTTTATACGATATACAGGGTGATTCTTCGTATCCGGAGATTTTACGCGAATTTGATTCTTGTTTTCTTTTTTTTTTTCTTGTCTGTGACCATTGTACGAAACTGTTTAAGGCATTCACTAGCGTTTTGTTTTCTGTGCTTGTATCGCAATAATATTATTACACAAAGGCATTTCGCGCACTTCAAAATTATTACTAGCTTGTAGGACAGAGGGACCGGTTATTGATTTTATAAATAACAGTATATACTTATGCTACATGCTTATGATTTTTTAAATACTTTCATTTCTTTGTCAGTCGCACTAGCGCACATAGAGAGGGGCGGGGGGGGGGGTTAGGTTAGGTCCGAAATGTCTTCCTTCACTACATTTTTCAATTTCATCACAAATGATTTATTCAGTAATAATAGTGATAGTACTGTTCTGTTAATATGTGTTGTCTCCTGTCTAGAAACCTCTTACTATAGACAAAATACCTCCCGAAAAAAAAATCGTGCGTGTACTATTCGTCAATCAGTCGTCGATCAGTCGTCAATGGTTTAAAATGCAGAAAAGTTAAAGATATAAATTTTAATTAAAACACATATATATCGTGATACGAATTGAAAATATTGAAAAAAATCATTCGGTGAAAACATAGTAAAACACTCGTCTGTAATAAATCTGACCTGAACACGGCTATAGGAGTCACAATGGCTGTAGTGCGGAATGACTGGTCGCTATATTACGCGCGAAACTGAGAAAAACAAAATATTATGACGGTGCAGAGGCCGTTTAGATTTATATTATTTAATATTTATAGCACTGTATTTTTTTTACAAATTCACCCCTACATCACAATCGAATCTCGATTACATTTTGATTTTCAAACGGTGACCCTCTACCGTCCATCATCCTTTTGTGTCCGGATTCGAAAAAATAATATTTTTCTAAAAATGTCGATACACGCATAAACTATACATAGCAGTGTTTTACACATTTTTTGATTCTATACCCCCCTTGTGGATTTTCAAAAATCTCATGTTTCCCCTTATTAATTAAAAACATGAGATAAATTGTTTTTAATTTTACATATGGTAAATTTACACGTTCTATACTTCATTCTTACAATTTCAGCATCGCAAAGTTACCCAACATGCAGTACCTAAATTCCTCCCTAGGAAGGAATCACCTACCCTCCATTGGGAAACACTGATATATTGTAGGAACACAATATTTATATCGGACATAAGGAATAGCATGATAAATTGCATAATATGTTGTACGTTTTTGATTATAACCCTATGCTCCGCCGGTATAAATATTGAAAGTGGTATTATGACTCGGTAAACGCTAATCCAATAGTATTGACGTATTGAAATATGCGTACTAGGTACCAATGTCAATATTTTTAGAAAAATATTATCTTTTCGAACGTATTTTTGAAAATAGACTGTGGGAGGTCTCTAATTTAAAAATCGAATGTAACGTAGACCCAGAATAAGGGTGAAATGTCGAAAAAATATACATTATATATTATGCGAACATAGTAGATCAATTTAAATGAATATTTTGTCTATAGCGATTGAAAAAGAAAAAACTAAAACCGATTTTATACTCGACATTTTTGAAAAATATTTCGACAAATATAATGAAATCACATCAACAGTGTATGGTACAAAAATTCGTCTAAATATTTATCATATCTCTCAAATATATCTATTTTAAAGATTTTCGACTTTTGCGAACCAATCGCAAGTCGCAATTATCCCGATTAAATATTGTGAAAACGAAATTAAGGAATAATATGACTCGAGAAAAATACGAATCAATGCTCGTGTTATTTTGCGGTACGACTATGTCTTGCAGTTGAAGTTCTAACAGAAGTCGTTGAAGAACTTAAAGTGTTAAAACCAAACATTAAACTAAGACGTTTAGAGTTATATAATGTATATAAAATAGGCATAGTTAAACTACTGTAGGAGAAGTTTTTGAGAAATTTTGCTGGGGCCGGGTACGAAAAATATCTAGCCACGCCTATGAAAATCACACACTGTACACTATGTAATATTATTATTTCGATTCATACACGCAGACGCACACACACACACACACGCACACGCACAACTCGCATAATACCGTTATCATATACGGCATCCGTTTTTTCATGGGTCATCGGCGATAACAAAAAAAAAAATGTTACTCTAAAAGTATAGGTATAGGTGAATTGTTTTTTTTTTTTCCAATGTATATCGTTCAGTGTGCTTTGCAGTCTCTCCCTCGATACCATAATGTCTGAACGCTCGTATTGTCTGCTGTACAGGGTGATCAGTCCACGACAAAACACCCGTTATCTCGGAAACTGTTAACTTCTTGCGGATTTTTTTTTTTTTTAACTTCGTCTGATCGGTGGAACGTACAATGTGGGTCGATATTTTAAAACCGTGAGAGCGTTTCGGTTTCGCCCTCCGGAAAACCACGGTAATGTAACGGTTGCCCCCGTTCCATAAACATTGTCCGCAAAAACGAACAAAATACAAATTTAACGACTTCCAGAGATAACGGGCGTCAATTGTCGACGACTGATCATTCTGTATAACACGGATCGTTTAAACGGTATGGTGCGCACGCTATATTATAGCACGCCCCGGGAGACTCGCGCAAAGGCGGGAGCGCGCGGTCACCACCCCCCCCCCCCCCCCCCCGCCACCGCCGTAAACTCGGGGATCCGGTCGCGACGACACAGGATAAACGCAATCACGGAAATCGTCGCGGCGCGAATAACGTTATCGTATTGTTATGATCCATCGTACGGTTTTTTTTTTTTTTTTTAATACTGTAATAAATATTATTATTGTTCGGGTGCGTGCGCGCGGACGGCCGTAACGGCGCACGTCGTCGGTGGCGGCCGCGCGGGGCGGGGTAACGCGGCGATAACCGGCGGTGGCCGGCAATTGGCCTGTCTATAATTGAGCTTCCGGGCGGCGAGCTTGGCGGCGTTCACGAGTCGCAAAACGCCGACCGCGTACACGGTGAAATACGCGGTATCGTATTAATATTAGTCGTTCGCGCAAACGGAACACACGGCCCTTGCGCGCGGCTTCGAAAACCACCGACTCCGCTGTACATCAGACGTGCCCCCCGGGCCGCCCGTGTCTCCCCGCGCCGCACGACCGACGCCGCCGCCGCCGCCGCCAAAACATGTTCGTGTCCGCCGCCACCGCACCGTGGATCGCCGTCGTCGCCGCGGCGATCGTTCTGTGCGCAAACACCGGTGAGCGTATTACATTATACTTCACAATGTCATATAATAGCTGGTATTATGTATAAATGCACAAATATCCGATATAATATAAAATATATATTTAAATAGAGTATACATGAGAGAGAGTGAGGGAGAGGGTGCCGCGGTCGACCAAAAATTCGTCTCGTCGATTCCGGAATACGTACGTTTTATTTGGAATTTTTTAGCTATAAACGTCGTTTATCTTAAATCCCGTATTGCGGAGAAAATATCTGTTTGTTTATTAATGGAGAAATTCTGTCGTGATTATAGATTTGCAGCGTACTGGTGTTTACGTGTCTTATTACTACACAAAAGTCGTTTACGGGCAATCGCCCGTATAAACGTTTATTGTACGACATTTTTTCTAGTGACGATTGTAGTTTTATTGTTTACAGTTTTTAGGTTAATCTTCTTATTGTTTTTTCGTAATTTTTGGTACTTTTTTTGGGGGGGGTCCTTCAATTTTTCTCTACGTATTAACGTATCTATAATCGACATTTGTAAGCAATCCCGGTACGTATACTATGTATAAAAGTCAACGGATTCTGTCTGCGCAGAACACACCGAATTTGAGAGAATAAAGAAATCTGTGCACTGCGTCAGTATATCATAGTCTGTGGTGAGTTCATACACATCAAGTTTTCCCGGGAGTGCGAATAATCGCCAATTCTAAAAATCCCGCACCGACAAAGTAAACAGGACAAAACAAAGTACAAACGCAGTTTTCTGGACACCTTTTCCTTCACGATTTACCTGGTTCAGGACGGCAGAGTGTACAGGATAATAATAATGAACGGGCGTGTTAAAAAATCATTAAAGAAAGTTGCAAAACACAAAAGCAGATTACACGATTTGTACTTGGCCGTGTGGTCTTAATGGATGAAACCATGAAAGAAGACGCAAACGTTTTGCCGGATCATTTTTTTACTTCCGGAATTCGGACCATGAACTAAACACCTCTTAGCCCTCCCCCCCTCCAATAATCCAACGCAAATCGAATTGTACATTTATATTTTATTTATTATTTTTGTTGTGAATTGTACTATGATATCGGCTTAAACGAATGTCGTGTGATTTTAAATAATTATTATAAGTGGGTATTTGTGCATATTTAGTAGAAAAAAATAGTATTGACACAGTATTTTCACTGGAAACTGTGACCGTCTATAGTCCCTATATTATAAATAGTCGTGTAACAAAATTTGATAATAAACTTTCTGTTAAAATTCGGGCCCTTATTGGCAGGGTAATATTTAAATAAGTATAATATGCAAGTTATAAAGTTATAAACATTTCTCTGTGATTTATTATAATGACCTCCACGGCCTCTGTACGTTGTTACGCTATTATATTGCCTAACATATTCATTATATTCAATTACTTCCACTATAAATAATTATAACTCAAACGTGTTTTACAAAATACAATGTTTATGCATGCTAGAATATGAATTAAGAATATAGGTTGGTTTAAATTAGATACCTATATATATATATATATATATATATAACATTTTACTTGTACAAAAAAAAAAAAAACAAACAAAAACTAAACTAAAATGAAAAATAAAAAAAGTAAACGAGTTTTAAAACTATTTCCGATTACTATATTATATTAGATCGGTGATATTTACGATGTGCCATCATACATCTGATTTTCAAACAGAGAAAGGAGGACTAAATGAAAAAAATACCTTACGTATACATGTTTTTTGGAAGTATTGGTTTCCAGTACGGGTGTTTGATTGAGAATAATTATTTCATACCACAATTCGCAGAAAATTATTACAACTATTACAACCATTACTCTAACAATTTTATCGGGTGTTTTCTAGTTGAGGTCAAAATCAAAAAAATACATACTAGTTGAAATCAACTAAAAAAAAAAAGTTACCTACTAGTTACAGTCGCCCAAATAAAAGGTTATATACCTTAAAAATGTTATTAAAAAATATCATTTAAATGTTTGGTTTTTTTTTTTTTTTTATAAAATTATGAAAATTTTTATTGTATATTTAACGATACAAATTTGATCGCTATTCAATACTACAGAGTGCAGATAAGTATTGGTGTTCCTACATATATTATTTACGTAGATAGATTGTATTTTAAAATATGTTTATCGTCACAAAAATGATATTGATAATAGTTATTTGTCAGTTTAATTTGACATTTTATTCAATAAAAATTCTAATATCGAGTTTTTTTTGAAAACAATTTTAACATCACATTTTGAAAATGTGCTTGAAAACTGACTATTTTTAGAACTGTTAAATTTTTGAATATAAGGGACGCTGTTAGCAAATTTGTTCATTATTTATGAATTTATTCGTTTATTTATACTAGAAAAACATAAATCAAATAAAATTAATTGAAACTTACTTCTAATTCGTACTACGATTTATGATAGCTATAGTGGGCAGGTATGGATATCGGCCCATACAAACAGTTTAAATCATGACCAGTAAACTCACTGCGCAGAAGTTAAATTAACGATTAGCGTTACCATTGGAATTATTTCAGTTTATCAATCATGTTTTAACAGCAGTGTTATCTCATTAAATTATATTATAATCTAATTTCTAATATCATTAATAAAATAAAATAGTAATCGTGAATTTTATTTAAGTAAACTTAGCTTGTTTGAAAATTTGAAAATCATTAAATAATTGTGTCCCGAAATATACTAAAATATGTTGTAGTTCCTTTGGTGTTCCGGAAAATGAGCGGCAATCGTTGAAAAAATCATCAGGTGTCAAATGAGAGAGAAAATTTTAGCGTGTGAAAAAAAAATGCCAAAGCTGAAGATATTATGACCGAATGGTTTTCTAGCTCTAAAGTAAATAATAATTAAACGGTTTTTGTCATTAATCTATATGCAAACATTTTTTACATAACTAGGTAAATAAGTATATTTGTCATCAGACAAATACACTTAACACTATACATTTATCGGTCAATTTAACGATAAATCATGTTACATTAACATTATGACATTTACAATTTTCCATATTGTATAATAATTATGCGTATGAGACAATTTAAGTATATGCAATGTCAAATTGATTAAAAGGAAATTACAATTTTAAAAAACCATAAAAATTAGTAATAAGTAAGTTGAGTAATATGAATAAAATTGATTTGTTTTTTTAATTTTTTAATTATTTTTTTATTTAAACCGAAAGAAAAACCACGTCCATAACAATATAATTCTACGTATATATTTGACAAAAATCTTGTAGACATAGGTCCAACAAAAATGAATTATCAAATTGGCAAACTGCATTGTATTACAAAAAAAAAACTATCAATACAATAAAATATATTGTCAAGCCAAAAAAATAAAATAAAATAATCACTGATATTCAAACCAGTCACTAGTCTATTCTTATTGCTTCCTAACCTAACACCTAACCTATCGAGATAAGTGCCTACTATTATACTACCTATTATTGAAATCCATGATCGTATTGGAGGTATAAAAGTAAAATAGGTATGTAAGTATATGTACATGATTAGGTATTTCAGTGTTTAAGTACCTGATATTTTTGGCATTGATATAAATAAGAGGCTTTAAAGTTTAACCTTCCCTAATAAACTTCAGCTAAGCAACTCCTTCAAATAACAACCTCATAACGTGTAAGTACTAAATATAATATACAAGTTCAATTAATATTATGGGAAGATTGAAACCCCGTCCCGCCCAAAATAAAATAACGAGCTATTTATTGTCGTAATAATTTTTTACTATTGTTATACTATTATGATGTACAATAAAGATACTTATCTATATTTTAACAGAAAAACACTAACATAAACTATTTAGAACAATTTGTGTTATAAATATTATCATACAAGTATAAATAATATCGAATTATTGTTCAAATCATATAATATTTTCCGTAAACTATGAAAACTTTTATCAACGAATATTTAAATAATAAAAGTACTTCTGTATATAAAGAGCCATATATCAGAAGATCCACATGGATAAAAACACAATTATTTATTCTGGGATCTTGTATCAACTATTATTTTGAATGGGTGAATTGGTTTATTTTATTTGACTGAATTTCTATAAATTCTTCTATTTTAGCAACTAAATTCTGGTGGTTATATATATTTTTTATAATTATTAATTTAACAGCTGGTGATCCATTTAATTGGGTACACTCATTATCTCGGAAAGTTTTTCTAACTTTTTCGGGAATTTGTTTTCTAGAAAATTTAAGAAACAAGCGACTCTACAATTTTATATTTATGTTATTTTTTGTCACTTTTATTTTTGGGGTTAAAACCACTACCTACTGTTGATTTTCAAATGACGACCTGTAGGTAATAAAAATTCCATAAATAGATGGAGTATGAGTTAAAATAAATTTTAGTGTTGAAATGTTTAACTTACGTCAAGCCGTTAATGAGATATTCTACTTTTAATTTTGGGTTGGAGGAGAGTAGTGGAGTATCATTTGTGTGGCGATACGTTGCACGGCAGGTTAACGTTGCACCGCTACTCTCTTCCAAACCAAACTTAAAAGTGGTATATCTCGTCAAAGGCTTGACAGAAATTAAAAATGTCAACACTAAAATTTATTTTAACTAATATATAATAATAATTTATTTATGGACTTTTTAATATAGGTTGCCATTTTAAAATCAAAAGTAGGTAGTGGTTTTACCTCCAAAAATAAGAGTGACAAAAAATAATACACATATAAAATTGTAGAGCTGCTTGTTTCTTAAATGTTTTAGAAAAAAAATTCAGGACAAATTTAATATTTTCCGAAATAATGAGTGTACCCACTTAAATGGATCACTCGGTATTGTGATTGTTATATTATTGTTAATTAAACTAATGGTAAAATACGCATATTTGTACTATTACCGTAATAAAGTGCTTGTCAAATTGATAACTAATATTGTACAATTCACAAACGTGGAATGATTGTGAATCATATATACTCATCAATAACAGCTTTACGAATCTTTATGAAGCATTATGAAAAATTGCATGTGATTAAAACAATAAAATAAATTATTATTTCTAATAAATATCTTGTAAATACAACAACATATTATCCAGCTAATAAATTTCATTTTGTTAACTGCTAATAATTCTTAATTGTTAAATTTACCAGTGCTTTTTCTTTCGTTGTACTAATTATTAATTAATGTTTTTTCTTTCTTCTTATACTATGTTAATAAATAATAATATATTAATACAATTGTCCAATTAGTTGAATCGTTGCATTTCATTTATGGTGCATTACTTATTTTATTAATAATAATCATCATTCATATTCCACTCCATAAGTAATAACATCTATTTTTGCCACTGCGACGCAAACAACTAGTTTACTTAACATATACCTATTATAGTATAGTTAGTATGTTTACCGGATATTGTATTGCACCTCGGCATCCAGACCTGTATATCTTAAAACTTGATTCGTACCTACTTTTAGTAATGTTTATAGTAATCAAATATTTACTATAGTAGGTAGGTAAGTAGTTATCTGTCTGTCTAATAATAGTGTAAAAATACTTTGGTTCATGCACTAGTGATAAACACGCAGTCAGTGTACGAGGGTACAAATTGCCATTTTTGTTTTGATAGAGGTCAAACGCTCGTATACCACTACGGTATACAGATAACACTGCCAAACCATTTAATCGATCTTGTAAAATATGTTATTAAACTCTAAATTTCAAATTTGGCACACAACAACAATATTATATGAGTAAATAATACAAAAAGAGGTGTTGAACGCCTAAACACCTCTCCCCTATGTGTAATGGTTCTCAAACACTTCACTGTTGTGATACAATTTAATAATATTATAATTAACTAGGTATTATAGTTTATATGACACACTCGATAAATATTCTTGTCTACTTGTCAATAATAACCAATTATTTAGGCTTCCGAGAACTGCAACCAGTATGCCACACAATGGTCTGAAAACAACAATATTGGCTTTTAACTTCTTTGTCGTGTTTTTATAATTTAAAAATCGTAAATTTGAATGCTAATTATTTTTATTGGAATATTCTGGAAGGTAATACATGCATTTTGAGATTTACTAGTTGACTGGGTATCAAGTGAGATAAAAATGAGCGGTTTGATTATCTACATTATGTGTACGTTGGTTTTTTTTTCGATATTTTAATTTTTAAACGATGTACAAAGATATTTAAATTGTAATACTTCGCATGCTCACGTCTTGCTTAAAAATTAAAATATCGGGGAAAAAACGTACAAACACGGATAATATTCTTATCTTTCAGTTTGATAATAAATCAATTCACTCTAATATTAAAATAAACAGCACAAAATTGGTTATATTGAATGACAATTTAAAAACAACCAATTTTCAACATTATCCGTACCATATATTTACATCTTTACCGGATAATTTCAATTTTCACGCGTCAAAATAATCTATTGAATGTGTTTTTTCCACAAATTCACATATATTGTATTATTTTACAGAGAATTATGATAGCTTTTTTCCTTTATATTTTATAGTTATAATTTAAAATTTAATATAAAAAACATGTTTTCCTTTATTTTTTTGTTTTTACATACACTCTATATCGTAAGTTACGTAAATTACGTAGATCTCACGCAATTTTTAATGTACACGTTGATTATAACACCTAATATTTTATATAAATGTGAAATTAATGGAGGCGATTACATTTTTGACAATTTAATATTTTGAATAACTTTAAAATGACTAATAATACATTTTTTTTTATAAAAATCTTTAAACGTCTTTCTTTTTTTTGTTCACTCATTTTGAGAAAAAAAATACTAACAGGCATACATATTAAAAGCTGAAACAGTGAAACATAAGACATGAAATACTTCATAGTTTTAAGAACGTGAAATCGAGTAATTTAATTATTAAAAAGATTTAAGGCAATATGTAATCTGAACAATAAATTTATGGTGATAACTGATAACACATATTTTGGCGGTACAATGTTGATAAAAATAACAATTATTATGAATTAAGATATTATTTGAAGAGAGTGCAGATATGTATAACATACGTATATTCAATGTTGAGAATTATCTACATACAATTTTTTTATTTAATTTTCTTACCTAGATAAAAATAATTAAATTATCTAATTATTACGTCTTGGTAATTTTAACGTTTATCTTTGTTAATTTTATATAGACAAATAATATACAAATTTTGAAATAATGAAATAGCCAATCATTTTGCGAAGTACCGACGTGATTCCAATGTTATTGTAATAGTCCAATAATTTAACGTTTTTGTGTTTATATATTTTAGATTTTGAATGAAGCGAAAAGTGTATTGATTTTACAATGATGTTTATTTATTTTTATTTAAAACAAATTGGTGTTATATTTTATCTTATCGGGATATAATATGTTGAATGAATTATCTGTTATCTTAGGCAGATGCTTTGTTGGTTATATTTTCCCAATATTCCGGTATATATTATCTATATCTGTGGAGTGCATACAGACCCGATCATCCGAATACTGATAAGAAACATAATCATATTATTATGAATAATTAATTTATTACGTTGGGATTGAAACGTAAATAGTATACAAATTCCAATTATAATTTTGTTACAAAACATACTTGTTTGATAAATAAAAAAGAAATTACTTAGCTGATATTTGTATTTGATTTTTTGCTGGTGAAAGTGTTACATTTACACCAATCAATTTATATATAATATTTGTTTCGTTTGTTTTTATGTTTCTATAATATTTTGTTAACTTATTATATAAACTACTACGTTGTTACAGTTTAATATTGTATTTATAATAATAGGACCTCGTGTCTATGTATACATATGTATACTCATAATATGAAAAATAAAATAAAATAATTTACCTATCATAAATTTTAAATTTACCATCAAAATATTCCAATGAAAAATAATTAGCAATACATTTTGCTATTTTTAAAAGTGAGTTTTTAATAATTTGGTTCAGACCAGTGTACTGGTACATTGCAGTGTTTGTTGTGGTTGATAACAAAATCGAAAGATTTTTTCGAGTCTAACATGAAGATATGCGAATATGATTGTCGTCGATTTTTCTTCGAACTGAACATTAAACCTTTTTTTTTTTCATTTTATCTGTGCTTGTTAGTATCCATTTGTATTAATTTCACGGTGTATTCAAATTAAAACAAATTATCGAGTTTTCGTGGCACGTAATATGGATATGATAATATTTAAGCAAATCATTTTCCACCATATTTGTGGGAATAATAATATTATCACATATCAATAATAAAGGACATTATAGTATTAATACTATACAAGATACAAGAGTGATAGATAGAGAGAGAGAGACAGAGAGAGATACTGACTTATTACTCATCTCTTGTCACTACAGTTGGCTGCAATGTAGTACCTATATAATACTGTATACAGTTCTATATCTTTGGTCCCAGGAAAGAAGGGCTTAAGTAAATTTCATATACTTTTCAATACAAGCAAATTAAATGTTTAAAATTATTAATAGCATAATAATATTATTATTTATGATTTAACTAAGAAATGGTCCAATCTAAATATGACCGTCTAAATGACTATTAAGTTATATAATTGTATGACGCTAAATCATTAAATGATATTAAACAAAATAATAACAAATATTATTATATTATAATTTAAATATATATTTATTACATTTTATATCAAACTAAAGTATATATGTACAAACGAACATGTACAGTGAATTAGGATATTTTAATTTTCAGTATAACATTTGTTCAAATATACATACACTATACAGATGCCATTTAGATTAAAATAATAAAGGGCGGAAAATTCCAAAAGACAAAATTATAAAAAAAATTACCGTACATTTTCTTGATTCCTTCTTCCTTGGGACCAAAGAATTATAGTGACGATAATCAATATTGAATTTCATCACTATATAGTTAAATATATAGTTATAAGTTAAATATCATAACGGTTTAATTAAAAAAAAATTTGATACAATATAGTTATGTTAGTATTTGTATTTCCAGTTGAGTCAGATGCCAACATAAAGTGTTACGTGTGCAACAGTCATAATGACACGAATTGTGCCCAGGAAAAACTTCCCGATCATTTCAAAATGGAATGCTCGAAGTTGAACACTAAATCAGACACCAAAAACTATACCCTATGCAGAAAGATAATACAAACAATCGAGCCGGAGGTCAACGGATGTGAGTAAATTGCCAGTCACTATTATATACCTACCTATACTGTATATATTGGACTTTATTTTATGAAGGGGACAATAATTAAACAATATATTATCATAGAGATGATGGTGAATGAATTTAAATTATGCAGGATACTTATATACCGCTCTGAAATAATAAATGCACGTTTTATATCGTCACAAGTCAGTAATACATAATTTGCACCTACAATTATATATTGTGGTTAATAATTTATATGTTTAAATATATATACATTTTTTTAACGTGGACTAGTATTATAGTCAAGCGAGCACACCGATATAATTATTTTAATTTAAAATTTATTATAAAATAGAGAAATACGCAGTAAATATTTGTATATCATAATATTTATTTAAGTTCTGAGCGAAGCGAGAAGTTAATATGACGTGACCAGAAATATTTCTCTAATCAAAAACATTATATGACCTTTCTTGTAGAATTTTTGATTTAGTTAGATAGGAGGTTATTTTTTAATTTTATCTTGTAAAAAGTTAGTTTTCTTAATAAATGGGAGAAACTGGAAATGTTTTGTATAGTAATATAATAAAATTATGAAATAAATAAATATGACAACAAATTATACGATAAATTCATAGTTCACTAATAATAAACCTATACTAAAAGTCGCGAAATATTGATTAAGTGTAATACGAATGTTATAATTACTGACTAGATTTATATGCTTTTTAAATCTCCAAAAAAGCACTTGAAAACGTCAAAAAATCATTGAAAAAACAAAAATAATAGATGGGTTTAAAAATCCTCCTCTACCTGATTCAACTTATTAGTACAATTTTCTAACACTACAAACATTTTTTAATAAAAAATAATTTTTTTTTTTATAATTCATACGATTTTATTTAAAAGAAATTATTCTATATGAACCAATTTTGTAGTGTTAGGAAATTTAATTTAATAAGTTCGAGCCATTATTAGTGGGGGACTTTTAAACTCTTCTATTAATTTTGCTTTTTAAATGTTTGTGTATGATTTTTTTCCGCAATTTTTTGATATTTTAAAACGCCTTTTTGAGGATTATCAGAGAATATAAATCCATTCTCTAGTTATAATACTATAAATAAATTAAAAAACATTTAAACAAATCAATTTCAAGTATATGAGTTAAATAGTTGTATTATTTCACATGTAGACTGTAATATTATGGCAGTGTACGAGTAGGCTTAGCTATATAGGTTTTCAAAACATCTGTACGATGTTGTTTGAATTACAATAGAGGGAATCGGAGTGCACTGACACTTAAACGCACTGTGTGCCACATTCAGGCAGCACGTGGCGTTACATATTATAAGTAGTATTTTATTATTATAGCCTTCGTAGTTTTAAACCCTTTTGGATTCTAAACAAATTGAGGAATGTATTATAATTTTTAACATATAATATGGGTTTTTATTTTATTTTAATTTTTGAATGTAAAAATAGTTCGACATCTGCAGGTATAATTATTTCTGATAGCAAATTTTATGAATTTCAGAGGTAATTTATAGCAACTCTAAACCAGTTTCCCGAAATTAAACTCTAAAAGCGTGATTGACATTGATTTGTTTTTAATATTCTTGGAAAGAAAATTCAAATAATTTTTTATTTATGGGTTGATGTTATGGATAAAAAATCAGTTACTATATTAATAGATTTAGTTATTATGCATCGTCAAGTACCCTTTCAAAAAAAAAAAAAATTTCTGGGCAACAACGGTTATCCATAGATAACAGAAAAATAGATGACCGACTCGTCTGAAAAATTAGTTCTGCTGCCTGCCGCGTTGATTGACTTTTCTATTATCTATGAATGACTTGTACAACACTATAATATACGTATAATATTACAGAAATAGAATTTAAACCATGTTTATCTTTCTTTTGTATTCATGGTAACTAAATATTTGAAGAGCTCTTAGTGTTCGGACTTGTACCAAGCTAGAGGAACTGATTTTTTTGTATGCGGAATCGAATTGGTCTATAGTTAGCTACAATAGGAATGGGGTGGACACGTTTAGTCACGGGGGGAGACATGTTTTGTATATTTTTAAACAATTTGTTTTCGTTCAATACTGTGTGCAAGGGCAAAGCCGTGCACAAATATCTATTTTAAATAGGTTTACTAAAGTTGCAGTATAAATGCATGATGCATATACTGTGTAGTGTGTAGATACTATTTCTACGAGGGCGTAGATATCTATAAATAAAAAAAAAAAAAAATTATAAAATAAATACGCGAATGTGGAAAAATTCCAAATACAACGTTGATATAAAACACTTTTTTTTTTCTGCTTACAGTGCCGTCGGACAAAAATCGAATTATAAGAACATGCGGCTGGGACGCGTCGAATTACAACAACAAATGTTACCACAGATCTGGCTTTGGCGGTAAACAAGACGTGTGTACCTGCACGACGGATTATTGCAACTCGGCGCAAAAAACATACATAGCGTTTGCTACCTTGGCGGCAGCAATGTTCGCGATCCTTACTTTGTAGAAACGAACAAATAACACTATATTAAAATATGCATTATTAAATTATTCTTCCAATTTACTTGCGAATGCGAGTATTTTGAATTAAAACAAATAATTAATTATATTGTAATGTAACATAAATAATTTTGATAATATACCACGGTGATACAAACAAAATAAGTGCAGGGATCTAAATAACTGCAATACCTATATGATATACAAACAAGAATAATATATTGTTTTTATTAGTTGCAGTGATACAAAACGTAAACACGTAAAACGATACACCGTTATATTTTAAATTTTTCTATACAGTATTTTCAAAGTGTAGGTGCCATCAAAATGGATTCAGACGCTTTTTAACCTATTTCCATCATACGCTATCATACAAATTCCACTATAGCTCAATTTGATTTTTTTTTTTTGTATCAAATTATAGGTGACAATATCACTTAAAACATATCTGACGAAAAATTAAAAAAAAAAATTTAAACTTTTGTACACGTAAAGTTAAACTTAAATGTAAAGTTTATAAACTTGTTTTGGACATTTTATACCTGCTCAATATTACCTCTTATTTGTCACAACTTCAAATATTAATTTTATTTACGTGTTATTCTAATGATAAGACAAATTTAGTAAGTAGTACGACAGTACACAGTCGTACGATAAATTATCCGCAGCTGTAGGTACCAATTTTATAATTAAGATTTAAACAGTGGGAAAATAGAATTTTAATTCAATTTTGATAACTAAGATAGACTATGGCTAGTAATCGTGCAGTCTTCTAGTGAACGAAAAAACAAAGTAGTGCCGTAATTTTGTTCGTGTCTAATACCGAAGTAGTAAGACTACATAGTGTAGTATATGTTAAGCCAATACGGTAAAAATGGCATTTAAACACTAGCTTTTAATATAATACATTTTTAGTAAAATTTTATGACAATAAAATTAGTACACTCAAATTAATGGGTGTAATAAAAATATAAAAATAAACAAACGTTTTCATGGTGTAAGCCAGTTTATCTTCTCGTGGTGCACCATGGTAAACTCTAAATAAACTGGGACGCATTTGGGATACGTTGAAAAAATGACCTTTTTGACGCACTCGAATGATACAATTTTGCAGACGCACTCGGGACATTGAAAAAAGGGTTATTTCGAGACGTATTTGGATAACCCCGTCTTCTTTAGTGCGTCTCATTTTACCGATTACGAGTTTTATTTTTAATTTTTTGTCCATATATTCAACAACAAATATCTAAATTACTTATAAATACCTACTGTCTGAACTTAAGACAATAAAAACAAAAATGTATTAACAAAAGTGTGTGCATTAACGTGAACTTAAATTTTGATGTTATATAAACACAAATATTGCATCTATGTATTATAAGGAGTAAATTTATATAAGCACGCATGGGTGTGTTAGCAATTTAGTCAATTATAAGACACGGTTTTTGCGAAAAAAAAAAAAAAATGTTTTCTTTGAAGGATACACGTTTATAAATACTAGTAAAATATTTTCTAATCATTTCACCAATTATAATAAAAATGGTTATTATTTAAACACGCGTAAAAAATTGTTTAAAAAAATTAATTTTTTATCTAATAACCAACAATATAATTAAATAAAACAATATGTGTCTGAAGTTATACCTCAGTCTGCACTTATACCAGTGTACTCGTGTGGTGTAAAAAGTAAATTGATTAATGGTTACTAAAGACTAAAGTAGATTGATATATGAAAATAATGCAACAAAATAATAAGAAAAAAAAAACACTTGTGAGCAGTAAAACTCCGTCATTAGAATCGAATTTTCCCTGAGCCGACTCGTCACACTATTCCCTTGCTGATTTGTCCCCGTTACACATTTTTTTACCTACCCGACGTGGTTTTGCAAGAAAAAAATGTTCGGAACTCGAATATGAACTTGTGATCTCTGAGATGACAACAGGTACGTACCACCACTAGATTATGATAGACATACAATAACATTGACAGTATCCGATTATTTAAAATAACACATATATTCGCATACTTACACTTCAAAAAGCTATAACATTTTGAAACAAAGTCAGTCCGCTCAATTCTGACTTCACCATCTTTCTTAAATCGGAAATATAAATAATATGTTCAAAACAAAAAAGAAAAAAAATTGAAAAATTTCCATGGATCAACTAAATTTGTTTCATATAATTTTTTACCCAAACAATTTTCGTCAAAATTTGATATTAAAATTCCTTAATAAAAAAAACTATATTAAGCTTATTTTTTTTTTTTACCATTAAGACCGATTTTTTATGAACCTCTTATTAAATTTTGAAGCATTTCTGTGTCAATTTTATCTACAGAGTACCTATACTGAATAAAAATTACGCATAAAATAAGCAAAATTAAAATGTCTATAAATAGCTCAAAGGTTCATAAAGTCTAATTGAATATTTTTAACTGAATTTCAACAAAAAGCAAAATTAAAATAATAAACGTAATAATAAATATAATAATAATAATACATTTTTTTCGTAAATTTTCCCGTTTTTCTTACTTTTATCCCGGGTTTTCCCAGATATGAATATCTCTTAAAAAAATAAAAAAAAATGGCATTCTAAAATACCACTTAGATAAAGTTTCTTTTCAGAAAATGTACTACATTTGAAAACCGGATCAAGTTTTCTGGTAAAATTTTTGTACAAAGTATATAAAAAAAACAAATAAACATATGTAGGTATACTCCTCGCTTCACTCAGAATCTAAAAAAATGCAATTATGATAGGTGAAACAAGGTTTGAAATATGTTACAATACTATATGATATGTACGAGTATATGTGTTACACTGTCCGAGGCCTAAAATGTCTGTGTTATATTTACAAAATTGAACTATTATAATTCAGCTATTAGAGTTTTACTAAGACGTGTTTTTTTTCTCGTAAAACACTTTATATCTTTGTCAGTATCTATTAAAAGATGTGGATTTTTCGTCCGGTGGTACTTATTATTATTTAAACTATTTTTCTATAGATTCCAAATAGTGTTTCATAAAAATTCCCAATGCAATCCTAATTGAACAATACTAAGACATGATAATTGTATATAGGTACCTATAAAATATAAGGAGATTTTCTTAGAATTGCAACATAAAACTATGAAACATCAGAGTTGCTTACATGGTATAATAAACGACGATTCTATGCAAATAATAATTTTTGAAGAAAAAATAACCTTATTAATTTAATTAAGAAAAAACATATCACGTTTTCTACTCAAAAGGCAATTATGTAGACTATTTGTAAACTTTATTTCTACGCACGCAAATCATTTAAAAAAAAATAATAAAAAATACGCCGAATAACAATAAAATAACACCTACGCTTAAGTATATGTAATGTGCTAAATATACAGTATTTTGACTAATTGTTTTCGTCATGTTCCCGTACATAAATATCAAGGACTCGTATATTATCGTGTTCAGAGTTGTGTTATACGATGAATTTTTGTACTTCTCGCGTACAAATTTACTTAATTTGTTTGCTTAACGTAGGTATGCCTAGTGAACAACGCGAGTAGGTAATATATTGCTATTACATAACATCGTAAGATCGTTTCAAAAAAGAGAAAATACAAAAAAAAAATTATCAAAACAATAACAAAAATAATAACATTATATTACTGTAATACAGATACTGTTATTAAAGTACACGATAATATTGTATGTGAAAACGCTCATTGCGGACAAGCTCAAGGTCAGTCGGTGGTATTATTTAGGTGTAGGAACATAATACACGCAGAACAGTTTTTTTTTTTTTTTAGAGAGAGGCGCGCGATTATCATCGGTAGGACGCATTGTAGGTAGGCACACTGCGCACCACAGTCTGCAAACGCATGTCCTTCCGTACGTTAGTGGTCCACATATTATAACATTTTGTTATTGACGCGGTTCCCGTATTGGTACACGGGTACGATTAATAATCGAATTCGATTTAAACTCCAGGAAATAACAAGCACAGTGTCGAAATATGAACTATTCCGTCGCATCCGTGTCGGTGTGTTTATTCGTTCTTTTCGGATCGAGTGAGTACCCACAATATTATATTATACCTACCTATCTATATTATACCTGCGTGTATATGTACCGATGTCCCTACACCATATACCTCTTTATGGTTTTTCATCATTGTGCCTACTTGTACATTACAATCTGAACGTAATCGTACAATATTATGTAGGTTGGGTTAGGTTCGGTTAGGGTATAGTCCGCCGGACTTGTCAAATAGCGGCGCAATTTCCAAACTAGTCAGGCGGGTTTTATTTCTACACGTTATTTACACTGTTCGTGTATTCCTGCACATCATATTATATGTGCTATTTTATACACGAGGAGTAGTTACAGCGAGTACCGAGACGTGGATAATATTGTATATGCAACTATATATACTGACTTTCACTTAATCTATTCTTATACTTGGCGTAATAAATACGTAATACCACTGTTGTGTTTCATAAAGTGTACATTTTGAAAACAGAGTTTGAGATTATGATCGCAGCCAGAATAGTTCAGGTATATTGGTTTTAATATCATATAGTGGTGTGTTTTTTTCCGCCTGTAAACAATTTGTCTACCAGAAATATTGCAAAAATCAAGTAAAAATAATTTTTAGAAATCTGACATTTTTGTAAAAATTACAGCATTTCACACCATATTTAACTCTAGAACTTAGCTCAGAATCGTACTTCGTTAACAATAATTTATCGTTGCGGACAGATATAAATAGAATAACTTTATGTATCTTACCCTCCCAAATCTTCACTCACAACAAAAGCAAGCCCGGATTAATAAGGGGATCCATGGCCCCCGGGCCATCAAATTCTCAGGGCCTCAGTTTTTTCCACAATATACTCTATACGTTTGCATTTAACAATTAACTTTATAATTTAATACCTATTTTTTTATTTTTTTTTTTTCATTGCCAGATGATGTCATTTGTATTATTATATAGTGAAAATTACTAGTAACTTGGTTAAAAATAATATGTTTCTTTTTTTAAATAATACTTATGACTTTTGAATTGAGATCTTACTGTATTATATTGATTAGTATAAACATTCAAAAAAAAAAATGTTTATTATTAGTCTTTCAGCGATGCCCCCGTTGAAAAGTTTGGCCCCGGGGCCTCTAATTGACTTAATCCGGGCTTGAACAGTGGATACACCCATGAGCAGATCTTTTTACGTATTGTTATTAATTATTATCAATCAATCAATCGGTGGCTTATTGACGAAGATTGTTGTGTGTGTAGATCGATTTTCGATTTTTGTAGGCCTCATAAAAAAACATTTTAACTATGCTACCGCCTACGTTTCATAATATTTGTATTATGGTAATTATATATTATTTTATAATACCTACCCACTGAACCGTGTCTACGCTGCGGGAAAGTGTAAATTCACTGCGTTGTATATTGTAACTCAATCCGCGTGACGCACTCGTGTGATGTCGATTGCACGGTTTTGCAGAAGGTTTTGGATATTATCAAAAATCCTAAATTTAATTAGTACATTGCCGTTTGCTGTTTTAGCTGCAAATATATGTCGAAAATCTATATATATTAACCTATAATAACTAGAACTCGGTTTGCAATGCAAAGTGCATTTCTTTGTAGTCGATCTACAAGACAATAAATCGTTATTCTGTTTAGAATTTCGATGGCGTTTTTACCTTATATTTATTAACGGCTGTGCCACGTCATTCGGTCTCAAACAAATAACCTCTGTAAAAAATTGTTGTTAAAATTTTTATTTTTCGTTGGTTTTCTATTTCTAGAGTATTTTCGGGTCATTTTTTAAGGGTATTATTATTTTTTTTAAAAAGCCTACGGTTGTATTAGTTTAAAAATATATATCTACAATAGTCACTGTATTTACAACCAGACTTACTTTATTATTCACTCCGGAAAATATTATCTAAAACTACTATGATATTCACGTGTGTAATCGTTAATGTTGTTTTAATAATATAATGTTGTAAAATATTATTCCATTATAACTGGAATTATATGAACTAATATATCTATATAAAATGAAACGAACTGGTTCATATAATAGTATAATGATGTATTAATCGACGACGCAGGCAGGTTTTACAAACGTTATACTCGGTTTTTTATTTTATTTTTTAATTTCCGTTTAAATTATAAATTTTTGCGATTTCTAACAATTATTTTAGTACATTGTAAAGAGAGGCACACGTGATCAGTAGAGTTCCGTCACTATAGAGTCGAGTTTCCCGCCACCTGTTTTGTATTATAGAAACATTCTTTGTACAACAAAAAATAATAACCAAATACTATATAATTATACACGTATTGTGAAATTTTAGCATAAAAGCAATAGAGGCGAGGACTTAAGTCTCAAAAATACCTTCAATACTAACGCCATGCATACACACAATCTCATTCCTCTGGCTTACATAGTTAAATTTAATTCAACCCATCTTTTATCACATAAGTCTACCCCTAAAACAACTTTTATTCTTTAGTTCAAGTTCATTTGATTCAAAGGGAGTTGCTAAAAGCGTACGAAAGTAGCAGAAAACAGATATGCAGAGTGTTCCACAAAAATATACCCTCTACAATTTCTCCTCAGATACTAAAGATAATCAAATTTTGTGAAAAATTTGAAATAGCCATTTTATAAAATTTATATTCTTTTGAAAATGTTGACGTTTCAATTTTTTATTTTCATTAAATTCTTCTAATTTATTATTATTATTATGGCTAACGATTGAACTGTTATATATCATATATTTTTTTACTTTTGTGCGTCGCGCATGAATTTTTTTTACTGTAAAAGAAAATGAACCAAAACTCGCATTTAATCTTCTATTAAGCAATTGAGCATCTTCTTGTAGATTATTTAATATACTTGATTATTTTAGAAACTAACTGAGATAATATAGAGTTTCAAAAGTTGAAATGTGGTTATCGCGTTTAAAACAGGAAAGAAGTACCTAGGTACCCACACAACATATTTTTATCCAAAAATTACATCAATTAATTAGAGGGTAAATTTAGATGCGTTTGAATTATTATATTAGTGCACGTAAGTAGTGCGATAATTTTTTAGCAAATATTAAATCAGTAAATTACCTTTAGATTTATATATTAGATTCTGAAAGTGAAAACAGTAAAATATCATTAGCATTTTTTCAACGAGTGTTTCGAACAAACAGTTTAATTATAATAAATGGTCAAAATATTTATTGACAGAAAAAAAAGTGTAAAAATAGGTACCTTTATAATATATTTATAAATAAGTACCTACATATATTTTATAGTAACGGAACAAATGAATATATTATCTTGCGTATGTATGTATTTACACTGTAAAATACAAATTCACTATTACATTGTATTATTATAACATTAGGGAAAATAATACAAGTTAGTGTACAATTTTAACCTTGAATAGCAGTATTTAATTACATAATTGTTTGTTTGCAAAAAAAATGGGCTGGTGGTGATAATATAAATATAACAATAATAATTAATAATAATGGCTAATAATATAATAATTAGCCGTTTATTTATTATATATTGGTACTCGCTAAATGAATAGGTATTCATTACTTTTTATTACTTGGCTATACAGTATTCGTGCATCACGCGATTTTTATAGAGCACGAAATTCTGTAAACAAGTTCAATTTTTTATCAAATAATAATTCGCAAGCTTTCTATAAATACAATAGTTAAATAGTTTTTATACGTGCAGCGTAAACAATTTTAAATGAAATAAAATCGATTAAGAGCTAGGATGCTACACAGATGCATTTTGTGTTGTCTTTGCCTTTTATACGAATGACAGAGCAAATCTTCTGCATTCAGTAGCGTCAATGTTGTGCTATAATCAAACTTAAAGTTAAGACTATTATGCGTGTTTTTATACGTTGAATTTCTTTTTGGATACTTGAAGTGGAAACATTTTGATATTTCACATATTTATATCTGACTTAAAAACTAAAATAATGAAAAACCCAACGTACAAACGTATGTAATGTTGTTCCCTTTAAGATTGATATTTGGTTTATGCACTGAAGTGTTTAGTTGAAACCATTTTGTATTTACGTGATCCGTTTTAAAGTTAAACAGCATAATATATTAGAATTATAAATATGAAAGTATAATACATTATTTTGTAGTTTTGTACAATTTATAAAACTTTTGTTTTTCTCCCTTGTTTGCATAGTTTATATATTTTTTAAATTTTATCTCATTTCAAATAATATTATTTATTAGACTACCGTTTACTAATAACAATTTACTATTACAGGTGCTGGTCTCAAATGTTACACTTGCGGCTGGTGGAATAAAAATTGTGGGGACCCGTTCGTGAAAGACGATTATCTGTTAGTCGAATGTAACACCAGAGCAATAAATGAGTTCAACAATGAATTGGGAAACACAGTAAATACAGTGAGTAACGCTTTACAGAATTTCGCAAATCAAGTGGGCTTCAACCTCAACCAAAACAGCAATTTCAATTTGCCTACCATAAGCGAAGATTCCGTTGGATGCACTAAAGTTGTACTGAAACGTACGTATATAATTGCAGTGCTCTTAGTATTTGTATTTTTATTCGTGTTAATATTGCATAAATCACGGTTCAATAGGTACATCGCTCTGAATCGTTTTTCATTAGCCTTCATCATCCATTAGTCTTTCATTAGTTTTTCAATGGTTTATCGTTACAGGTTTTACCTGTAACCACATCCGTCTCCAGTATACCTAAGTTTTTTTACATTTTGAATTGCATGTTCTTTTATCTATTTATGTAAATACAACTGTATAGTATTAATTTGAATAATCGATTCGATAAACAAAATTATACCCTATATAATTTACCCTAATAAAGTCGTATTATTGTTATGGCTTTTGCTTATTTATTTGAGATCTCGTGATCAAAAATTGTTTAAGAGTGAAAATGGAGTCGACAACATACTTTCGGAATTGTTTTTCCGTAATTTATGTATTGAACACGAATAACTAATACAATAAAATTTAGATTTTTTTAGTTATCACTTAATATAATATAAAAATATGGAAACACGTTTTGTTTACCACGTCTAGATGGAGAAGACCAACAACGAGTGGCTCGTGGTTGTGTTTATAACAAGGCGGATTTGTGCAAAGGAATGCAAAGACTCGATGACGAGTTGAAAACCCTCAAATACTGTGGATCGTGTGACGACGATGGATGCAACGGTTCTCAGTCATTGAAGTCTTCGCTGGTCGCTACAATTTTTACCGCATTGGCAACGTGTCTGTTTTACAGGCTACACTAAGAAATCTGCTTCTAATTCTATTGTTGTATTCAGAAATATTTACCTGACAGTATACTTTGTTATGGTATTCTTATGAGTACTTATTAGCTTATTCAACTACAAATGGAAATGTCTGTTTTATTTTTTTAACTTTTTTTACGCTCTTAACTTAAGAATATGTTTACATATATTTAAATATAAAATATAATTAACAAATGTTTTAAGAAAAAAAATTGTATAATTATAAAAAATAATAGAGTTCTGAGTTTACATATTGCTGGATATAGTATTATGTTTGTAAGTTATAGCCGAACAAAATTATGAGTAAAAATGAATAAGATAATGTAGGTACAAGAGAATCAGTAATGTATATTTCTATTTCAAAAGTACAAAGAATACGTATCTATAATTATATTAATATACCTATATAATATACAGTACAAATAAATTATATTGTAGCTATTCAATAAAATGCAAACTATTAAAATAAATTGTTAAAACATATATTAATTATTAATTAACAATAAAACAATTAATGTTTGTATTAATACTTGTACTAATTGATTTTAATAATATGCATCATTTATATTTGATGTGAAATGAAAAACAAATAACCTGTTTGTATGAATTTAATTTTTGCAATAAAAAAAAAAAAAAAACATATTTATATTAAGAACAAATTTATTTTTAGGACATAAGAAACTTTCAAATATAATTTCAAGTTTGCAGGTAGATTTTGTAGAAGCACGTTAAATGAAATTGTAAATATAGTGTCCTATAGAAAAATTATATTTTTAGTATTCAAGCTGACAAAATTGAAATCCATTATCGTCCATTATTTCCAGTCTAAATAACTCTTGAAAATTGAATATCTACCTAAAATAAATCGTCCTTTATTTAAATATCTACAACATTTTTGTTCATCAAAACAGATAAGGTACCTACATTTTTAAATAAAACATATACAATTTATTTCATCCAACCGCAATATTTTAATTTAAACACTATAATATCAAGATGACATGTACAGACATTTAATTAAGTTAACAAATTGGAGCCATTTCGAAATTTAATTTTAATTGACCGTACTCAGTACTTCGATCTAGCACGTTCATATATATTTCACATGGTTACATTGATAGTTATATATCTTAATAATATACCATAAAAAAATTTTTTTTCACACAAAACTATTTAACAAATCTAGAAAAAAAAAAACGTAAGATATCGTAAAAGTAATCGCTTATAATATGAGAATTCATTGTTAAATAATAATATTTTCCGGTTTGGGAGCCAATTTGAAATATGATCTATTCATATCGAATCAAATATTTGAATTTTTGGAAGCCAATTCAATGGTTGACTTCATATTTACCCAGAATCTGGAGTCAATTCAATGTTTGTCTATTGTATTATTACCAATAAAAATAAAATTCAATAGGCATTAACAGTGTACTAATATGATAAACTTGATTTAATAATATTATTTTTGAAACTTTTTAAAAGAAATATAATTATAAAAATGTGTACACTAAAAAAAAGATTAGATAAAATAGATAATATTATCTAATTTAGGTGGGTTTAAGAAACGTAATGATATACCAAAAACCAATCTAATACCACTATCAGAATATAACCAGTAAGCACATATTTCCTACGTAAATAGCAACTAGATATTCGTTTTATCAATTTTTTTTTAAATAGGAATACGTGTCAGAAAAATTTCAGTCTGTAAATACGTTCCCAGTGGCAACGTTGTACATCACAAAATATATATATTTTTTTTAATTTTTGACAATTTGTTTTCCTAGTACTTCGTCCGTAATAATAACACCTGTACAATATGAATTCAATTATTTCATTATTGTTAATGTGTTTTATAATTTTTGTTGCATTAAGTATGTACGTTTAATTTCTCTTGTATTTCATATGAGATTTAATTTTAAAAATATTTATTTTCCATAGTTGGAGTCAGTGATGGTCGACTGAATTATAATAAATACGTGTCTCTTCCTGCAGTTAAAAGTAAGCTCTTCCGCATTACACGATTATATTTAGTTTGATATTTAAAAGACCCTTTTTAAACATATACATTATGATTCACTAAGCGTGCTTACCCCAGTTTTTTGGTAACATTTTGCATACATTCAAATTCTAATTTTTGGAATTTTTAAATGTAGTTAAAGCCGATATTTTCGAATACTTAAATTTTTCACAACATTTAGGGGGAAATCAATAATAAAACGTCACGCACCGTGCAACCACATAAATGATACTCCAATATTCTCCTTCTAAACTTTAAAACCTAAACTAAAATAAGCTAAACCTTACTTTAAAAGCGGAATATCTCGTCAACGGGTTGACTAAAATTGAAAATGTTGACATCAAAATTTATTTAAAGTAATAATCTGTCTATTTATAGAATTTGTAATATTGGTTCTCGTTTGAAACACTAAAGTTGGTATCGCCACAGGATAGTCCTTAAATGTTGTGAAAAATTTAAATATTCGAAAATATTGGCTTTAACTACACTATAAAGTTTTAAAAATTAGAATTTGAATACATGCAAAATTTAACCATACAAATGGGGTGAGCACGCTTAGCGAATCACTCTTTATAGCGTGTAGTTTCTAATCTATAGTTTTTCTACAGTCAAATAAATAAATCGCAATAAATTATTGGATCATCTTTCTATAAACACACTTTGATCAAAGTAACCTTTTGCTCCAAATGAAAGTTATGATTTATTTATCACGATATTGCGTTATTGTTTTGTCTATTATAATATTCGTATGAAAAGTATAAAAACAATGAATTATCATGTTGGATTTATCATACTGCATTTGTGTACGGCATAGGGTTTAATATATTTTACGACAATATTATTATTATTATATATTTTGTTTTTATGTGCTGGTCTAAAATGTTATACTTGCATTGGAAGTATGGAAAGCTGTCATTATAGTTTTTTATTAAAAAGTAAATTAGTTGAATGCAACACTTGGGAAATTAATAAATTCAACCACAAATTAACGGACACCTTGAATGGAATAAACTATAGTTCAACAAATGTTTTTAACAATCATTTGACAACTGAACAAATCGGTTCAAGTTTGCCTGCTATTCCGAATGAATCTGTTAAATGCGCTAAAATCGTTTACAAAAGTACGTATAGCTAATTTTATTAAAAAAACAAAAATATGTATTTTAAAATATTTGTTTTGATAATTTGTATTGGTATTTTTGCCTTATTAAACACGAATAATAAATGAATAACATTACAATAATAATATAAAAGAATTTCAACTTATTCACTAAATAATATTGGAATAAGTGCCTAATTAATTTATGATGTATCTTATGTGTGCAGATGGAACAGGCGTTGTATTCGTGGCTCGGGGTTGTGTTTATTATAAGGCAAAATTTTGCAAGCCATCGGAAATCATCAAATCTTGTAAAACGTGTGTCTTTGATGGATGCAATGATTCTACGTCTTTATTGAAATCTTCAGGAGTGCCGACAACAATTATTACCGCCGTAACGATTACGTGTTTATTCTACGGGTTACACCGACCAGTATAAATATTCATTAACTGCATGCGTATTATTCCAGAAAAGTCTAACCAATGATGTTGTAGCATTTTCCAACTGACTACAATCATGTACACAACAATAGGCACGAATAGCACAACATCTGGGGAGGATTTAACATACCATAATATTGATTATGACGTATACTTAGTAATAGTACTTGATAAGGATAAATCCGAGATTTAGGGTGGGGGCTGAGTTTTGGGAGGCTTGTAGCTTCTCAGTCCCCTTTTAATGCATATGTAAATTTAACATTTACCAAAACTATATTAATTGCTGTAAAAAATATCAAGTAAAAATAAAACGCTAATACATAAATTGAATTATTAAAGTTATTTGAAACTGAAATCAGGTACTCAACAATTGAAAATGATATGATAAATACAATTATTATTATTAAAAACTGATTTAAATTGAAAAATATTTATAATTGCAAGTAATTATTGAACAGTTTAAATAAATAACAAATAATAAAACCCAGTCAATTAAAAACGTTATTTTTACAACTCGACACGCCTATCTACTACTTTCACTTTTTTATAAAATGTAGCTCTAAATGTCAGTACTAAAAAGAATTTTTCAGGTGCTGGTACTAGGTCTGCTGTGAAAAGTTCCATCCAATATTTGGATGAAAAATAGAGCACTAATTGATAACTGATTCAGCGATAAATATTGGTACTGGAAAAAAAAATAAGTGTGTTTCATCTATATTATAAGTTCGAACCAGCATGAAAAGTATATTATTTTGATGAAATAGGTTTGTGCATTCACCACATTACGCTTATGGCATAATTAATTTTATTATGAAAATAATTTATCAATATGACAAAATTATTTTAATTATTTTATTCAATTTTTAGCAACTCCTTATCGAAACTTTGCTCGACCCCCTGCAGTTATGCACCATTGCATAAGTGTATACTTATACTATAAGTATATATATATATTATGTATATAAAACAAATACTTTAATGCTTACGAGATTTATAATCAAATTTACTCTACAGTTATTATTACACCAACTGATTGTCAAATACTTAAAACAAAAATACATTAGTTTTGTTTTAATTGTACATTTGCGTATATTATAAAACAAATCATACAGTCGCACAGTGTAAATCATATATTTTATTAAATAACGTTCAAATGTTACTTTTTTCTAGTTTTTTTAGCTTCGACAAAAATAAATATTATATTTGCATTTACAGAATATGTTACTTGAAATTTCGAAAATAACATTAATTTCCGTCAATATTTCCAATAAGTAACCGCCGTACGTCATAACTTATAGAACATACAATATTATTTTTATTTTTTTTTGTAAAAAAATTCTGAGCAAAGCTTAGAGCGTATTGATTTTACTATAAATTCAAGGTTGGAACGTATANTAATTACCTAAGATATATGTGATAATTTGTTATGTTAACTACTAAATTCATCTTTATTCTTTATTAATAACTACATTAATATATTTATAATTCCAAAAAATAAATTGCTCTGTTTTTATTTTATTCTAAATTTAAGAAAATTCACCAAGTTGATGTGATTTATTAATTTGTTATATTAATTTATAAGTTTCAATATTTATTAAAATTTATAATGAACTATTGTTATAAACTTCAAAACTAATAACAATGTCTCAGTCGTAATAAAGTATCATACGTTTTGGTAATTTTTTAAGTTTTATATTAAGTGTAACGTTGGTATAAAACATTTTATACGCGTATATTACCAACACCAAAACTATAATGTGTGCTTTTTTTTCTGCTTGTGAATACATTTTCTACCATAAATTTCTCTCTAATCGTAAACTTCAAAAGTGATTTCCAGTTGAAATTTTCGTAAAATTGGAGTATTGAGGTGGTAATTTTGTAATTATTCTTTGTAACCTTTTTTTTTTTCATAATTGAGTAATACGCCAGAAAACCGGGAAAAATTACACTACGATATCTGTTGTATTTTATTTTATTGTTTTTAATATTATTCACTTGGAAATAATCTTAAAAATCTGACATTTGTGAAATATATAATATAGCCCTTTTTAGACGTTAAATATTTAAAATATTCGGACCAACTTTGTGGTATTCAAAGCCAGTTTTTTTTTTCAGTTTTGATTTGGTTTTATTTGATTCCGAACAAACAGTTTTCTTTTTTAAATATATTTTAATAACACTAAAATTTCTGAATACAATTCTTGCGCCGAGGCGGACTCAATAAATTGTAATGCTTACCCGGTTAACCTTTCATTACCCATGGTTGATCGGGGTTGGTTCTGATAATTTTCATCTTAGAAAAACTGTCTCAGCATGCGCTACCATGACCGGAATCGTTAGAACGATTCTCTAACTGATCGTTAAATTGGGTTAAATCTATTGTAATTTTTTACTATAAATAAGCTCATTATTTTTGTTTCGAGAACTATATGGTTAGACAAAACATTTTTAGTTCTTCATATATTTCTTTTGGGTCGATAGGTATCAATTGTACAATTATACAATTGATCGCCGTTGAATGGCTGCAAATTGGTGGCCGGTTAAATTGATCGCCAAAAAAAAAAAACGAATTTTGTAGGTATTCATTTATATCGACTTCTCTGGTTGAACTACATAATTTTAAAATAAAATTATGAAAAATTATTACGTAAAAAAAAAAAATACTAAAAAATATTAAATTCACTATACTAGACTTATATAATGTACAACCGTAGACGATGAGTTTTTGCAATTTGTGTATATCGATGATATTATGAAAATCAACGACAATTCATCATTTTATTTTATTAGTATTAATACATTATTATTGTATTATTACGGTATTAGTATATGAGTTTAAACCGGAGATAAGTCTACACAAAGCATTAAATTTTTCAGTGACCAATTTGCCGCCGCGATCAATTCACCGGATACAAGAAAAATATTTGATACCTACCTACTCAAATAAGCATTGCTCTTAGTGCACTTGTATTGATTTGAAACGTAATATTCATCTTTCGGATTTATTATTAATTCTCAACCAGTGATTCGTTGGATTTTGTTTAATTTATTAGTTGTGAATCCTAATACAACGTATTTTCTGTCATAAAAAATGCTGCCCCAGTTTTCATTGAATATGTTTCCGCCTTTAGGAAATGGCTTAACCNACTAGCGACGGGCCTGCATACGTTCATATGATACATATTCATCGGTTTAGATCAATACCCATATGACTAGTATACCGTCATTTGACGATTGAAATATATACCTTATAGTATTTAAAAGATACTGAATTCGAAAAAGCGGAGTGTTTTTGAATAGTTAAAACCGTATAATATATATACAGAGGGGGATAATAGGAGTTTTATCTTTTCCTCTTTTAATTAAAATACGAAAAATTATGAGTAGTTAATCTAATATCGAAATGTATAGATTTCTTTTTTTTATGATCTAGCCTAATTTTTTTTTCGGTTTATTGGTAACATAGGAGCAAAAAATCGTTTAAAAATAAACAAAACGGTTATAGTAGTAATAGGTTCTACGGTAATGCCGCAAACATAAATAAACTTTATTATTTCGTTTAAATAAATTTTTAACGAATAACATAAAAGTTTCCTTCTATTTCAAAAACGATCTCATTTGCGACTCAATGGAAACTAAAACGATGAACAGCCCTATGAGTGAGTACTTACACATAGATTATAATATCAGCTTGCATACATTCTTGTGATACATATTTATCGGTTTAGATCAATACCGATATGACTAGTATACCGTCATTTATCGATTGAAATATATAATAGTATTTAAAGGCTATTGAATTCGAAAAAGCGGCGTGTTTTTGGATAGTATAAACCGTATACCATAACTTATACCACTATTCTTCCTGCAACGTGACTTCTCATATATTTCATAATTTTATTGAAAAAACGTTGATTATTGTAATCAAATTTTCTTATTATGTTTGAAAACCTGGAAAAAAATAATTATAGGTATACGATTAGGATTGACAACTGTATGAATATATATTTTGTAATTTATTTTTTTTTAAAAACTACCTAAATTAAAGATTTTCTTACTTTCGACCAGAAGGCTCGGACAAATCAAAAGAATCACAACGGCTTTCTTGTATTTTATGAACATATTCAATACCTGGACAGGATTTGTATTATGGTTTTTTAATTCCATGTTATTTTCTTCGCAATGAGAAGTATTCCAAACAAATATATGTAACGTTGGAACAATCGACGTAGCATGTTTAAATCAACGCCGTAATCGGCTTTTATTAAAATCGATTTTTTTTTTTTTTTACTGTAGTATCGTTGAATGAGACGTAATCATAGATAGGTATATGACATTTTTTCAGAATTATTTAAGCGTTCGCAAGCATAATATAACTTTCTAATCGACTCTATTTGGATTATTAATAATGACTTAACGTTTTTAATAACGTTTTTTTTTTAGGCAAATGCCCGACAGACAATAAGGCGGTTTCAATCAATGTAAAACCAAGTATTTTATCGGAGTTAACTGGATGTTCTAAGATTGAGAGCTCTTGGAGACCAGGAAACCATATTTTTACCAACTATTTAACATACAAACTGGCGCTAGATTCATTAAACCAGATAGAAAACAGGTTCGGATATGGTGTCACATATTCCAGAAATAAAGACATTGCTCCTGAAAACGCCGGAGAGTAAGATTTGACTAAAATAATGTTTATTATTACTCACTGCCAAATTCATAATGTTGATTTAATGAACGGTGTGGATTTGTCATGGAAACAATATGATCGAATTATGTTTATTTATTTATACTCTATGCCCCTTATCTCATTGCTCGGACTACTTCTATTGTTAAATCAAATCAAATTATAAAAAAATTTAAATTTTGAATAATTTTTATTTAGAATATTTAATGGAAATATTTTAGTCATGATTCATAATTCATAATTCGCAAATAATCTAAATTGTATGTAAATTATAAGTCGCTAGATATATTAAATTTAAAATCTACTAAAAAAAGATAAAATAGCCTATACATTTTTCGACAAGTTAAACTCAAGTAAAATCATAGGGCTACCTACAAATTCAGCTATCTTGTGCAATACTACAAACAATATAAGAAACACTATTAAAACCAGCTAAATAGTCATAAGAGTCAAAAATTTAAAAATAAATTTTTTTCAACGATTAGTTAAAATATTTATCTTAGCTAATTCACAAACAACATAATAAATTTGTTATAAATAATTGTTAACTGGCATTCTTTAGTGGTGGTATTAATACTGTCTCCAAACCAACATTTTGTACCTACTTGGAAACGAACATGATAAATGATATTTCATATAAATTATGCCATAACGTGTTTTGCAACTTGTGGGGACATATCAGTGGCAATGTCCTGGACAATTGGACGAAGAGCAAGATTTCTGGATCCATTGAATTAGCCAACGACAATTTAAACGTGCAGGTGTCGGCCGACGAGGCAACAGACACATCAAATGAGTTAAATATTAACTTTACGAAGCAGATATTTAGCTCCTGTGTAATAGGCGGTCAGTGCACGTTTATAAAAGACAAAAAGTCACCAATACCTATAATGCTTAAAGGTTATGAAGGAATATTGGGATACAGACAAGGTTATATGAGTTATTCAGCCACTCTAAACCAGTCTCTTTCCACAGCTTTGCGGGCCGTAGCACGGTACGATTCCAACTCGACTTCTTTAGAAATAAATTGTGAATATGAAAAAAGTGAAATAAAGTGCTTGCTATCGCAAGAGACCGTCGTTACCAAAAATATCGAAGTCAAAGGTGATAGTTTATATTATTATAAAGTTGGGGCTTTCCTTAGACGCATTTAGTCTTCTTCTGCTTCTTTGCTTGCATTATTCAAATCGGATGTAAATATAAACAGCTCGTAAATATATGATTCCATATTTTTGCACCTTTTCACTGTCCTATTCAATATGTTTGACAATACTAACTAGGTCATCTATGTTACCTGATTACCTAAGTATACAAGTTTATCTAGTGCATCACAGAACATTGTAAAATCATATAAATCAATAAGTTCTATAATGCAAATACGTGCTAATAACAATACACATATAAAATGTATAATCAACTAGAAATATAACACTTATTATTATTAGTAATTATAGTTCTTTCGAAAAAAAATTTTATGAATTAATAATATTACCTATTTGCAATTATTTATT